CGATAATGATTTCGAATCGAGTGCCGTTATGGTCCGTGACTCCCGTTCTCGGTTGGACTTCATTATCCTTTTGAGGAGTTGCTGTATACATCAGCTTCTGGTTCCGTGGCACATGAACGCCCATCTTGACCTTTCACGCGTGTGCCAAGGTTTGGTCTCAGCTTAACTCGTTGGTCGCTGTAAACCTTGATCGCTCCTTCTGGGATTCTTGCTTTCTGCACTTTAATTCTTCGAACAATGATCTCTTTCTCTTGTTGTTCGTTCTTTTCATCGTCTTCGTCGAGGTCCAGCAGATCTTCTTGATCTGAAAGGTCACTCACTCCAGAATCTTCAGAAGTGGTCGAGTTATCGCTCGTGCTCGAGAATTCCGAGTCGGATTCGCTGCTATGGTTAGCTTCAAGCTCTTGACCTTTGCTTCTTTTCTCAATTGGTCGCTCATCGACGCCTTCGTCTTCACTTTCTGTTGAAAGGTCATCGCTTTCATCCTTGGAAGCGCTAAGTTTTTTAGCTTTTCGTTTTTCGGGCAGAGGTTTGTCCGTTTCCTTGGACTTTCGTCCGTTTCGTGCTGCTATCCTCGGATTTGTTCGTGTTGCGCGAATCCTTGCTCGTGACCTATCCCTTTCATCGTCTTCCGAGCTATCATCTGCTTGAGCGGTATTCTGTGACCTTTTTGCTTTTCCAACTGGCGGTCCTTCCTCGCCAGTTTCAGGTGACCTTTCGTCAACTTTCGGAACTGACCTTTCTGGCTCCTCTTCCAGCATCGCGTTTAGTGACCTTTCGTTCTTCTCGGTTGGTGGCCCTTCCTCACCGTTACCGAGTGACCTTTGTAGTGAAGCCACTAACGACGCTGCTTTCTTCTCTTGCGGCGACATTTGAGCCTTTTTTGCCTCTGTTACCGGGATTCCGTTTTCCTTATCCCGAAACGCCTGGTTCAGTTCCTTGATCATCTGAGCCAACTCATACGCCGTGTGCGTTGGTTCCTCTTCTTCGGCGCCTGTGCCGTTTTCTTGAGCAGCACTTGTGCTGACCTCTTGTTCTTTTTCTTTGGTTTCTTCGGCGCTTGTGCCGTTATCTTTGTTCTTTTCTTCTTCGGCGCTTGTGCCGTTTTCTTTTTCAGCGCTTGTGCCATGACCTTTCGGTCTCTTATCGCCGATAAAGACGCAATTTGCCATCAGTTCTTCTGTAGTCCAGTCATTGTTCGGTACCGTCTCATACATGCACCAAGTATCTCCGCCTCTTTCGGGATACTCCACTCCATCTGGATCTGGTGCAAAGGTCACCTTCTTTTTTCTCGGATAGCCAAATAATCCAAGTTCGCGTCTTTTTCGCGTGACCTTTAATTCTGGAATTTCTCCTGTGAATATCGGTACTTCTTCTAGGATTTTGCCCCATTGTTTATTCCATTCTCTTAAATTTCCCTTTTTGAGGCAGGCCTGGTAAAGGTCAAATAATTCGTACACTACTGTGCCGAGTCCGATTGGGAATGATCGCTCGTCCTTGACCTTTCCATAGATAATTTACTCTGAATTCCCAAAATAAGTCAACTCTCGCCTGCTCCCATATTGCGTTCTCTTCCATTGCTCGTCGCCTTTCTCTGTCGAGCTTTGTAATCGGGTTTGTATACCACGGGTCGCTTTTATCCGCCTTTTCGGGAATGAAGTTATCCGCTTCTTGCTGCCAATGATGGAGCCACTTCCCTCTGGAGATGATGTAGTTCTTGACTACCGATAACCATTCTCGATAACATTGCCAAAGGTAAGTTGCTTTTGACAGCTCCGGCATGGGAAGTGTTCTGATAATCGATTTGACCTCTTTTTCTTCTTGTCTATTATGACGTGCAATTGCTGCATTGCATTTCGGCCATTCCGAAAGGTCATCTTGTGTCATTTCTTGCATGCATTTTGCACATCTTTCTTGAGGTCGCGCTATCGAAAGGTCATCGCTGTCGTGCCAATCGTGATGGCAAGAGGTTGCTCTCTCTTCCGCAGTCCATTCTCTTGGTTTGCGGGAAATGACGCGATTGTTCCCTTCCGGCATCCGTTGTCTCGGTTCGGGACGGACGATAACTCGCTTATCCGTTTCTCCGGAATCGGTATCTGTCCATTCGTCATCTTTTTCGAATTCGATTACGCTGTTTTCTGATGATATTTCGATGACTTCGATTTCTTCATCTGCGGAGCGTGGTTCGGAAGTAAGACGACGGCTACTCTCTGCTACCTCTTTGCGCAGGCGCGTGTCTGGACCTTTCATCCGCCCTCTTGCTTTGTCACGTGGTTCGAAAGTGTGTTGAGCACCATGCTCCGTTTTCCTTGCATCCAGTTGCTTTATGGCTTGATCTCGTATTTCCGAGAAAAATGCTCTTTCATCGCTGTTCATCAGTCCTGGCTCTGTCCTGGGCTCAACCATTCTCGTGCCCAGTGCCTCTGGTACTGGGAGTAGCCTTGACCACTCCATTCCTGGCACTAGCGACTGTTTCTTTGCAATCAGTGCTTCTGCTTGCATTATCTTGATTTGTTTCATCGTTGGTGACCTTTGATTTCCTTTAGACTTCGGTGACCTTTTGCTTTTTCAGCATTTTCTAATCCCTGTGCCTCTGGTACTGGGATTAGATTTTCACCGTTCTCGTTTTGTTTATTATCTTTCGATCCCTGTGCCTCTGGTACTGGGATAGCCGTTTGCCCCGAATTATTTCTTTGTTGAAGTTCGGTGACCTTTCCTGCATTGACTTTTGCAGAGGATTTCGGCTCGTCATCTTCGGCTTCAGTTTCTCGTTCTTCCTCGTCGTGTCCGTCTATCAGGACGAATTTCTTTGCGAGGAAGTCGAATCCCAGCAGGACTTGGACGTCGTCTGACGCTGGTCTGACGTAGAACGAGTGTTGACTCGTTTTCCTTCTTAAGGTCACTGGTGCTACGCAGTAGTGCGTTACTTCGAAGCCTGACGTTCCGCTGATCCCTTTGATCATCACCTTCTTTTTCGGTGGTAGTCTTACAGTCTGGAGGCCATTCCTTTCACAGAACTGTTGACAAATCAAAGACGTCTCTGCGCCAGTGTCAAGCATTGCCATGACCTTTTTATTCCCAATTTTGACTTCATGTGTATAAGCTTCGATCCGTTTCGGTAAGTTTCCATCTTCGAGTTTCAAGACTCTTATTCTACACTTGACTGGGATTGGTGCAGCGTGCTTGCTCTCTATCAGACCTTTTGAGCTCCAACGATCTATCCGTTTCGGTACGTCGGGTCGCACATCTGAGAACTTTTCGATCCTTTTTGACTTCGGTAAGATATTCGCTTGCTCCTTCGCAGCGTTTTCTTTACCCGTGACCTTTGCCACTTCGCACGTCAAACCCTTCTCTTGTGCGTTCTCGTGACCTTTTATCACTTGCGCAATAACTTCGTATTGTGACTTTTCATTGCGCACATCTTTGGACGGTTTTTCTTGCAACTTTGCCATTATCTCTTGCGTAATTTCATCCGCAAAGGTCATCTCGTCATCTTCACTCTTCTTCTCTGGTGACCTTTCGTACACAACCATCTTATGGTCGTTTTCTTTCATCCAATCTGTAATTTTCTTCGCAATTTCGTTATTCGTGCGAGTTGGATCGATTTGAGATGACAATCCGTCAGTTCTTGGCGGTGACCTTTCGTTGTCATTCCGGATTGCTTCTGTCATGTCATACGACTTCTCCTTCTGCGGAGTTTGCGCTAAGTCCGGTGACCTTTCCGGTCTTGACATGAAAAATCCACCATTTAGTGACCTTTGTAAAGGCACTTTCTCACCATACTGAGGCGGTAATTCACCCTTCTCAATCCGCTCTCGAAACTGACGGTTATTTTCGTCACATTGGTTCTTCTCTTTCCAGTACTCTTGAACTTTCGGTTGTGAAGCTTTTACCATTTCCTCGAGATGCTTTCTCATCCGCCAATCTTGTTTCTCTTTCTTCCCAGTAAGCTTCTCTGGGAATTCTCACGTCTTGCGGTGACCTTTGTGGCGGAGGAACTGGTTTCCACATACCGTGCCGTCCATTCGGCCTGTAAGCGACTTTTTGCCACTCCATCTTCTGTTGTAGAGTGTTTGCCTCATCGAGAGAGTCATCTGAGACTTGCTGTGCCCCTTCGCTCTGTTTCACTGTTTGCTGCGCCATTCGCAGAGTCAAGTTACTTTCTTGACCTTTCGGTTCATCGGCGACTTCACCGTGACCTTTCTCTTTCAGTGACTCCTGAGTCTGTTGCACTGGCTGTCCCTCGTGACCTTTCACTTCTTCAGCTCTCTCTTTAGGTGACCTTTCGGTCTCTTGCGCTCCTTGCGCTGGCACGGCCTTTCCGTGACCTTCGGCAGCGTTTTCTCGGATTACTTTCTTCATATGCTCTCGGAACTTCGAGTGGTGAACTTCGTCATATTCTTCTGCTGATGATCCGCCTTTCAGCTTTGCTACTGCATTCGCGAAGAGTTTCTTTCTCCTCGTCGTTAAACTCTCCGTTTGTTGTGGTGACCTTTGGGTCTGCTGTCCTTGCAGCGTCACGTTACTTTCGTGACCTTTGCTCGCAGTTACTTTCTGCGGTGACCTTTGGGTCTGCTGTCCTTGCAGCGTCACGTTACTTTCGTGACTTTCTTGATTTGCAGTTACTTTCTGCTGTCCCGGATGCAGAGTTGAGGCCCTTCCGTCAACCCTGTTCCCCGCAGTTACTTTCTGCGGTGACCTTTCGGTCGGCCCCGGTTGAGTCAAGTTACTTTCTTGACTTCCCGCAGTTACTTTCTGCGGTGACCTTTCGGTCAAATTCTTCCGTCCTTGCGGCAATCTTTTTAAACCCTTCTCTTGGCCTTTACGAGCCCCTTCGCTCGATTTCGAGTTACTTTCTCGAATCCTCGGATTTCTTTTCCGGGTCTTTGCGTTACTTTCGCAGCATCCCTTTCTCGCTGCGGTCCTTGCCTGCAGCGGAGCACCTTGCTCCTCTATATCCGGTGGTTTCGGTTCCGGACGATCAGTAGGCTCACCGGCGCCTACTGACCATGAACGTTTCCCTGGGCCATTCCCTGAACCGGCGCACCTTGCGCCTGACCGGCACCATTCGCCGGGGCGAAATTAAAGCCTCCGCCTTGCTGACCGAAACCGTTCTGGTTCCCACCGACGAAGCCGCCTTGCTGCCCGCCGAAGTCGCCCTGGCCACCTTGACCGGCGAAATTGCCCTGGCCACCTTGACCGGCAAAATTCTGGCCACCTTGACCACCATTATTCCACTGGCCTCCTTGACCAGCACCGTTCCATTGGCCACCTTGACCACCACCATTCCATTGGCCACCGCCGTAATTTCCGCGATTGCCGCCACGGCCTCTGCCTCTGCCTCGGAAGCCGCCTCTAACCGGGCCGTATCCGCCGTTTCCTCCGCCTTGGCCACCTTGACCGGCGAAGTTGCCTTGGCCTCCGAAGTTATCCTGGCCGCCTTGACCTCCGTTGTTCCACTGGCCACCTTGACCAGCGTTGTTCCACTGGCCACCTTGACCAGCGAAATTCCCTTGGCCGCCAAAATTGCCCTGGCCTCCTTGATTGTTGTAGTTGGCCTGGCCACCTTGACCGGCGAAGTTCCCTTGGCCACCTTGACCAGCGTACCGTCCGCCTTGGCGTGATTGTGGCACATAGCCATTTGCCATTGCGTTGCGCCATCCGCCATGGTTGTTACGCAGCATCAACCATTCTTCATACACGACCCGGTTGGGGTTCTGATTCCACGGTGTTCCCGCGAACGAACACGCTTGTGTGTAGTGGTTGCCGTACATGCAGTTCTGGCATGTCAGCGCGTTATTGACCACCCATCCGTCGATCATGGTGAACAGGCGCTCCATTCGCGACCCGTATCGTGGTCCTTGATTTCCCTGTCCTCGGTTCGGTCGGAAGTTTCCCTGGTTTCTTCCGCCACCATTAAATCCCTGGCCAGCGAAGCCTGGATTTACCTGAGCCATTCCTTGACCGCCAAGCCCTCCATTCAGGGCGTTTCGCGCACGTTTCCTTGTGGATTCTGTTTCGGCCTTGCCGCTTGCTGAGCTGATGCTTGGATCGCCGCGATCGCAGGCTTGGCTACTTCTTGAACAGCTGTTTGTATCGCCGCGATCGTCGCGTACGATACTTGACCTTCATTTCGACCGTTGCCAAAGGTCACTTCTTGAGTGCCTAGAGGCGGGAATTCCATATTGTATCCTGGCACCGGCGCCGGGCATGACTGGTTTTGTCGCCCATTCGCGACTTCTTCGATCTGACCTGATCGAATTATAACGCAGTCATCTTGGGTTCGGTTACCTCTCGTGACCTTATACTTTTCTTCTCCGGTCGACCATGTGCGGAAGAATTCCTTGATGTCCATGGGGTTATGGAATTTTTGTGCTCGAAGTGCCTTATAAAGGTCACTGTCGTTTTTACATCCTTGGATGAGAAATCCGATGGCCTGCTTTTCTGTGATGACCCGTTTCGATTTGAAGCGCATGATCGCTTGATAAAATTGATCAAGCGTTTCCTTGCCGGTCTCAAACTTTCTTGTCATAGCTTCCCTTAAGGCGTTGACCCCTTCGTCACGATCGCCAAAATGTTCTTTGAACTTCGTCATCCATTCATCGACGGTTAGTTCGTCTGCCTCTTCCTCATCGTCGATTTCTCTTTCCGCATCAAACCAAGCCTTCGCGTCCCTTTGACTGCGTTGGCGACTTCCAGCATCATTGCTGCATCAGAAAGGTCATACGTCTTCTGAGTCTCCTTGACCTGACGGATCCAACCGAGTAAGGCTTCTCGGTTGCCATTGAAGTCAATCAGTGCGGATTTCCGGGACATGGCTCTCATGATCCTCTGAATTCCTTTCTTCGCGACGGAGTCGCTGTGCTTCAGCGTGGTATTCCGCGCGGTGTTCTCTTCTCGCCTCTCTTCTTCACGAGCTACCCTTTCCTGCTCGTTTTGGCGATCTCGTGGTCTTCCCGATCATCTAGGCGGTAGTCGGATTTATAGACGATGGTTTCTCTGGCATATCATCGCGTATTTTTTGCTGTTTTGAGTTACTCCCGCCGCTCGGTCCTGAGTGCACCTTCGCCGACTCGGTGTCTTCCTTTTGACCTTTTCTTTATCGTGGTCGTCGGTTCTGCCCATTCCAGTCTTTTTAGGTGCTTGAAATGGAAGCTGCCTTCGACCGTGGACTTCACCGTATCCAGGGGCGGAGACTCTATCCGTTTCGGCTCCTTTAAGTGCTGTTTAGTTGTTTCCTCTTCTTTGCTTTTGCTGAGTTTTAAGCGCTTTGATTTCCTCTTGGAGCGTTTTGTTCAACGAGTCTATCTGTCGGTATTCCTTGACCAAATCATTTGCATCCTTTCTTAGCTTCTCGTAACTCTCGTTTGCTTCGGTGACCTTTTTCATCTGCTCGATAATTGTGCTTGCCCTTTGATCGAGGGTCTTATCGAGGTCCTTCTTTGCTTCCTTCAGAATTTCCGCTTCTGCTTGCAGTCGAGTGATTTGGTCCGCCCGAGATATGAGGGTCCTTCCTCTCGCTCCGCATTCCTCTTCGACTGTCTTCAATTGGGCTTCCAGCTCATTAATTTTATCATCCTTTTCCATTATTGTGGTGGCCATTCCTACCATTTCATTGCTTAGTTTAGTGATTTCCTCTTTTTGGTTTTCAATCTTCAATTGCCCTTCTCTATTCTGAGTCTCTAGCACAGTGACCCGTTCGTCACTCTGTTGTGCCGAGGTTGACCATTTCTTTACTTCTTTCTTTTGACTTTCGATTTCGTCGTTCAGTCTTTTGCTTTCGTTTTTTGTCGTCTCTGCCAGCTCGAGAAGCTTCTGTGCGGCTTGATCTCTCTGGCTCTCTGCTTCACTTTGTTTCCTCTTCCTTTCTTGTAGTTCCGTCTGCAGCGTCTTAATGCTCTCTTCTCGCAATTTGAGGTCATCCTTTAATTTTGTGATGTCTGCTGTCAGACTGGATATCTTTACGGTGAACTTTGTCGCATTTGCTAAACTTTCGTCACGCTTTTTCTCGGCCTCTTTGACCTTTGACTGCAAAAGGTCACGCTCATTTTTCAGTTCTGCTATCTCCCGTGACTTTTCGGCTGATTCTTCGGAGAAACTGTTGTTGAGGTCCTCTGCTGCGAGGATTCCTTCCATATCCTTATCGTCTACCATTTTCCTCAGCTCTTCTGCAGCTTGTCTCTGGGCAACGTATTTGATCTTCCATTGTGTTGCTTCTTCTTCCAGCGTGACCTTTTCCTGTTCCAATTGGAATACTCTTGCTTCAACTTCAATAGTTTTGTTTCGTTGTTCTCGTGCGGCAGCAAATGCTTGCTCTTCCTTTTCATCTAGAAGCTTTTCTAGATCTCTGATCCGCTGTTTCGCTTCATTCGATGTGGGAGGTGTCGGTGACCTTCCATTGTCAGCCCTTCCTGACGCCGTTCCCTCGAAGGTCTCCTCCGGTTTTTCTTTGGAGGTCATTTTTATTATTCCACCTGCCAGGTCAGCTTGCTTCATTGCAGTGTGGAATGACATCTGTACCGTCGTCTCATCTTCGTCGTCGGTGTAAAACTTCTCATTTGACATAGGGCTGGTACCATTCTCATCCAGCAACTCTTTCGAAAACAGTGAGTTATCCGAAAGGTCATCCTGGTCGGCCTTTTCCTCGTCTGACAGCTGATTGCTGTTGACGGCATCACCCCCTTCGGTGACCTTTTGACTGACTTCGTCATTTCCCTTCTCGACTGAATCCGCGTTTTCTTCTTTGACCACTTCGGCCGACCGTGCCATTCCTCCGGTCTCGGCTGTCAGGTCTGCCTGATTGTATCCGTCATCTGCCATTCTCTCATCGGTGACCTTTGACTGGTCTACCGTGTTATCTCCGGCATGTCGCCCGGAGCTTTCTCCGTTTCCGTCGCTCGAACTTTCATTCTGGGTTTCCCTCAGAGCCGTTTGGTAAGTGGCTTCTGAGCCTCTGGTGTCCTTCCTCCCAAAGGCCAGTTGAGCTCGAGTTGCTCTTTCGTGTGCGACTGGCCGTGTATACGGCTGTCGTTTCACTTCGTAAGGGTTTTCCAACCCCCGAGACCGTTCTCTCTGACTACCCGACGAGACCGGTTCTTTACCGTCTGTTTCTTTATCCATGTCTTCGGGTTCCGTTGATGATCGGATAACTTTGGACGATGCTAATAATGTTTCTGACACGTGTGTTAGTTAAAGCTATGTAAGCCCCTTTACACGTAAACAGAAACAGTTGCTGTCCTAAAGGTCACCTTCTCTTCTGTATCAGCTCAACTTTATTAAAGGTCACTCTGCCTCCAAAAGAGCTAAGTCTTTTCTAAAGGTCACTTTTTCGTTGAAAAAATTTAACTAAGTCCCTTTTAAAGGTCACTTCCACTGTTTCAGCCTAATAGCTTACTCCGTCACGTTAAAGGTCACTTTCTCTTCAGAACTTTTTCCGTTTAAAGGTCACGATCGATTTCGGTCAAAAACGTTTAACCTAAGAAAATTTTTGGATTTTACTGAGAAATCAACTCAGATTTCCTTAAAATAAACGTTATTTATTCAGCTTTCAACTTTTATTAAAGGTCATCCTTCTCGTCAAATTTTCTGGTAAAGGTCAACTTCTCGTCAGTCAGTTCAGAAAATTTTCTTGGCTGGCTACGTCACGATCTTGAGTGCCGTGCGCAAAAACTCCGCCTCCTGGCAAAATCTCAACTTTTAATTGGCTAATATCCTAGCTAACTTTAGCTACGCTACTGCGCCAATCACAGTGCGAATAACTGGCCAATCAGAAACGTTGTTTTTCAAATTAGAGGGCAGAGTGACGTCACGACCAAAATCGAAAATTTTCACTAGTGCGCCGTGCGCAAAAGTACCGCCTACTTTTCTGCTCAGCTCAGAACCGACGAATGACAATTGAGGATTTTACCTATCAGCCAATCTAAAAATTAATAACGGATTTCTGACCTTTTGGATTCCAGAATCCGGATAGGAATCCTCCGCGCGTTTCCACGTCCTCCAGCGATCCTCCAGCGATTAAGCTGACTTCTCCTGGGCCAGCCGCTAACCCCTTCTGCTTCGTTTCAGCAGGACGCAGCGGTGCGTCGACCAAAAGACTTGCTGGCTGCGGGTCTTCTGTCGTGCCTTGACGTTAGCAACGACAGGGGCGCTCGACCTCCTTTTTGGGGGAGCGCGTATAATGTGTGTGCGCTCTACTCAGTAGAGACGCACCTGAAAACTCCACACCCGACAGCCAAAAGTGGCTTGCCCACTCGTGCCCCCCTTCGGGCTTCTGCCTCTTGCGGCGATCTTTCTCGGCGCTTGTGCCCCTCCAATCAAAGCTACTTCAGTAGCTTTGATCGCGTCAGAACAGTACAGCGTGCTCTACTCAGTAGAGACACACTGGTGCTGATCTGCTGTCGAGATCCAAACGCTCCCTTCGCCACCAAACCGTACGCGAGCCCTTTCTCGCGGAAACTTCTTCCTCACCTCGTCAATTGGACGGGAAAACTCTCAGATTATCCTGGAGAAACACGACTCTTGCTACCATATGAGCGTGGACCTGATGAAGGTTCACGCGTAGGAACAGAATTGACGGAATTCTGCCTACCAAAAAGCCTGGCAGTGCTATAAAAGCGCCTACGCTACAGAAAGCGAGAAATGGCGTGACTGCTAGGAATTTATAACAAGACTAAATTCGATAGAATTTCCTCGTGGGCAACTCCGCATTGCTGACTGCAGCAAGCGTGGAAAAATGCGCACGTAGCCGCCACACAGTGCGGGTGCGCGCAGAACACCATGCTTTCGCCACGCGTAAGGCGGGCGCGCAATGAACACACAACAGACTGCCAAAGCGAGGGTGTACGCATGTACGCCTGCGCTCACAGCACGTTTGCCTTAACAGCGCCTATTCCTTTTCTACTCATTCCTTTTTGCAAGCCGTTGGAGGTCAGTGTAGTCAGTTTCCTGACATCCAAACTGGGATTTTTGTGTCACCGTCTATTCCCGAAGATGGCAGTGTGCGCGAACGACCGCGGAATACGCTCTCGTAGTCCTTTAAACCCTGCGCAGGAATAGCAACCGTCACTATCCCTTTCTCCTTGATGACATGATGGACAGAAAAGCCCAGGAACGCAAGAACGTACCTTTCCTTTTCAGTCACTCATCCACTGATCGATCATTTCCGTCAGACGACTCAGCGGCGGCAGCTTTAACGAATTCCCACAGTTGCCGCTCCAACGGCATGAACGAAAGGGCGCCGATGGGAAGCTGCGCTACCGGCACCGTCAGGTTGTAATCGACGATAGTGCACTCCTTCCACAGGATTCGGTCACAGCACGACAGCATCAACAACATCTGCTCAGCCACTTCGGCCACTATCCACTTCAGCTCACCTACATCGTCCAGTTGGTAGTCGAGAAAACCATCGCCCGCACTACCGTAACTGCACTCGCAAAACACCAGCGTCGGCAGTTGGCTGGCGTTGCGGATGTGCTGGATAAGCTTGGCCAAATCCGTGCATCGCTGCATGTTCAGGCCCGTGACAACCACCACCCGGGTGCGGCTGTTGAGACACTTCAGCAGCCCAGCCGCCACCCAGAATGCTCCGTCTTCCTCCAGTAAATGCATTTGACTGTAAGCGCCGTCTCTTGCGGACAGGCACACATCCGGGAAGTTGGCTTCCCGAGCGAGGATTCTGTTCCACAAGGAACAGACGCGCCGGCAGCGGAAGCGCTCGATGGAGTCCAGCGACTGGAAGATCTCCACCAACAACTTAGCTGGTAACCACCAACGACGTTTTCCGCTTTTTCGCTGACCACTGGTTTGGTTGCTCCTCATTTGACGATTCTGGTCAAATACCCAGCGCGATTCGGCTGAGTTGAAACCACCCGCCTCCTCTTTCTTCGCCCAGCAGTAAACTTCTTTCTGAAAAAAAAACCCACGTTACAAATTATTTTCCGTTGTCTCAGAGCGTATTACCGCTCTACCTACCATGTACGTATTCTCCTGCTTTTTGATAATTTTTTATTAATTCCCTTTTAAATAAGTATCGCTATCTCAACAGTAGGCATCTCCATTCAAAGGCTCACAATTCACAAAGCTATTTACTTGAATTCTGCGATTCTTCTTGAAAATGTTACTTTGTTTCGGCTTACAGTAAGTGTTAAGAGATAAAAACAGCAAAAGTTCTTTCCTGTGCTTACGTACGTTTACGACCCACATGCAGTGAGATTTACTAATACGTTGCAGCAAGAAAACATGTACCAGCAAATTACACTACGACCGCAAAATTTCAACTGTCGCCACTAGCAATGCACCGGATGACAGGAACTTGTCAGGAAGTTAGTTAGGAACGTGAAAAACGTTGAACGTACCATTTTCGTCATTTTCACTGGCCAACCGTGGTCCTGCAGATAATACACCGCTGAACCGCTCAGATTCGTGCACACCACTCCAAACCGTTTGTTCACTTCGCGCTTGAACACTTCTTTCAGCGGGTGCGATTCCCATGCCCAGCCGACGCCGGGCAGCTTACATGAACGGATAAGATAATGATCCTCCCACACACACAGCTCCCCCCGTAAATCCTCGCCCGTGGGCGGTTGGCGTACCTGCTCCATGGGGAAGAGCTCGCGGACAGTGCGGTCCGGCAGCTGCACTTCCACCAACTGCGCATAGTCCGGACGGTACTCGCCCATAGTGATCACCTGCCCCGGGTACCAGATCCAGGCGCCCGAGGTTGGCGACTGCAGCAGGACTTCCGCTTCGTGCGTCGCTCGGGAAAAGTTGCAGTGGGAAATGCGCTCGTATTTGATGAATTTGGCACGCTGTTTGTCGCATCCAAAGTCAATGATCAGGCCGCCTTTGGCCTTGTTGATGACATGGCCGTGCTTCAATTTCTTCGACTTCATGCGGACGTCCACGGCGTTCCATGCGCTCACACTGTGTTTACGGCCGCAGAACAGCATCGCGAACTCCGTGGTCCGTGTCTTCGTGCCTGTGCAGATTAGCCAGAAATGAGCTGAGTACACAACAAGAGACTACCGTCAGCTGTTAAAAGTAATCTTCACCTTAACGTCTTAATCTGCGGATGCCAGCTGCGTGAACAAAAAACTGCTGACGAGTATCACAATGGAAGAACTCAAACTGCATTGAAAATTCTCAAATCAGAGGCAAATCACAGCTGATTCAAAATGACACAACGCACAGCGGCTTTTTATTACCGCACTTTTTGTGTAGGTTATTAACGTACTCGTCAGTCTGGGCGGCAGGCTAGTACGCATCCATAACAATCTTATTCTTGCTTGACGTGTTTCTCTGCAGACTTTTTATTAGACTTTAGTAGTTTAGTGGAATTTCAGATTTCTCAGTCATTTCTGCAGATTTCAGAGTCGCTGTTTATTCCATTCGTTGGATCTTATCGCGTATTTGTTGATATTTTCCGCAGGTTTCGGTTTTTTTTTCAAATCTACCGTTTCGTCTCTACTACTCCGTTAGCATTGTGCTGAATTCCGAAGTATGCAAGTCAGTTCGAGTGCGTTGCCACTCTTGCCTGACGGGGAGAGTTTTCACGACAGTCTTTGTGAGTATCTCTTCGTCCGTTCGTTAGACATACATATCATCATTATTGCATAAAAAAAGATAGATTACTGGAAAAAAGATCAGTATTAAATTGAGAACCGCCTGTGATGTCGCTGCAGTGTTGCAGTGGCTGCAGATGTGCGTCAATTCTGCATAGTGCGTACTGCGTAGTGCTTGCATGTGTCGATTGATTAACGTTGCGATCTCGATGTTATCATGTTACCTTGCAGATTGCGAGAAGTGTCAGTGCTTCCTGCCAGAGCCGTGCTGGCAGCACGCAGTGCTCGTCCAGGACGGATACAGTCTCCCGCTGGCCTTTGCTAGTTTGCCAGATGTGCTGGCCTTCCATAATGACGACCAACACCAGAATGTGTTGCAGCCTACGGATAACAGCACTTGTCGTGGTAAGCGTTAAATTGTTAGTGCAGTACCTGTTGGAGTCAGCTGCTCTCGCTGATTTGCTGTGAATACTGTTGATGTGTTCGTTTTTCGTGAACTTTTTATTTTTAACTTTTTGTAAAATTATTTCGCCTTTGTGCGATATTTGCAGTTTTTCTTTAAAAATAGTTTAATTACCGTACTTTCCCCCATATATGCATGTTCGCTCGGTACACTGTATATTCATGTTAGCGCAGATTGACAGCTCTGCATTGAAGTGATTTAACCCGTTGCTTATATTTTAAGAATCAAATTAATCGGTTAAACCGTTGCTTTAGAAATACTCCTGCTCCTTCTTTTTGTCGTTTATATTTTTATACCGGTGTTTATTCCACTGTGGTTGTCTGAAAAAAGCTGGTAGAATTGTTGTTTATCGTTTGTGTGGTAATCTGTACTTCTATCCCTGTTTTGTACAGTTTTGTGTTTACCATTTAAATTTTCAGCTGGCGTTTTCTTTTCCGTAGCAGTTTGACAAGGCGGTAAAATTTTACAGGTCCATCGGTTGTGGCACGAACGGCCATCCTTGCGCAGACAGTATTCGGACCATTTATCGCACCTGTATGCGATGCCGGTGTAGCGCATTCGCGGACATTCTCGTCTTCAGACGGGCAGTGTGTGACGTTCAGTCTGGAGAACGATCGTTGGTGCAACTGGATGAAGTTGGTCAGGACGGTTGACCACGGCCAGCACAATCTCCGCGTCTTCATCCGCCAACACAAAGTCCTCTTTGTCGCCGTCAAGGTCATTCTTCCCGGCGAAGAACTCACGCTGACGCTGTATAAGCATGACCGGAAGGAAATCCACGACAACGACTTGCACTGTGCACCCATGGGTAAGCTTAGGCCCGCAGCCTCGAAACCTGGCAGGTGTGAATCATCTGATTTTTGCTTATATCCTTTTGCTTGTATTTGCTTATGATTTTAGTCGTCTGATTTGTGCTGAGCTGATTTTGTTTATATCTGATTTTTGCATTATTTTGTGGTGTGTTTCATTTCGAAAATCTTCTTATTCAAGTATGGTGTGGAGTATCAACTATGCGTGCTCGCATTCGTGTTTTGAACACTGTTTTCTCGTTTTCTTATGTTTTCTTATGTCTTTAGATTGTGTGAGCGGCGGTACTGATGATGGCTGCAGTATTAAGTGCGAGGACGATGCGAACGGATCGTCGGCGGAAATTCTGCTATGTGTGCCGGCTACCTCTTTTTCCGCGGCCGCGCAACCTTTGGCGCAGCCTGATCCTCTTGATCTCTTACCACTATCCCAGCCGCTCCCACTTGAACCAAATCAGGAAGTATCTGACGCACAGCCGGCGTTGAGCACTTTCCATAGAGAAGATTCTCCCGAATATCCGTTCCCCTCCTCCTTTCCTGCATCTCAGCCGATGGATGCGATGGCGGAAGAAGTCGCCCTTCAGCCGAATAAAAGTGAAGGGGAAAGCGAAGCCGCTGTTCTGCCGAAACGTTCATATTCCCTTCGCTCACGCAATGGGAAAAGCGGTAGCACGCCGTACAACGACCCAGATGCTTTTGACAGCGCAACCGATGATGATAATTTTCAGTTATCCGCAGATGCCTGTACGACGACTTAAAATGCTTTACTTGCATGAAGTACAGATTTAATTCTACCGGTTTTCTGTGTTGTTGAATGTAGATTCGTCCTCTTCCGCATCGGACCGCTGCAGTGAATCAGAGTCAGATTTGACGGAAACGGCACAAAACCGCGCGAAAGGTAATCAGGCTTTTGCGATGGGACTGATGTAGGATTGATGTCTTTATCTCTGAACATTTTTGCAGAGCGGCGCTTGCGAACGCGGCCTGCCAAACAAACGAATCCAGCAGGTGGGAAGGTAAGAGGAAAACGCAAGACGAACGGTACCACACCGAAAGGGAAACGCACCGCAAAACACTTCGGTGGGTCTTAGAAAAATCGTTTGATCCTCGTTAAAGCAGACGTGGAATATAGCGGGACTGACTCTTTTGTAGAATCGATATGTCAGCAAGTGAAGGCCGTGATCGCGGTGAATCCCTTCCAGTATCCCGCTGGAGAGCAACGCTGGCAAGCGTATTCCGCCGCTGCGGATATGTTGTCGCCAGACTTACTTTCACGGACGAAGAAGCTGGCGATCGATGGACAGTTACTGCGCACGAACACACAGAGCCGGCTGCGTGAATTCGAAAAAGCTGAAAACAGCAATCGGACCGTTGGATTGCCTACAGAATACATTGCTTTGATGAAGCAACTTGTTGAACTACGCGGTCGCTCGAAAACAGATGAAAATATCAGGAAATTGAAGGCGGTTATTCAAGTTAATCCCTTCCAGTTTTCATCAGCAAGTGAGTGCCGTGTGGCTTGGAAGGTGGCATGCCAGTCGTATATGGATGAGGATGCTGACGTTGACAAGCCGGAGGAAAATTTTATAAAACTGCGGAAATACGTGCAGTTGCAGTTGGACGATTATCCCAGACTGTTGGATCGCTACAACGACGCTGTCGCCGATGATAAAGAACGCGAATATATGCAGCTCCTGCAGGTGATCGTGAAGTTGGCCGGAAAAGATTACGGTGGCGATGTAGATAGCTTAAATCAGCAGAAAGATGGGGATGCGGCTGATGCAAACGCTGCCACCGGCAAAAAGCTCGTGCTGACCAGACCGCGTCCAAAGAAGAAGGGCTATCAACACGACACGTTTTTCCCCAGCTACATTTACCGTTTCGTGTGTTGGGAGTGCTCTGTGCATTTCAAGGACGAAAATTTATTGAAATTGCATGAATTACAGCATACTGATTCATCCGGGGAAGCTGCCGGCTCTCGTGATTGTCCAGTGTGTGAGCGATCGTTCGACAAGCTGACCAGTTTATTACTACACGTTCTGGACCACAGTGTCAAAGCCGCGCAGATTACTCATTACATCCCGACTGCTGATCCCAACATCTTGAGCTTCGCATCCAAAACGGCAGCTCCGATGGATGTGCTGGCGCAAAACCATGACGCGCATGAAACTTGCTTCATGTACAGTTGCGGAGTGAAGTATTGTGGACTGCGATTCTGCACGGAGTCATTGTGCGATCTGCACCAACTCAGTCACAACGTGCCAGATAATTACCAAGGCGATGTTTTCTGTGCTGCGTGCAGTTTCCAAGCCGAAAATGCGAGGGATTTGCTGAATCACGTCGGTCGACATGCAGCGAAAGTCAACGATCGGAAACTGTGCCGTATGTGTGGAGAATTTGTGGAGCATATGGCCCAGCATGTCCAGTATATGCACAAGGAAGCATATCTCCAGTATGAAGCTCGTCTGGCTGTTTCCTGCGACCAGTGTGAGAAACGACTTCGGACGCCTATCCATCTCGCCACGCATAAACTTGTAAGTGCCACCAGGTGTTTTGCAGTTCGTTCTGCAAATTGTTATCGCGGAATTCGCAGCGCGAAGGTGATACGATCTTGTTTTCTGCACGTCGTTTCTGAATAGCTGTTTTTGTGTTTTTAGTATGCACACAAAAATATACAAGGATTTAGATGTCTGGTCTGCGCTAAACAGTTCCCAAATTCCCACCAACTGTACGCGCACACAAAACAGGAGCATAAAGAGGGTCTCACATGTATGGTCTGCAAGAAAAGCTACCGAAAATATGTCGCCTTATATAGTCACGCGAGAACGCATAAGGAGGTCCATGTCTGCGACACTTGTGGCTCCGTGTTCCGCCTTAAGATCAACCTGGATCGACATCAGATAACTCACCGGTCGGACTATTCCTTCAAATGTGATTTGTGCGGAAAGTCCTTTAAGAGATCCAGCAACCTCGGTCAGCATAAAATGGTGGTTCACACGGATAAGGTGCGGAAGCAGCGCAAAGCCAAACGGGACGAACTGCGCCGGATGGGCGTGGTCAGCGACTACAAGTGCCCGCGGCAGAAGATGCGCTACGAAGAATTCCCTTATAAATGCGAAGAATGCCGGCTCGGCTGGATGCTGCTGGGTAATCTGCAGCAGCATCAACGGAAGAAGCATTCCCAGAGTGACGCAAATGTGCAAAGCGCTAAGAGTCATCCGGTATCTTCTTCTAGTGGATCCTTTAACTAACACGAGGGTGAATTGATTAGTTTTCAAAAACATCCGATGTGTGGGGGATTTCTTGAATTTTCGGATTTGTGCTTGGCAGCGTGGAGAGAAATCGGATATTGTGATTGCCGGCATCTGCGCTCATGTGATGGCTACCGAATTTCCTGTTTTGTTACTCAGTATTTATTGTGCTGTTTCTTACAATGAATTAAGAAGATCGTGAATTCTGATTACATAAGGGTATGACTTTTTTATCGCATACACAGCGCATGATACGCTCCTGTACGAGAAAAATCTATTCTTTAATCAAATTGCTAGTCAAAATATTCTATACACCGCCAGCCACTCCAGTCGGCATCTGGAATGTGTCTTATGCACAGCAAATTCCGCTTTCTTACAAATCAGTCACTAAACACAGAACTGTAAGAATAAATTGATATCGTATCATTAAAAAAATATGTACAGTAATCAGTAAAATTCCCGATAAAGCACAAAGCAATCACTCCTTGCGCTGCCGGCCGGCGCCCTGCTCGTTCTCTTTCTCCTTCCACTTCTCCCGCCCCTCCTCCTGCTCCTCCGCCAGCTGCCGCTCCGTCCGCGCATCCGCCTCATCCCGGTCCAGCAGCTGCTCCGTCAGCTGGCCCATGCCGCCGCCGTCGGAACTAGACTGAGCGCCCGATGTGCTGCGCCTCGAGCTCTCCCACAACACCGTCTGCTGGGTGCTCTGCGCCGGCGACCGCTTCGCATCCGCTTCATCCTTCTTTTCTTCAATATTGTCCTCATCATCTTCCTCCTGCCGTTCATTTTTCCGGGATTTTTTGGACGTCGATGGTTCATCATGTTTATTTTTCTTCCCTTTTTCCGCCTCCTTTTTCGCCATTGACTGATTTTTCACTTTATCATTCACTTGATTTTCTTCATCGTCTTCCCCATCGTTCTCCTGCTGCCGCATATTTTTCCCCGATTTTTTGGACGACGACTTCTCCTCCTCTTCCTTTTTCTTCCCACTTTTTCCTTCCTTTTTCACAGTTGACTGATTTTGCACTTCATCACGCTCCCCATTTTTCTCATCGTCTTCTCCATCATTCTCCTGATGCCGCGCATTTTTCCCGGATTTTTTCGACACGGATTCCTCTTCCTGTTTATTTTTCTTCCCACTTTTCCCTTCCTCTTCCCGCTCCTGAATTTTTCCATCCTTTTTCTTTTCGGGCGCTTCCGATTTCTCCGTTTTCTCGTCTTTTCCGCTATCTTTTTCTGACTGTTTTTCCTTCTCCTGTTTTTTCTTGAGCAACCCGTACGGGAGTTCATCCTGTCGGCCCGTATCCTTGGGATCCCACTTCTTCAGCCGCTCATCCTTGGACAGTAACTCGCGGCTCTTGGCGTCCACGTCCCGCTCGTCAAACCCAATATCATCCAGTTTAATGTAGCCGCCGGTGTCGGCGGACGCCTCTTCCCAGCGCGGATGCATCATCCGGGCCATCCGCTGGGGATCCGCTTTCACGCCGGGCTCGAAGGGTTTTGCAGGGGGTGGAGGGAGTTTGTCCGCTTCTTCTTCAAAAACACGGTTCACTTCACTGGCCGTCGAGGCGGGCGGTTGCCGGTCCGCAGCCTTATCCGATTTGTGGCGAACGGCGAAAATGGAAGGGATGAACGCACCACGGAATGATCCCTTCGTAACACAATCATTTTGGAGAAATGCACTAGAATGCCATTGACGAGATGAATGGGTAACGAGATAAGAAGATACTCCACATTCAAACCCTCGCGTGCAGTTCGATACAGATCTGCTCAATAATCGAGCAAGGCTCATTTTTGGACAGATGAAATCTCAAATCCGAAGATGAAAGCTAAAAGTAAAAGCAAAATGTAGAGTGGTACACTGAAAAACAGATTGCAGCTGCCACTATGAGGACATTTGCATGTTTTACTTTCATCAACTGTACGGAACACAAGGACAAAAATTTGAAGTTTTCAAATTTTTAACTCCAAAAACCAAAATTCGCATTTTTCATGAATGACGAAGTCAGCAAAGTGAAGTAAACAAACGAGATGAAACGACACAAACAAACGAGCGTGTGCGGTGTGCTGGAAAATCCCAGAATCGAAACTATCCTAAGCGCCACCTGATGGAGGCAGGCTGCCGCCATAATTAACAGTCGAACACGGTAAAAATCTTTATAAGAACTTAAGAAGGTACTAAACACCGGAAAAAAGGTGCGGTAACACCGGAAATGCCGCCAGTTTTAACGAAAAAATAAAGCGTCAGTGTTTTTAGTTACCTTCGAATCACAGGCGATTACTAATTTCTGCATAAAATTTTTTGAGAAGCAATGTCGTAAGTTCATAACCCAATAGCACGTAATTGTTGACCCTGTGAGCTGTGGAAATCTCTCCTAAAGTAACACATCATAGCTGAAATATCAGCTGATCCAACAGCGATGTCTTTTCCAGTACCGACGAGGAAACTTTGTAAATCAATATACAGCCAAAACGTAGAGTAGAAATAATTTTTATTCGCACCTTATGCATACGACCTCGTACAATCCGAAAGAAAAATTATTATATTATGCAGAAAGTGAGAAAGATCTAGATATATATGTACAATATTTATATAAATTGCAGTCTGGAGACAAGTGAAGCTTCAAAACCAATGTAATATCCGGAAGAATTATACCAATGGCAATTAATACTCCGGCAGCTTGACATCGTTATCATTCTCGGCCGATTTAGCTGCTGCAAGAACAGTACTGCGTAGTACTTCTTTGTACAGTGGCGTCACTGTGGGAATGTTTCTTCCGCTGATGCTGCTGTAGATTGCCCAGCAGCATCCAACCGAGCCGGCATTCCTCGCATTTATACGGAAACTCTTCGTAGAGCATCCTCCGTCGCGGGCATTTGTACTCGCTGACCACTCCCTTCCGGCGCATTTCCTCTCGCTGGGCTTTGCGCTTCTTCCGCACTTTATCCGTGTGCACGACGACTTTATGCTGATTCAGGTTGCAATGTCGCTTGAACGTCTTCCCGCACAAATCACACTTGAAGGAATAGTCAGCTTGGTGGGTTAATTGATGATAAGCCAAACGCTTCCGATTAGGACACACTGCTCCGCACACATCACAAATGAGGATCTGTCCGTGGCTCCTCGCATGGTTAGACAACTGCGTATATGTCCGGTAGCTTTTCTGGCAGGTGAAGCAGGTGAAATCGCTGCCCGCCTTGTGCTCCTTTTTTATGTGAACCACCAAACCGTGATATGATGCGAAGGGTGTGCCGCAAACCAGGCACCGCGCGCCTTTTCTGTTGTGTGTCATCTATAAGAAGAATTTTAAAAGTACGTATACACAGTTAATATATATCTTAATTTTAATTTAAATCAAATCTGGTTGCTTCTGTACTACGACTCACGCTTTTATGGGTGGCGATATGTTCCGGCGTCCGAAACCGTTTCTCGCACTGATCACAGGAAAGCGTTAAGCACGCTTCGTACTTAAGATATTGGTCCTTGTGCATATTCTGGACATGCTCCACCATGTGCTCCATAAATTCTCCACCCACACGGCACAATTTCCGATCGTTCAGTTTCGCTCCATGCCGCCCGACGTGTTTTAGCAACTCCCTCGCATTCTCTGCGCGGAAGTTGCATGCAACGCAGACAACATCGCCCTGATAGTCATCCGGCACGTTGTGACCGAGTTGGTGCAGATCGCACAATGTCTCCGTGCAGAATCGCAGCCCGCAGTACTTCACTCCGCAACTGTACATGAAGCACACGTCGTGTGTGTCGTGGCTTTGTGGCAGCACATCCATGGGAGCGGCCGTTGGACCCGCGAAGCACATGATACTGGGGTCAGCCGTCGCGATAAAATGCGTGATCTGCGCGGCGGGAACTCCGTGATCCAGGATATGCCTGAATAAATTCGGCAGCTTGCTGAACGATTCGTCACACACTGGACAATCCCGCGAGCCGGCAGTTTCACTGGCTGAATCAGTGTGCTGCAACTTGTGCAATTTCAGTAAATTCTCGTCCTGGAAATGCAACGAACACTCCCAACACACGAAACGGTACGTGTAGCTGGGGAAAAATCTATCGTGTTGGTAGCCCTTCTTAGTAGGATGCGGTCTGATGAGCGGGGTGGTTTTTTTCTTTGCACCAGCTGCATTCACGGGTTTTTGCTTAGTCACGCCATCCAAATCATCACCACAATTCTTTCCCGCCATTTTCGCAATCTCTCGCATGAGCTGCATATATTCGCGCTGGTTGTCGTCGGCGGAAGCGTCATCGTAGCTATCCAGCAGTTTGGGATAGTCGTCCAAGTGATTCTGCACGTATTTCGAGAAGTGGTCAGAATGCGACTTCCCGGCCTCCTGAGAGCAGTCCTCCTCGTCCAGATACGACTGCCATGCCGCTCTCCACGCTGCACGACGCTCACTAGCTGAGGAATACTGGTACGGATTAGCTTTAACGACCACCTTCAGTTTTCGTATTCTTTCGTCATTTCTCAAGCCTCCGCGTAATTCAACAAGTTGTTTCATCAGGGCAACGTATTCTGCAGACATTTTAACGATCCGATCACTGCTTTCGGCTTCTGTGAACTGACGCAACCGGCTTTCCGTTATCATTTGCAGCATGCGTCCATCGATCGGCAGCTTCTTATGCGATACCACGTCGGCCGGCAGCATGGCCGCAGCGGTGGAATACGCTTGCAAACGCTGCTCTCCGGCGGAATACTGGAAGGGATTCGCCGCAATCACGGCCTTCAGCTGCTGCTCTCTGGCTTCCCGAAAACTAGCACTGAATGTAGTTTTCTGCGTTTTCATTGACCTTAATGCTGAATAAAATGAATTTATACATTAGTTCTGCAACTTCTGGTGTCTCGAAGGCGATATTATGGCTAATGCATTTTCATACCGTGTTATACCAAAACGGGAACACCACATAATAATAAAAATTATATGCACTATTCACCAAGAAGACAACTTTTATTGCCGTACTGGTGGTTACTGATATCATCAGCAAGTTAATTTTCCTTTGTACAAATACTTTTATATTTATCATTCGTGCATATGACGATTTTCAGTTTTTGGAAGACTTACCTGAAAATCTCTTGATTCGTATCATTTTCGGTGTGGCGCCGTCCGTCCTTCGTTTCCTGCCTCTTTTTCCAGCTCCTCCGTTCGTTTCGTTTGTTGTATGAATCCGCAAGCGTCGCCCTACAAAAATGCTCCGAAAATACACCCAAATCGTGCCAGCCTGCTACCGCTGACGTCGGTCACCTTTGGCATGGTGTTCCTCCGTTTCTGTCGAATCTGTTTCTAATTCACTGCAACAATCCGATCCGGATGAGGACGAAGCTACAACATGCAAGAATTAATTTATCTGGAATTTAATTCGTATCTGCAAAGCACTTCGTGTCATCGTACAGTCAGCCGCAGATAACTTGAAATCCTCATCACTGGCTTCGCAATCGGAAGTATCCACGGCTTTGTACGCTAAGCTGGCGCGTTGCACCTTACGTGAGCGAAGGAAATATACACGTGACTGCGATGCAACACCAGCGGCCTTTTCCTCGCAACTAACAGTCGTCGGAAGTGCAGTTGTCTGCGCCATTATAACCGTGGGTGGAAAAGGAGGGAAGTTGGAAGAGAATGGATATTCAGGAGAATCTTCTCGCTGGAAAGTCCGCAACGTCGGCTCCGGTGCCGCTAGGAGCTGCTGCAGTTGACTTGCAATTGGTTCAACGGGCAACGAGGACTGTGGCGCAGATGCCGGTTGTTGATTTTGTTCAAGGAGTTGCGGCTGGGATTGTGGTAGAAGATCAAGCGGATCGTACTGCACCACAGGTTGTACGGCCGGGGAGAAACAGGAAGCAGGCACACTCAGCGTAATTTCCACCGGCCTTTCGTTCGCATCGTGCTCGCGTTTTATAGTGCGGCCATTATCCATCACGTCAGCGATGCTCACACAATCTGAACAAACGAAGCAGCATTCGAGTACAACTCGGAGCTTTTGGCTTCGAAAATAGGTTTAATTTTCTTAACAAAGACCGATCAGCGGTCCAAATGGAAAACTGTTACGCTCTTTTTCGCAGTACAGCCATAAGTATAACTTCGACTCATAAGATTAAAAGAACACAGAAAATGCCCAACACCATGCAGTATGCATATTGCATACTTTACACTAGCAACGGAAAAGTACGAAATAAGATTACATGCACTGATCGCGAAATGCCTCATGAAACAAAGTTAACAAACCTGCCACAAAAGCCGTCGGTAAAATGCTTGACCCCTGCAGGCCTGTACCTTACACTTACCCATAGGCACTGCTACGTAATTCACATGCTCGTCGATGATTTCCTTCCGGTCAGTTTGAGGCAGTGCCAATGTGAGTTCTTCTCCCGGAAGAATGACCTTAACGGCGACGAAGAACACCTTCTGTTCCCGGATGAAGACGCGGAGGTTGTGTTGGCCGTGGTCAACCGTCCTGACCAACTTCATCCAGTTGCACCAACGATCATTACCCACAGCGAACGTCACACACTGTCCGTCGGCCGATGCAATGTCCGCGAATGCGCTGCACCGGCATCGCATACAGGCGCGATAAACGGCCCGAACACCGTCTGCGCAAGGATGGTCGTACGGGCAATGACCAACGGGACTGCAAATGACAAGCAGGAATAAAACAGCGAGAAAGTAAATTTACCACAAAGCTTATTTCAGCAAAAGCGCAAATGGATTCATTAGCAAGGGCCCGGTGTTATTTAATGTTGACATATCTAATAAAAACAGTGAGTATAATCCCGAATGGTTGACGACGAAAACTGCCACACGAGGTTGACGACGAAAACTGCCACACGAGCACAACTTCATAATTAGTATCAAGATACGCGACGCAGGTGTTCTCCAAAATGCACAAGAAGTGAAGACGGAATATATACATACTCACAAAAACATTCCCGATTGAATTACATACATGTACTTGCGCTGTTCTCCGGAGACAGGCCGACATTTTGCAGTGGATTGTCGTTGTGAAACGCCAAGATATCTGGCAAGCTGGCGACAGCCAGCGGAAGACTGTATCCATCCTGAACGAACACTGCATGCGGCCAACACGGCTCACACAGGAAACACTGGCACTTCTCGCAATCTGCAGGAAGGGCAAATCGCGACGATTAACGAAGCCCAGATTACTGAGCTCACCAAAACGCAGAAAAATGATCAAATTCCTTTCAGTACTCCACTGGATTAAGCAGAAGTATTGGATTATTGCTATGTCAAGGTTCAATTGAAACGCAAGTGCACAAACCAGGAGCAGAGGACGGAAATCAAAGGTAAGCGGCAAGACCGCAAGATGACTTACAAAGGCTATCGTGAAAACTCTCCCCGTCAGGTAGGCAAGGCAGTTTGTCCAAGTTGCTATCCATCTACACGTCCAGGGAACTAACGGGTTAAAAAAGACAATGCAAAACGGTTAGTCAAAAGATTCAAAACGTACGACGCACGAGGAATCTGTCTGGAATCGGAAAGTCTCAATTTTTAAGTATTTTTTAAGTTTCTCTTCTTCTGATACAGTTCGCTGTTGTCTCTTGGCTCCGCCTCCGAAAAGTGCCATTGGGCAGCGCTTCCCGCGCGGTGAGCGACTGACGTACAGTTCGTCCGTACTACGTCGAGTACGATGAGAGCAGGTTGTAACTGTTTGTTTTGAAAGTTTTGCGAGCCATTTTGACATTTTCAGACTGTTTTCAGGTTTCAGATTGCTCAATTGGTCGAGTGTCGACACTAGTCACATTTCCACACTTACTGTTTGCAGATTCCGTAAAAACTTTGCAGTTTGATCAATTTTATGCCATTCAGTAGTCCAAACACGTCGTTATTCTTGTTGGAATTTGGAATATGAACGAGCAATGCTGGAGTTGATCAGACTTTTATCATGATGTTCAAATCACTCTTCTGACTGATCTCGCAGTTGTGGAGAACGTTGTCAAGCTGAAACCCAGTTACCTGCTGAGCATCGCTGCACGGGCCAGACCCAGTTTCCCCGACTCGTCTCCATGGAATCGCGAAAGCGCTGCCTGAGTTCCCCGCTGCACTACGCTCCCGCCCGTCGTCGTCGTCTGCGCAGCGACGACGGCGCCAGCGACGACGCTCCCCCCGTAACAATGGACGAAACCCCGCTGGAGGATGAGGAAACCGTCATCCAGCATCCCGCCCACTACGACGCCGACGTCTCCGACTGCGGCGACCTGGACACCACCAATATCCCCTCCAACCTCGACGGGAGTGCCGCGGAGTCCGCCGCCAACCTCCACCGGGTGCGGGATAGTCTGAGTCAGACCAACCTGTCCTTCCTCAACAACTACGACTTCCAGAGCGCTGTGGCCGCCGTCATGCAGATGGCCGAGGCCGAGCACCACCCCCCGGCCTTTCTGGCGCCGCGCCACCAGCATCGACACTCGGCGCTGTCCGACGACTCGGAGGTGGACAGCCATTCGGAGGTGTCGTTCTCCTGGGATATGACGCCCAGTCAGGGGCAGCGCGCGGGGCCCCTGGACGACTGCGAGGTGCTGCGGAATCTGGGGCTGGCGTCGCCGGGGTTGTCGCCCATTCGGGATATTGACAGAGGGGAGACGCCGATGAAGGACACGCCGGATAGGGGGCGGAAGACGCCGCGATCCACTGCCAAGCGAGCGCTCAAGTTTTCGCCGGCGGCGAGCTGGCCGCGATAATTTATCTCTAGTGCGACAGGAATTATTTACCTCTACAGTCCCGTCTTTTTTTGAGTGCATTTGTTTTTCTGTTTTTTTCAGCAGCGGCACTCAGTTTTTTTTATTCCTGTACTTAATTTATTTTTCTGTGTCCAGTATATGTTCCAGTGTTTTTGCATCTTGTCGACTGGTACCCGACTACCCGTAGCAGATTTTTTATAGTTAATTTTGTCGGCAACCATGCAGTACGGAAAAAGAATTTTGATGATGTTCCTGTGTTCCATTGCTCGTTGTTGGGTATTCACATTTCAACCGCACTCAAACGAATAGACAAAATATAGATTCGGAGCTAAAATAGAAAAACAAACTCAAGAATCTTTTTACTCGGGACTGTGCATGTGGAATCTTTTTATTCAGGGCTGTTTTTTGATTTATCATTTATGGAAAATAATTTAAAGAATTGTTTTGAAACCTGGGTTAGTAAGAATCTGTCACGAGCGGCGGTTACATGATTGGTGCCTGGGAATTATGTCATGCTCTCCGAGTTTTGAGCTGTATCGGTGGGTTTGTAGATTTTTGTTTGCATTGCGTCAAGCAATATTTGCATTAATATTCTGCAGATTCGTTGATGATTTTTGTTTAACTAGCGATGCAGTCATTTTTTACAGCGAAAACCAGAAAGCGCTGTCTCATGTTGTAGACTGGTCTCCCGTGTTATTGACTTTAAGTTTACAGCAGTATAGCTCAGAAGTTATAGCTGCGATTCAAATTCTGGAATTATTGACTATTGAATATTGATTTTCCACGATGAGTCAACAAAATCTGACATTTTTCCGCTATCCCCCTTCATGGCTCACGGATTCCTTTTTAGCGGGGATCGGAGTGATTTTTGCCGCCGGTGCCATCACTATCTGGGGCCTGAAGAAACTGATTTTCACCCGCGCCGTGGGCAATCGGTCGTGGTACGATTTATCGGGAAAAGTCGTGTGTGTAACGGGCGCCACGGGCGGCCTGGGCAAAGGTGGGATTATTCGACAAAAGAATAACGTGGCCCGATTATTTTACGGTTATTTTCTTTACAGCCTTAAGTAGCGTTTTGATTGCGCGGGGAGCGAAAGTGATCGTCACGGGGCGCAACGCGAAGGCGCTGGCGGAACTGATCGATGAGCTGAAGCACGTTCCAGAGCATCAGCTGCACAATCCCACAGTAAGACCGGTCACTTGTTGTTCATTCTGCAGTTGAAATTTTTCTGATGATTGTAGGTTTATAATCCGGTTGGTGTGGAATTGGACCTGGGGAATTTGGACAGTATACCCGCAAAGGCAAGGGAAATTCTGTCGCGATACGGACGAGTGGATGTGCTGATTCATAATGCTGGTCTCAGCTCGCGGGGGGCTGTCATGGAGACAGGCATCGAATTGGACAAACAGCTGATGACCGTCAATTATTTGGCGCCGGTGGCGCTGACCAAAGGTGGATGGTTATTTTCGATTATTTACAATTTCATATAGACATAAAAATGCAGAAATTAAAAATCAGTGAGTAGAACAGTTCGTCTAAACCATCCAGAATACTGTCGGAATTTTGATGCCGGTTTGCGTAAGGATTTGCTGTGTTCATAACGATCAGATGTACAATTTGCAGAATTACTGCCACCGATGGTGGAAACAGGAGATGCCTACGTTGTCGCTATCGGTAGCGTCCAAGGAAAGATGACATTGCCCTTTCGATCGCCATGTAAGTATTCTTGGCAGTGAGAATTATAAAAAAATGTTATCAAATTACGCAAAATGCGTACAACTGAGCAAATAATGATGCACGTACTATTTAGTACTTTTCATATTATCGTTCTAGAAAGATCATGTTTAAATAATTTTATTTGTGAATTATCTTGTTTTCTCTCTCCTGTTCAGTTCAGTTGAATTTGTGGAGCCGAGTCAGTTGATTTTTGACTGTGCGCAAAACAAGGTTATTTTTAAAATAAAGTCATTTTTGACTGTACGTACCTGTTGCAGATGCGGCATCAAAGCACGCTTTACACGCGTTTTGTGAGTGTCTGCGAGCGGAAGTGCAGCACCAGGGCGTCAGCGTGCTGGTGGTCAGTCCCGGATACATCCGCACCGGTTTATCGCTGAACGCGCTGACCGGAGACGGCGCGCGATACGGAAGTGAGTGCATCCGCTCGTGGTCGTGTTTTTTATTTGCATCTCGTTCGTTACATTGCAGAAATGGATGAAACCATCGCCACGGGTATGGAACCGCTGGCAGTGGCCGAGGAAACCATCCGCAGCATTGAACATCGCCGGATGGATGTGCTGATCTGCGGTTTCCTGCCTACGTTGGGTATCTACATGCGGACACTTTGGCCTTCACTGTATTTCCTCACCATGCGCCGTCGTGCTGAAAAGGCACTGAAAAAGGCTTAAGACGGTTACACCGTCACGCTTTGAGCGTAAAAAGTATAAACACCACGTTCCTGTTTTAGCATTCCGAGTGCCGTTTAATGGTTTTAATAATTTTAACTGTTTCGTGATTATGTATTCTTCAAGTCTGGTGAACCGAAATTGTGGTACTCACTATTAAATGCGTTCGTCCGACAAGTGGCACTGAACGACTGAACCGTGGAAGCAAAACATAATGTCGGATTGTATTCAGCTTTCTCATGCACTGCACAAAAATCGCAAGAGATTACTTAAGACAATAAATCCCACTAAAATTCTTCGACGAATACGTAAGTACAAAACGCGACTGAACATTGAATCCTTATTTTAATTAAATTCTAACAATCCTGATTTTATTATTAAAAATCGAAGCACAGTTGCCAATTAATTCCCGGAATGTTTCCGGTTTCTATGCTGCTCATATCCCCCGCGTTTCAACCAACCCAACCGGCAATCCTCACATTTATACGGGAAATCCTCATAGGCGATCCTCTTCCGCGGATTCACATAATCCGGACCCCGCACCTTCGGTGGGGCCAGCGGTCGCCGCAGCGGTCTGACCCGCTTCCGCTCCTCCTTATGCACCGTCACCCGGTGCTGCCAGAGATTCTGGGAGCGCTTGAAGGTCTTATCGCATTTCTCACAGGCGAACTTGTACTGGGCGCTGTGCGTCGCTTTATGCTGCCACAGCTTCATCGACGAGGTGAACTGCATGGGACACTGCGGGCACGTCAGGGTTTTGGGTGCGTGGATTTTGACGTAATGCTCCGAAAAAGCGCCGTACGCAGCGAAAAACTTCAGGCACATCGGGCACTGGAAACCGCCGGAGCTTTTGTGCACGCCGACGTGCTTGGACAGTGTCGCCGAATTGGGGTATTCCATCGGGCAGAATTTGCAGCGGATAGCGGTATCGCTGTGCCGATCCTACCAAACACAACCATTAAGTGATTTCACGGCAAAACTTGAGAGGAACTAGAAACTTAAACACATACAAGAAGCCATTCCGATGATTCGACGCGAAATCTGATTCGAAATGAAATTTTAAACATAAACAAAATATTAAAAAAGGCTTTACAACAACAGAACATACAATATCATATATCTCAGAACATTTCGAAAAAGTTTTGGTTTTGTATGTTATAATATGGTTACAATAATTGCAACAAGACGACTGATAAAATAGCGCTAAATTCAAGCAGTTTCTGTGCCGTTTGTGAAATGATCTGAAATAAAATAAAGAATTTACGCATTAAGTGTTGACACTACTTCTTCAAAAACGTTTTGGATTGAAGGATATAGGGTGGCACGTTAAAATGGTTAAATAAAAAAAGACTTGTTGATCATTTTCACATTTCTGGCGACTCCAGTTAAATCAAATGGACATTTGAAATGAAATAACTGGAAAATCGAATCTAATCCAGTTACATAGAAAAACTGTCTGAAAGCAGACGAAACTTACCAGCATATGTCGTGCCAGCGCGCATTTGGTCATGAACTTCTCCCCGCACTGATCACAGCCGAGCGTGTAGTATTCATCGGCGAATTTCCGGAACTCCTCGGGATGCATGACGACCACATGCCGCTGCACATGCATCACCGCCACCCCGCACACCCGGCACAACTTCCGGTCGCGCCGCTTCGCCCCGTGCTGCCGGACATGCTCCAACAACTCCCCCGCCGTCGCCGCCTCCCACCCACACCCCGGACACCCCAACGGCCCCGTGTACTCCTCCTCCATATGCGCCCGTTTGTGCAGCGTCACCAGCTCCTCCGTGCAGAAGCGCAGCCAGCACTCCGTGCACTGGAACATGAAACACAGGGAATGCGGCACATGATCCTGGGAAATCCCGGTGGGCAGGGCGTCGTCATCCGAGGCGGTGGCGTCCACCGAGGCGAAGATGCTGGGGTCGTCCGTCGGGACAAACTGCGGGACGGGGGCCGGGGGAGGGGTTGTCTCGGTGACCACGTCGTCCTCGGCGGGGTCCGGGGCGAGTCCGGGGTGTTGGCGTTCGCGGTGCCATTTTAGTAACACGGCGTGATGGAAACGCAGCGAGCATTCCGGGCAGACGTAGCAGAATTTGTCGCCCGTGTTCTGGAGGATGATGGGGGGATCCGCGCTGGAGGGGCCGCTGAATAATGGTGCGGGGCTGGCGTCCGCCTCGGAGGAGTCGTCCAGGGAGGGCAGACCCGTCCGGATATCGTCCGCATCTTCCGTTTCATCGGTTTCCTTGCGTTCTACATCGGATTCTTCCGATTCTACCACACAGTGCAAATCAGATAAAGTTTTTTTTTTAAAATCATATTACCACTTCTCAAAATTGCCCAGTTATTAACAGAATTTTTTCTTAAGACAAAATTCAACTTGTGATGTTATAATACATTGTACACTTCAGAAAGCAGATCACCATTTTCCAAACCTGCTCAGTTATCAACCAACTTTTGTGAAGACAAAATTCATTTTTTCATTTTCAACATATTTCACATCACCACTTTGGATCTTCGCCATCGCTGCTTAATTAATAGCAGAATTTTTCTGAAGACAAAAATACACAAAATTAATTGGTTTTACTTCTGAATCTTGAACCAAATTCATATGTTTCACCGTTTTTCAGAGTTGCTCCGTTTTTAAAAGAACTGGTATTTAAAAGATATATTTCCCGAAGCGTTTCACTGCCCCATAGCAGAGATAACTTCACCATAGAGACGACCACGCTATGGGTTACAGGTTTTGTCAGCAATATATATACGATACGAGCACATACCAGAGTCGCGCTCCAGCTTGGACCACTGATAATCCACCTCGTCATCGCCCAGCATGTGCATAGTAAATATATCATCGAAAGATAACTCGTGCGGGCGCTGACTCGTTGCCTCACTTGGCTGTGCGGGCGCTGCCTCGGTTTTGACGACTTTGAGAATAGGTTTTGAAGCGGTTGGAGGTCCCCGTCGTGGTCGTCGCATGCCCGAGACAGCACGCGAGGAACTGCCCGACGTGGCCATTTCGTGCTGACGATCCTATTCAACAGTCAAATATACTCCAGAAATATGAAACGTTTCAGTGTAAAAGAGAAAAAGATTTATTCAGGATGCAGAGAATCAAATTCAAAGATAAGACGTAAGAAACTGGAATGATGTGGAAAATTGAAATCAATGACATAAGCAGCAAGCTGAAGTGGATCAAGAAATTACGGAAGAAAACGGAAACTGGACTGCAGCCCTGAGGGCGGTAAGCCATTTTAGTGCTTATCCATTTTAGCAGCCGCTAGAATCGCATAACACTTTTAAGTTATCTAGTTCAAAGTTTTCTGGTTTCCAGTTTTCCGAATTTTCAAATATATCCTTGACAAGAACGATACATGTTGTGCAGATCAATAGTGGCTCATCAGAAAAAAAAAGCTTGAACCGATTATCTAAGTTGATGCGTAAAATACATCCAATGTCCGTATCGAGCGTCTCCTGGCAGGCTAAATTTTAATTTGATGCCATTTTTTTCGGTTTCCAGTAATAATAACCACGGGTTGTACGGGTCGAAAACCTCAAAAACACCCGGTTCATAGCGTTGTAGATTACTGGTTCTCGCCTGCTGTTAATTTACTAATGGCAATCTTCATCTCACCAAAGGCTGTCGGCGTTTTGCTTCTGTATAACACATCTCCATTTTCAGTTTCCCGGCAGTTTATTTTGATTACTGTACTTGTTCAAACGATGGCAACGCACAAACGAAAAAAGCAGTGTACTGTAATTAATTAAACTGTGACGATATAAAAATCAATGTATTCAATTAAACCAGGGCAATACAAAAACATAAAAAAGATCCAAATTAATGTAACAGTGTTTTCAACATTCGCCTTTCCATCCGTAATCCAGTGCTCGGGCGCAAAACACCAGGGTATCCGTAATTTCCTCAATCTGCAACATCGAATTAACGGTTATTCGGAAAATTGCGGCTCACTGCGTATGGCGAACAGTATCGCGTAATTCGCTACAAGAACTCACAATCTTCGTCGTCGACTTGCCGGCACCGTGGCCCGCCTTCGTCTCGATCCGGGCCATCAGTGGATTGCGCTGGCGTCCGGCCAGCTCCGCGTCGGCCTTGCACAGACGGTGCTGCAACTCGGCGACATACTTCAGCGAGTGCAGCGGTGACACGCGGTCATCGTGGTCGGCGGTGACCACCAGCAGGGCCGGGTACTGCACGTCCGCCTTGTCCGGCGACCGGATGTTGTGCAGTGGCGAGTACCTGTTCATCGCAGACTCTTCTTATTTGCAAAATTAAAACAACCTCCTTAATTTTTCCCTCAAATAATAACACTGAAAACTGTTTTTTTTTATTTCCACTATGAGGTTTTTTACATTCCTAAATCCTACTTAATTATAACGTCGTAATCGTCCTTCTCATCAGGGTTGCCGTAATCCGACGTCCAATAGTGACCAATCGTAAATTTATGGAAGCGCAGCATATCCATCACCCTGCACCAGACACACATACAGAGATTATACGATTTAGCGTACTTAAAAAACGAGAGTTATGATTTCTGCTTACCCAACCATGGGAACAGCAGCTCCAAACAAATCTGGTCGTTGATTACTGCGCAACAAAACTCCCATCAAAATTTCCAGTAAACTTGACATCTGATACAAGTGAGCAGCAGTCTATCCTACCAGCAGGCACCGACAAGTAATCCTCCGTTGGAGCCTCCCATTATCACCAGTCTGATCAATAAAAAATATAAATGAAACACGCGATATTTTATACTTTATATTAAAAAGTCTCGTATGCGACGCACTTGTCTCGCGATGTGTAACCTTCCTGATAAAGATACTCAGCGGCCATTTGGAAGTCCGTAAAGCAGTTCTGCTTGTTCTTCAGCGCACCGGCTTGCCACCATTCCTCTCCGTATTCCCTAAGAAAACATATTCATACATACGAAACGCAAACCTGAGAAAATATTGCTCGTTGTAATAAAAATGACTGCAACAGACTTGTGCTGTTCACGATCTGACAAATTTCCAACCATGAACGCGTTTTGAGACGTTTTGGTTGAGACGCGTTTTTGACAATTCGCAGTGCACCATAATTATGTAGTCGACAATGAGCAACAACGTTCTCAACTTACGAGCCACCGCGAATATTGGCCACAGCGAATATCCCATCGAAGGCTTTCAAGAACGCGACAAACCGGGCGCTAAAATACGGCTGCACGGCAATATGGAAGCCTCCGTATGCGTACAGCAGACACGGAGTATCCGGACCAAGTTTCAATCCCTAAAAAAGCCCCATCGTTAAAACACACAGCATCGCAATACTGGGCGCTACGAAATATCGACGAAATAAGCAATCGGACAGGTTAAAAAAATCCGAAGATGATTATGTACACACCTTCCGGAAAGTGATAAACATGGGGATCTGTACAGCATCCTTGCTCGGATAGAACACTTGCTTTGTTTCATACTGCTCCGGATCGAAAGCTGTTGTCTTGATTTCACGAAAAATCTGGAAAAACAACACGCTGCACAGCCTCCGTACAGAGAAATTATTTACCAAGCTTTCGACTTACAGTAGGATTAATGGATTGGGATAAATCACACTTGTACACCGAGCCCGGATTGGTGAATGACTGGACTTTGTAGAAGAACTGAAACCCACCAGATGTGAATAAACGTACTAAACTGATACGAGCAAAATACGTTCCGTTCTCTACGCTGCTAGATTACGGATGACCGATTCACTGACTGACGAGAGTTTCTTCTTGTAGCTGATTTGCATCACCGCGCTGCAACCGAGATCGAAGGCATACTCGCGCTCCCCAGATTGCAAGTTGTGGATGTACATAGCGCTCTGCAATAAAGGTGGATTGCAAATCGGATATCTTTTAAGGACATCCAAAGCGCAATATATTTGTGCGCAAATATAAATGTTGTATAACAAACAGACAAATAGGTACGAGTACAGGTTTACAAACAGAAAGCCTAAAGAAATAACAGCGGTGTTCTTACCTTAACATCCTCGATATAGTGGACGATCAGTTTATTTCCCGCCGCACAGCACGCCCATTCCAGAAAATACTTCTTGTTTTCCGGAATAAGTATTTTCCAGTTATTCTGCAATAAAAATCTGACAATAACCAAGAATCCAGCCAGCTGTTGAGCCAGAATACGTACTCGATCCGGGTTGTTGACATCCACAACCATGACCTTATGGTTGGGAGCGTCCAGGTTTGTTTTGATGTAAAACAGCGAGCCTTCGTTCGTTATCAACTGAAAACAGGATACTTCTAACAAAAGTCCACAACAATAACACACATCCCTGAGTGTTTGCAAGAACAATCTCAGTAGTTAGTTTCAGCATATATTGTAACTAGCATATTGAAAGATCATAATTAGTGTAAATCTCAAGCAGTGCAAGAAACTTACACTGTATTCCGCGTCGAAATCTTGGAAGAGTTTGACCCAGGGAAGCGGTCCTGTAACATCCAAATATGCGTTACATGCGAAAAACGGATGGTAATATCGACGCAACGTACCCTTAATGTCTCCAACTTTAGTCAGGTCGCAGTACCAGACAGCGTTTTTGGATTCACAACTGCGGCTAATGCTCATAACGGCGTACCGGCCATCATCCGTAACGGAAACTCCTCTGTAACAGCGCAGAATATGCAGATATTACAACCTACGGTCATCATCATATCATCTACATCATCATATCACCTAACTGTACGGCTGCATATATTAATTTTGTTATAACGCTTTGCAAAGCAGAATTTCTCCAAAGGCATTCGTCCTTTTTAACAGTCACAACGCCTAACCATAATTTAATCTGGCGCTTCTCATTCAGTTGATAATATCCGTTTATTTCGTAACCTGGCTGCAGTACAGCACTTAATATCTGCAATTAATATCAAAATTTATTTGTACGAATATATACCCCTTCCAGCTAGGATTTTCCGGGAATTCGGCGCACATAACGTCTTTCGCCTGGGGCGTACCCAGGTAATGGTAGTATAGCTTTTGGTTATAATCCGAACCAGTGTGGGTTCCGACAGCGTGTTCCGCAGACGTCTCGGGATACATCTAACCACAAAATCGAAATGTCATTCCTGATGCATGACTGTTCCGTAATACTCCACACAAATATAATTTACGTTGTAGAAAAATCCTTTATTATCGTGCGTCCATTCCAGACACGAAAACTTTACACGCTCCAGCACATCTGGCAAATCCGTTTTGGTGTCGGCATCCATAACCTATCGGACACGTTTTAGTGTAACAACATGGTCAAAAGTTCCTTATCTGTATAAAGTTCAAGTTGTTCATGATTTATTTATGATTCACCGAGTACTACTCTGATTAGCCAAATTATGCAGGCGATAAATCACCTTGATGGTGCGCCAATCGCTGCCTCCGGCGCTGATCATGTACGCCATCAGGCGGCCATCTTCCGACCAGCTGGTTTGGCTCAGGGAGGTTGTTCCGTCCTCGGACAACGTGTTGGGATCGAAAAACACCTCACTACTGTCGTCGTCTATCGACTTTTGCCGATACATCACGCTGCCGAAGAAAAATCATGAAATCAACTTCCAAATCAGATTCCATCCGTGTCACCTCTGATTCTGCAGTCCGCTGTTGAACATATAGTAAACGCGCTGTCCTTCGATGTTGGGAGCTCCATAACGCGGATAATCATGCAGCTTCGTCACCCTAGGGTAGTATTTTTACACATTCAGGTTAAGAACAATAAATCCTATCAGCAGACGCAGCATTAAGTGACTGTTTTTAGTGTTTTACCATAAAATGCAGTCATTAATACTAGAATAATTCAGGAAAAAAATAAAATGACCAGAAAAAATTGTCGGGTGCGTAGCTCGGTAATTATCCAAAATTTTAATTACGTTTAATATTTATTTCTGTAACGTAATTTGGTGTTTAAAAACGTTTTTCGTGTTTTCAATTTTAACAGCAGCTCCAAAATGAATACAGCACATTCAACTGAACTACAGCGCAATTACAACGCAAACTCGTCGATAAAAACCCTTCTTCATGGTAAAAAGTGGCTGGTAACAAAAACTACACAAGAAAAGACGGGAGGCTGACTGCTTACATGTTCTTCAGCTGATCGTAATGAGGATAGGATCGCAGGAATCCATTGGTGACATGGTTCTGCTTCTCCACAAACTCCTTGGTCTCCGGCGCGTCGGGATCCTCCAGCCAGCGATACGGATCCGCAATCTACGCCAGTATGTCAATAAAATCAGGTGGCCAATACACAGCTCGTGTACAACGGCGTACGTTATCACCATGATGCTCGAAGACCGACGCTTCGTCGCGTCGAACGTCGGGATACGCAAAGCCATCGCTCCACTTCTTGCCAGCGCTCACACACGTTGCTCCTTGCTGCGACATCCTGCTCCTCACTTGACGTTGATGGATCAAATTGTAAGGGGAATAATTTACGGTAATAGATTCGGGATTACGGAGACGAGGGAAGACCCGACGACAGAAAATACCAACCGAGCGAAATTGCAGAAAATGCATCTCATTATTTTATCGACTGGCAAACACGAAACTGCAGACGTCATCGCAACCGGAACAGCCTTATCGCTAAATTTGTCATAAGGTGCACCACCGCCTGGGTGCCAGTTGCCAGTCTGCCGTCGATTAACAATCACTTTTTTTTTTAATTTTTCATTTGTCTTTGTGATTTGCCATTGAATTTATTTTAACTTTTAAGTATGGTACTTTCTGAAATCTGCGTACTCACTTCAGTGTATCGTATGTACTGCGTATTGTTTTTATGGTTTTTGAATTTGACTTTCTGTTGCAAAAAGTTAATTAAATGTATAGCATAGAAGAAGTGTTTCTTTTGTAAACGCTGTTTTGTTTTGTTCTGGTGCATAGTTTGTACTCGTACCATGATACTTATTAAAGGTACATTAATTATTAAATGTTATAACGCTTAATTAAAGGTATTAAATGCGCTTTTGCGATAATTCGGTAGTTCACAAACCAGTAAGCCATAAGTTTAGTACTTAACTGCAATCTGCAATCGTAGCGGTGCTTTATGCATGAGAAAGTGTTCTGGGTAAATTAATGTATGTAAATACAAAGCAGTAAGCGGCTTGCTGCATAAAATTTGGATGATTGAAGTTACTCATCCTAGTAAGCCATGTTATATGTAGAATAATTTTGTTTTTTATTCACATATGCGTAAAATTTTCATGTAAAAGCAGGAGCAAAAAGTTTATAATATATAGCACTAGATTGCCAGAACATCTGCTGAGAGCCGGTCAAATTCCGAATAATAGCTTCCCGATGGTTTCCGCATAGCGTCGGCGATTTTCTTCTTCCACTCGCCCACCGCGGCCGCAAATTCCTCCCGTCCATCCAAAATGCGGGAAATAATCCCCACAATTTCCTCCTCCGGCACCACCCGGACCGTCGGCCCCATCAGCCCCGTCCCTCTGACCCGCAGTCCCAGCCCGGCATCCTCCAGCCACTGCGAATTCAAATATTGATCGGAAAACAAAGGCCAACCCACCACCGGCACCCCCATCGCCAGGCTCTCCAGGGTACTGTTCCAGCCGCAGTGGCTGACGAAGAGCGCCAGTGCCGGGTGTCCCAGGACGAGGCGCTGGGGTGTCCAGGAGGTCAGGAGGACGCTGGGATGGGTGCGGAGGGTGTCGGCTACATAGGAGTGGTGGGATACCGGAAGTGACCACAGGATGCGGGAGTGGTGGCGGGTGATGAGGGTCAGGAGGGTGTTGCACAGCGCGGTTAGCTGCGGCGGGGAGGGCGTGGCAACCGTGCCGAAGGAGACGTAAATGACGGAGTGCGGGGCACTTTCGTCCAGCCATTGTATAATTTTCTGGCCTGCAATAAACAATTCTATCATTAGGATGCACTGCTGTATCATGCAACTACGCCAGTATTTCTGAAATAAGGGAATAAATTAATATTTATTTTATCACGTATGCAATATTAATCAATTTCATATTAATTTTGTTGTAGTATATTGAGATGCGTAATTATTTTTTTATGTAGTGCAAGCGCTGAAGCTACAGTACATGATTCACCTAATACTATTGTATTGGTACAGATCGTTAGTTTAATACAACGTATAAGTACAATACATAGTGTTAAAAGTAATTACAGTAAAATAATGACAAATACAGTGATAACTTAACAGAAGAACGTCAATATAAAAAAATACGTAGCAAGTACTGGTACTCGAGAAGTACAAGTACGGAGTATAGAAATAACCATTATGAGTACTGTACGTTTTAATTAAGAAAATCTGCAGCATTATTTTTCCAACCTGATTGATCTTCCTTGGTACTCGTGCCCTCCTCCTCCGGAAACAGCGGCCCAATTTGGAAAATGTTCAGCCCAGCCAAACTGTATTTATCCGATTGCACATCCCGTACCAACTCATCGGCTAAGCCGGCAAATGAATTGAGAATAAACCCGCGCGCCTTGCCCAGTATGACCTTTCGCTCCAGCGTCATTTCCTTGAACGCAGCCGGCATCGCCGCCTTATTGCGGAAATCATCCAACATGGGCGACGGTCCAGCCGCGTCATCCGTCGGCGTGGACGCCGTCAGCGTCAACAACGACAAGGCCATCAAGGGCGCCCCGGTATTAAACACACAGTACGGGATCTGCCGGTCGGCCAGCACCTCCGCCGCCGGACTAACGTAATAATCGATGATCACCAAATCCACGTTGCTGATGTTGGATAAATAACTTTTCAAGCCGGGCAGAATACCGGCTAGCTTCATCTGCAGTCCCTGCATGATGTTCTTTGGGGGACCGGAAGTGGATGATCCCGGCGCCGGTGGGGATTGGGATTCCATCATCTTGGTGAGGGTCTGGGCTATGGTCAGCTGGGATCCGTGGGAAGATGTTATCTGCATAGACAGCGAGTCCACGTCGATGACGTGAAAGACGTGCAGCTCGTCGTCCGGCGTGAGGACGCCTTTGCTGCGCAGTTCGGCGAGGATGTCGCTGGGCACGGTCATGCTGATGCGGATGTCGCGGCTGTGCAGCCGGCGTCCCAGCTGGATGAAAGGAATGTAGTGTCCGAAGGCGCTGAACGGGACCATTAACACGGTTTTCGTACTATGCTTTGACCGTTCCATCTTGTTTTTACAGATTGGTTCCAAAACAAATACAACACAGGGTCAAATATAAAAATATATTATAGTCTTTTTCCTTATAGTCTTTTACGTACTGTAAAGGGATGTCTTCTCGTTACAGTGTGCTACTTGCCCACAAAGTCGAAAAATTATTATCGTTCGATCACTTCTGCTAATTATATAATGTTCGGCGCAGGTTTTAATTAGAGTACGTTTTAAGCTTATCATGATGCATATTCTATATGCCAATACAAACAGATACGATGAAAACGCAATATTATACAGTAGCTATCTTACAATTAGATAAAGAGTTAAGGACAATTATGGTTATCGCAGTTACACTTACCTTCTGGTGTATATATAGAATGTACGTGCTGCTAACAAGTAAGGAATAACTGAAAGGCGTGCAGACTGAAATATGTAAACTACAGATTTAAATGTGAAAAGCTGATATCTGCTGTTTCTATTCATCTCCTGACGAAATAAAAAGTTTCACCGAAAGCATTATGATATGCCTGACCTAGCAAACCTGCATAAGCCAAAACTTAATACAGTACACGTAAAACCGCCACGATCGGTTAGTGCAAAGCGGATAAATTGTGAAAATGCGTTTCCACTTCCGCTTATGTACTATCCGTAGTATCAATACCGTACTTCGTTATAACGTATGGTGAAGTATGTAACAGGACCTGCAAATTCTTGGAGATTATACGGCTTCGCAGAAAATGCATAATAGAGTCCCATGAGACCAGAACAGTTAGTGCTTGCATGTTCGCGCTTTAAAGTTTGTTGTATGAAATAAAAAACAAAGTAGTATAGTAACCAGCGACGACTGTTTTTATACATGTATGTACTTTGATACAGTGCCGGCCAAACTAATGTTCTATAAATATAACAATCATATGCATTCTATACGCAGATGAACTGTACGAAGAATGCACCGCGACAGTCTGGGGAAATCGTCAAATTTTGGCACTGCAAATTTTTAGTCTGCTGAGGTTGCTGTTGTACTATGAAAATCACATTTTCCGGTACGTACACAACGCAACAGGTTAAACCGGAATTTTCGCGCTATTCGTTCATATCGCGCACAGCCAAGAAATGCTTTACTTCACCGTACTTTCGGACTATCTAACCGTAAGTAGTACCTTGTATTAATTTATAGTATATGTACGTACATCAGGTTCAAAAGGTCCAAAAGTACAAAACTAAAAGGCTGACTGTACAAGTACAGTGTATACGCGTACGAGAAGTGAAGCACGGCGTTTCACAAACAAATCATTACGAATTCAGATTAAACTCAAAGGTTGTGGATACGTTTTAAAATTGTAAATACTGACTATCAAACCGGGCTAGGCTAGAATCAGAAAAGTAGTACTTTGATTGCAGACCATCTGCATATTAATATCAGCTATACTTCTATAGATATACTGTATATGCTTGTCACAATGTACCGGGATTAATGCACCTCAATTTCCTTTGTACAGCACCATTTTCTATTTCGTACATTTATTATTTATAAGCTATGTGCGCCTTCAAATCGAACAATTCAATCTTAAAATCCATCCGATCACCGTAAATACTTTAATAGTACACACAGGTCAACGTTCACCAACCGATCGTACTTAATTAGCAACTCTATTGTGCATTACCGACAAAAAGTAAACAGACTACAAAAAAATATTCACGCCCTAAAAAAGATAAAACGGCTGTTTAAAGAAGCAAACACTAGCGCCGGTTAAAGAATTAAAGTTAAAGAAGACGCATATAAAAAAAGGGAAGTTTTAAAGGTCAGCTGGACAAACACCAGGTAACATGCATTCCGGAAAGTTGACGCACGAAAATGACCAAAACCTGCAGAACGGAACCTACATCGGGTCTTCCCGCATCCTTAATGTCTCCTCATCCCTCAGAACGAGTACGCTTTCCGACCAGACCGATTTCGGCCACAAGGCAAACGGTGCCATACAGGTACTCCAGAGAGGCCTCATTACCAAGGGCGACGTACTGAGTTTTCACTTCATTGTAGCTGGTCGATTCGGTGATCCACTGAATGTCGACAGAGTATTTCACCTTCTTTCCCTTCTTAGCGTCCCAACGTTCACGAGGTGTGCCATCTGGATACGAAAGAATCAAGGCCCCTTTCTCCTGTGCCAGTTCATCACCAGCAGACGTTTCCACCCCACCATACTGCGACAGATCCACAACATGGTCGGTTAGAACTTCCACATAGTGTGGATCGTACGGACCATGGTTTTCCGAGTCACTTTCCCCATCATCTTCACCACCATCGGAATCACCAACCATGCTATCATCTTCGCTGTCCCTGGTTGTGTCCGCGCCTCCCTCGTCACACTGTCCATTCTCGTCACCGGAGTTCTCGCTCCCATCGGAATCCACAGGCATTTTCTCGTCTTTGTCACCGAAATAGCCATAGTCGTGGGTCAACATTTTCGGCTTAATGGGCAGCGACAACTGTTGACAAACTTTCCTGACCAGCGCATCGTTGCCCTTCAGACATTCCATTACACTGCACAGCTTCGTCTCGGCATTGACCGGGTACTTGTGTTGCAGACCAAAGCCGACCAGTCCGCCATTCGGTAAAAATGTTGGATCGGCCAACAACTGCTCCAGTCCGGCTTTGAAGGTATGTTCACGGTTGGCGACAACGTTTGTAATCATTGCTTCCGGCGGAGAAACGGGGGTTTCGCCAAAGTACAGGTTGTAGGTCAGGGTGACGCGGTATCCGGACTGCACGACGGCCACTTCGTGCTCCACGTCGCTGAAGAAGGCAATGTACCCGATCGACGGCTCTGTAGCAGCAGCTAATTCCTTAGCCGAATTGAATGTCCACTCTTTTCCGCCGTGACGCAGCTTCAGTTCTCCGGCGGAATGCTTCGTCGGGAAGACGATCACCAGCGATCCAAACATGTTAGCGCCTCGCGGGGTGTCTTTGTGTGCTTTGAAAAAGCCACCGATGCCTAAAATAATACCGTTGAAGGCCATTCCAGCAAAAATCAAATTAAACATTAACTATTATTCTATTATCGGATGAATCCTAAAGACATAAAGAGTACCAGATTAATTTTAAATTGATAAAAAAAGGAAATAAATAATTACTTACGTTAACGTACGAGACTACGCACACCTACATAAACTATAAACTACGAGCACGTATGCGTATGCGACGAGCATAACGCAAGAATACTTATTCTTATGAAAAACCATGCTACCCAGAAAAACGGTACCAAAATCCTATCTGCATTTAAGTGACTTTAATTACCGTACCTGGTATTTTTAGTAAAATGTAATTATTTTAATTTGTAACTAATTATAGTTGTATTTTATTTATAACTATATTTTTAAACTAAGTTTTACTTGACTTGAAAGCTCACCACGCTATCTAGTATCTGTAAGACTGTAATTAGATAACCGATTTAATTTACTGCAGCTGCTTGCCTTCAACACCGCTTACCGTACACATTCAGCTTGTAAAGTTCCCATTCGACAGGCCTGCCGTAGTTGGTGTGATCCAGCAGATCATCCCTGATACGCGTCAAAATTCCCGAGCGCTCCAAGTCGAATTTGCTGGAGAATTCTTCGGTGTCCATTTTGCCAGCTTTGCGGTAAGTCTCATCGTAGACATCTTGCTGGTTCATCCCAAATGTGGCCGCGGTACAGGCACGCGCCAGAAGCTCCAACTCCGCATCGGATGCAGTGTGCAGATCCAGCTGCCTGAATGACACACCAGCGCCAGAGGTCAACGACCTTCCTCATGCCGTCAGACGATGAAACACACGTTTTTAACCTGCAAAATTATTCCTTACCGTGCAGTATCGTTTTTGCCGTAGAACAGCTTGAAATCTTTGGCTGGGATGGGGCAAACACCGTACGTAACGGGATCGTGGTCCAAAAGGCAGGTTTTCAGAGACTTGATGGTCTTCTTGAAAGATGAGGAAGTCATTTTGGCTTTTGCTCACTGGTGCACTACAACCAAGTGGCTGAAAAAACAACAAACAGCAAATTATTCGGAGCTGTTTGTGCAGCAAAGCCCAAAATCCAACTAAAATCACATGAATTCAGATAATCAATCAGCGAAGACGGTTTCTTGTGCCATAGCGATTAAACTGTGAAACCCGCAGTCTACAGTGTGCAGAATCAGCTAAAGCTGGCTAAAGTGAAAGCGCCAATGGAAAACACGCACGGACACGTCACACGAGAGTAGAGCCGGTTAATAAAGCCTTCCGCGAAACATGCAGTCTAGTGAGTCTACCAACTTCAATGGGAGTGTGTTGTACGTACAAACCCGTTTCAAAAAGAGGTGACCAGTGGCCACTGCATTAAAGCGGGAGCACGTAGGCTACGTATTAAAATTAAAATTAATATAACGTTTTACCGTATGAAAAAGTGGATTCACTAGATTGTTTGTTCGTGAACCGGGCTTGTACTTACCTTGAAACTGCACTCACTGGGCAGTTCAGAGAAGCAGCCTACTGCAGATAAAACAAGATTCCGTAAATTATTGTACCTATGTACATACATGTATAATGCATTTTTAACGGCAGCTGCCTTTTCGTTATTTCAATTTCATACATTTATAAATTTTGTTTATTTTAGTGCAAGCTGTGTGCGATTGTGTGTACGAGTACCTAATGTGCCTTAGTACTCCAGTTTTCCTTTTAGGATTATTCCAGTGTTGCGTACGTGCAAACAAGGAAGTTGGGGAGAACGGTTTAACAAGCCAAAGAAGCTGTGTCTAAGATTATAATCCGCAAATCAAATCGATCTATCAACCCGATCAAACGTTAGTATTTTAATGGTACAGAGGTGAACATTAGCAGTCGATCAAGCATAATTAATTACTCCACAGTATAGACGACAGGCACCGAAAAAAAATATAAACAGAACACGCCTGCCGAAAAAGACTGGTCCGCTGTTCAGAGGAGCAAACCAAGCGTAGAAGACAGGGATTTTTTTACGGACAGCTGTATATGATATAAATCTACTGAAAAGGCGCATTTCAAAACGTTTACGTACGAAAGTATCAGTACGGTACAATAGTTAATTCATTACTGGAAAACGGAAGCTCCATCCGGTCTTCATGCATCCGGCACGTGCTTAGGTTTTTTAATCCGATTTCCGACAGGACCGATTCTAGCCACAAGGCAAAGGGTGCCATACAGGTAGCTTAGGGAGGCCGAATTCCCATAGGTAACGTACTCAGTTTTCACTTCATTGTACTTGGTCGATTCGGTGATCCAGTGAATGTCGACCGAGCATTTGACCATCTTTCCCTTCTCATAATCCCAACATCGACGCGGTGTGCCATCTGGATATGAAAGAATCAAGCGCCCGTACTCCTGCGCCAGTCGATCACCCTGCGATTTCGACTGAAACAAGTCCGACATCTCAACAACATGGTCGGTTAAAACTGTCACTAAGTCTGGATCATAACGATATTTTTTCGAGTCGCCCTCTCCGGCATCTTCACCGGTCTTCTCGCTCCCATCGGAATGCCCATCGTCAATGCTGTTGTTGCTTGTAATGTCCTTTGAATGTTTTATTTCCTCGTTCTCACACCCTTCCGACTTTAACGTTGTTCCCGTTGATACTGGCTTTTGAGTGCTTTATATCACCGTTCTTACTCCCATCGGCATCACCATCGTCAACACTGTTCTTGCTCGTAACGTCCTTCAAATAGTTTTTGTACTCGTCTGCACTCTCATCGTATTCGACACTGTTCTCGTTGATACCGTCTTTTGATTGCTTTGTATCTCCGTTCTTATTCCCAATCAAATCGGAATTCCTATCGGCTTTAACGTTGTTCCCGTTGATACTGTCTTTTGAGCGCTTTATATCTCCGTTCTCAATCCTAATGGAATTCCGATCGTCTTCAACGCTGTCGTTGCTTGTAATGTCCTTTGAATATTTTTTGTCCTCGTCCTCACTCCCATCGGAATCCCCATCGTCTTCAACACTGTTCTCGTTGACACTGTCTCCTGAGTGCTTCGTATCTTCGTTCTCACTCTCATCGGAATCCCCAGCGTCTTCAGCACTGTACTCGTTAATACTATCTCCTGCATGCTTTGTATTTTCATTCTCACTCTCATCGGAATCCCCAGCGCCTTCAGCAGTGTTTTCGCTCCCATCGGAATCCCCATCGTCTTCAGCGCTGCTCTCAGTCCAGTCAAAATCCTCAGATGTTTCTTCGTCGTCGGATTTCCCGTCAACGTTGGTCGACATTTCCGGCTTGAAGAAGTGACCTCCAGCCATTTCCGGGCGCTCGTCGCCGGAGTAGCCGTAAGCCTCGGTCAGCATTTTGGGCTTGATGGGGAGCGACAGCTCTTGACAGACTTTGCTTACCAGCGCATCGCTGCCCTTAAGACACTCCATTACAGTGCGCAGGTCAGTTTCGGCATTAACCGGGTACTTGTGCTGCAGACCAAAGCCGACCAGTCCTCCTTTCGGTAAAAATGTTGGATCAGCTAACAACTGTTCCAGTCCGGCTTTGAAGGTGTGTTCACGGTTGGCGACAACGTTAGTAATCATTGCTTCCGGAGGAGAAACGGGAGATTCGCCAAAGTACAAGTTGTACGTCCACGTCACGCGATACCCGGACTGCACGACTGCCACTTCATGTTCCACATCGCTGAAGAAGGCGACGTACCCGATCGCCGGCTCAGTAACCGCAGCCAATTCCTTGGCCGAGTCGAACGTCCACTCTTTTCCGCCGTGACGCAAGATCAGCTCTCCGCCCGTGTGCTTCGTAGGGAACACGATCACCAGCGATCCAAACATGTCAGCGCCTCGTGGAGTGTCTTTGTGCGCTTTAAAAAAGCCCCCGGTTCCTAAAACAATAACTTCGTTTAAAGGTCATCTCAGGTTTAATTAACTAACTCATTTAATAATATTAAATTTAAATTTATAAAAGTGAATGAATAATTGTAGTATGAGTACGGTGTTTAACGCTCGCACTAAGTCATATATTTTAGCGCGTCAGAAATGCGTGTCCCGCTGTAAATACAAGGTACTTATGGTTAGAGTAGATATTACACATCCAGTTTTGTCGTATTAAAGGAAATAATTACTAGAAACCATGCATACGAGTACTAACGTTTTTCTATGAGTCGTATTGCTATCTAGTATCTGGACCATAATCTGGTATAATTCAATTACCCGGTGTTCCAAAATAAATGTAAGTAATTTAATAACAGTCTTAGCTAACCGTAGCCCACAGCACAGCGTATCCGTAATTAATCGTTGTAATGTACTTTTGATCCAACTCCGCTTACCGTACACATTCAGCTTGTAAAGTTCCCACTCAACAGGTCTGCTATCGTCGGTGCGAGCCAGCAAATCATTCGTGACACGTGTCAAAATTCCCGGCGCTCCAAGTCGAATTTGCTGGCGAATTCTTCGACGTCCATTTTGCCGGCCTTGCGGTAAGTCTCATCGTAGACATCTTGCTGGTTGATGCCAAAGGTGGCCGCAGTGCAGGCACGCGCCAGATGCTCCAGCTCAGCGTCGGATGCAGTGTGCAGATACAGTTGCCTGAATGACACACCAGCGCAAATCAAAGGTCAGTGGACTTCCCATGCAAACGCCTCAATCTGCTGTGTCGTTTCTTACCGTGCAGATGGTGCAGCATCGCCTTCGGAGCTGTAGAACAGCCTGAAATCTTTGACTGGGATGGGGCAAACGCCGTACGTAACGGGATCGCCGTCCAGAAGGCAGGTTCTCATAGAGCTGATGGTCTGCTTGGAAGTTGAGGCTTGCATGTTGGCTCTGCTTGCTCACTGGTCGCAGCCGATGTAACCGAAGGAACCGACGTGTAAAATGGATCACAAAATTATTCGGAACTATGGTACAACTACAAATCAAGCGAAATCTTGCAAATCAAGCACTCAAAACGGTTTCAAGTACAACAGTACAAGTACATCTGACTTGCGGATGGTGAAATCTTCCGATCAGAGTGCACAATCTCTGATTCAATCACTAAACCAGCCAAAGTGGCTAAAGCTGACTGAACGCGCCAATCGGAAACACGAAGTATAGCCGTTTAATAAAGCTTTCCGCGAAACATGCAGTGTCTACTTATCTGTATTAAAGCCGACTTCCAGGGAGTGTAGTGTAATAAGTGTACTGCGCTAAATTCACAGAGGCTGTAAACCCAACACTCAACAGGTAAATAAACATTGTTGGATGCAAGTTTTTATTACAGTAATGCCGACGTGGAACTACCATAAACTACTGTTTATTTTATTTTTGCCGTGTTCAGCCTATATTCACGCTAAGAAAAAAGATAAAAAAACTCATTCAAAAGAAAAGAATTCACGCCTAGAAAAAAGGTAAAAAACTCGATCACAGGAAAACAATGTCAGTTGTTCAGAGGAGCGTTCCGAGGAGCGAGATATTCGGTTCATGTGAAGAACAAGTGCAAAACAAGCGGAGTGATAAAGGATATAAAAAAGGAGTAAACGAAATTAATCAAAACACACCTGTTAATTACCGTGGAACAAAGGTTTTATCCAGTCTTCACTCATCCGGAACGGCTTTACTTTTATTAATACGCTTTCCGGCAGGACCGATGTTGGCAGCAAAGCAAACAGTACCATACAGGTAACCAACAGTGTAAAAATCCCTATATCCGCGGAATTTGATATTCACTTTGTTGTATGCGATGTATGTGGTTTTCACTTTGTTGTACAATGTCGATTTGGTAATCCACCGAATGTCGATGGAGCACTTGACTCTCTTCTTCTTTCCAGCGTCCCAACGTTTAACCGCTGTGCCATCTGGATAGGGAAGAATCAAGGCCCCTTCTTCCTTCTTCAACACGCGGACACCATTTCTCAACGCATCACCGTACTTCGAAAGGTCAACCACATGGTCAGTCAGCACGGCCAAAAAGTCCGGATCGTCAGCATAATTTTTTCTCGAGTAATCGTCTTCGTGGTAGTAGTCGCCGACGTAGTACCCGCCTTTCTGGGTCATCATTTTCGGCTGGATGGGTAACGATAACTGCTCGCCGACTTTCTTAACAAGCGCATCGCTGCCCTCCAGACGTTCCATTAAAGTGCGCAGATCAGTGTTGGCATTAACCGGGTATTCGTGCTGCAGACCAAAGCCGATCCAGCCGCCTTTCGGCAAAAATTTCGGATCAGCTAGCAACTTCGCCAGTCTGGTTCTGAAGGCATTTTCACGGTTGATGTCAAGGTTGTTCAGTGCTTTCGATGGAGAAGGAGTTCCGCCAAAGTAAAGGTTAAAAGTCAGTGTCACACGATACCCGGACTGCACGACGGTCACTTCGTGCTCTACATCGCTGAAGAAGGCGATGTATCCGATCGACGGCTCTGTAGCAGCAGCTAACTCTTTAGCCGAATCGAACGTCCACTCTTTTCCGCCGTGACGCAGCTTCAATTCTCCGCCGGTATGTTTCGTAGGGAAGACGACCACAAGCGATCCGAACATGTAAGCGCCTCGTGGAGTGTCTTTGTGCGCTTTGAAGAAACCTCCGCTGCCTAAATAAGTAAAAATAATTCTGCCATTGCTGTATTTAAACGCATTTTACAATATTATTGCTTTACATAACGAGCATAGTTCTTCAGCTATACAGCACCTGTATTTATCAGTAGTAGCTTATTACAGCTGAATTTGTGTTCGGTACTCCATTTTTCAAAAAAAAATCGCATAAGCTATCAGAAATTCAGAAGCCGCAGTCCCAAGCGAATTACACAACGACATCTACAATTTGACTACAAACACCATACCGCTTACCGTAAACATTCAGTTTGTGAAGTTCCCAGTCGACAGGCCTTCCATAGTTGGTGTGATCCAGCAAACCATCCTTGATATGCGTCAAAATTCCCGAGCGCTCCAAGTCGAATTTGCTGGCGAATTCTTCGACGTCCATTTTGCCGGCCTTGCGGTAAGTCTCATCGTAGACATCTTGCTGGTTGATCCCAAAGGTGGCCGCTGTGCAGGCACGCGCCAGATGCTCCAATTCAGCATCGGATGCAGTGCGCAGATGCAGCTGTCTGATACCGGACACCAGCAAAAACGTCAATGAACTTTCCCTTCGAAGGCTGAACCTGTTGCATGCATCGTCATTTCTTACCGTGCAGTGTCGCCTTTGCCGTAGAACAACCCGAAATCTTGTGCTGGGACGGTGCAGACACCGAAAGCAACGGGATCGCGATCCACAAGGCAGGTCCGCACAGACTGGATGGTCTCTTTCCAGATTGCGGAAGCCATGTTGCTGCTCGCTGTTCTTGAAAGTTCTCGTACCACACCCGACGTAGCAGGAACACTCTCTCAGTAACGATGCTGATAGCAAATCATGCGGAGCAATTCAAGGACATAAATTCACTTAATCAAGCAAGGAAAACGGTTTCTTGTGCGGTTTTACACTGACGTGCGAATTGATATTGGCGGGCGAGAATAAAATGTAAAATCTGCATATCGGAGTGCGAATCACTGATACGATCGTAAAGTCGGTAGGCGGATCGGGAAGCATTGCATGCACTGCTTGTACAGATATTAATCGTAAATTACAACCAGTAAAGAGCGGTACGCATTGATTACAGATCCTTTCTCATTTCTGTCTGTCTAATTTGTTATTGAAGTCACAATGAAGTGGTAAATATCTACATTTGTTGTACTTTGCATATTCGTACTTCAATATACTTCTATAGATATTACTCAGAAATATTCGAAGTAGAACATGTTGTCCGAAACAATTTTTGCTAAAAATTTGAACAAATATTGTACTCTTATAAACTACACTCGTACATAAAGTCTGTTATACAAATATAGATTACAGTAATATTTATTTGGCATGTTCATACGTCTTTTAAACGCGGAGGTCCAAGAATACTTACTGTACCTTAGCACTGTAATGCGTAACATTAAAGATCTATCAGTCAAATCTTCCCAAACGGACGTATTAAAGTACTGTATTTTAATTTAACACATGTCGTTCATAATAAAATGTTTAGCAGCCGATCCCACGGAGTGATGACTCTACGGTACAGCGTACAGAAGACGATAGAATATTATAAACAGTGAACAAATATTCACGCATAGAAAAATACTCTCTGAAAGGACCAGATTATTTTCGATTCACAGGGCGTACACTCGCAGTTATCACAAACAGAAGCACAGGAATAGTGGACATTTTAGTGGTCAGCTTACTCAGCTGCACATGAATGTATTAAAGCTGAATTTCGGACATTTTCCATATGAAGCCATCAAACCAGATGTTAATTAGTGTAAAACGGAAGCTCCATTCAGTCTTCAAGCACCTCCTGAATGTTGGTCTTTAATACGCTTTCCGGGAGGACCGATTTTAGCAACAAAGCACACGGTGCCATACAAGTAATTAAGAGAGTGCTCATTCCCATATGCGATGTATGGGGTCTTCACTTCATTGTACAACGTCGGTTCGGTAATCCATCGGATGTTGACCGAGTATCTGACTTTCTTATCCTTCCCAAAGTCATAACGCTGACGATGTCTGCCACTTGGGCGTAGTGGAAGAATCAAGGCCCCTTCTGCATTCCTCAATTCACGACCAGTATTTTCCACCGAAAAAGGCCAATCCGACAAATCCACAACATGGTCAGTTAACACTTCCAGGTAGTATGGATTGTCTTTTACCGACTCGCCCTGCCCATTATCCTCAACTGCATCCTCACTCTCGTCGGAAATCTCCCGCAGTCCAATGATTCCATCCTCTTCATCGTAAGTGTCGTAGTCGTCTGCATGGGTCAACATTTTCGGCTGAATGGGCAACGACAGTTGCTCGCAGACTTTCTTGACAAGCGCATCACTGCCCTTTAGGCAATGCATTAGAGTGCTCAGCTTAGTCTCGGCGCTGACCGGGTATTCGTGCTGCAAACCAAAGCCGATCCGACCGCCTTTCGGTAAAAATGCCGGATCAGCTAATAACTGTTCCAGTCCGGTTTTGAAGGTATTTTCACGGTTGACGTCCAGGTTGATCAACGATTCCGAAGGAGCATGAGATTCACGGAAATACAGGTTGTAGGTCAGCGTGACGCGATACCCGGACTGCACGACGGCCACTTCGTGCTCCACATCGCTGAAGAAGGCGATGTATCCGATCGACGGCTCTGTAACAGCAGCCAACTCCTTGGCCGAATCGAATGTCCACTTTTTTCCGCCGTGACGCAGCTTTAGTTCTCCGCCGGTATGTTTCGTCGGGAACACAATCACCAACGATCCGAACATGTTGGCGCTCCGAGGGGTGTCTTTATGTGCTTTGAAAAAGCCACCGGTGGCTAAAAGAAATATTTTTGCCGGAAACTGTATTCCACAATAGCGTAGCTTTACAGATACAGTATGCTGTCACTGCAGTTATTTGTATACTCGTACCTGTTTAACTATTAACTGCACCTATCAGCAGTAGCATTCTGCCGCTGAATTCAGTTTTTCTGCTACAAATTTTTTAAATAATTTGTCATAGACTATCACAACAAGAAATCACCCGAATTACTCAGCGACATATACAAACAATCCTTCTACTGCTTACCATAGAAATTCAGCTTGTAAAGTTCACACTCCAGATGCCTGTCAGATTTGATGCGATCCTCATCCAGCAAATCATTCTTGATACGCGTCAAAATTCCCGAGCGCTCCAAGTCGAATTTACTGGCGAATTCTTCGACGTCCATTTTGCCAGCCTTGCGGTAAGTCTCATCGTAGACATCCTGCTGGTTGATCCCAAAGGTGGCCGCAGTGCAGGCACGCGCCAGATGCTCCAGCTCAGCGTCGGATGCAGTGTGCAGATACAGTTGCCTGGAACAAGACGCCAGCACAAGATTAATGCACTTCACCAATTAAAGGATCCACTTGTTGCATCTATCCTTACCGTGCAGCATCGCCTTTGCCGTAAAACAGTCCGAGGTTTTGTTCTGGGATGGGGCAGACGCCGAAAGTAACGGGATCGCGACCCAGAAGACAAGTGCGGAGAGACTTGATGATCCGTTCCCGAACTGCGGAAGCCATGTTGGCCCTTCGCGTACTACAACGGTCCGCGACAAACAAGCTCCCAATATAACGATGTCGACAGCAAATTTTTCGGATCAGTTTATTGAATTGATGGTTGTTGTTGTAAGTACTGTCCGAGTTGCAATTAAAATGTGAAGTCGAAATGCCTGATCGAAGACTCGGGAGTACGAATGACTGATAAAGATCACACAGAGCCAAGCAAACTTTAAAGCCGAAAGGGGCAGGCAGAAAGTCGGAAGTTCGGAACATGTACAATTGTACGTACGGACAAGCAGTTATCAGTACATACTGCATACTTTTGATACGAGTATATAGAATCTGATACAAAACATCATGCAGATCTACTCTACGAGTAGAGCCCGAGCTGGCTCAAGAACAATACGATACACCATACATGTACTTACTGATGTACAGTTTAATACTTCCATATTAATAAATATATAATTATTAATAATTCTTGGCCGGCTTCCAAAGCTTGCACGATAGTAGTGACGATACGTAGTAAACAAATACAGTGTAATAATTATAAATAATTATTAGCGCGCTATTACTCGTGCGGCAGTCTTCTACTCGTAGTAGTGCGGTATTTGGCAATACTAAAGTGTAAAGCCTCGTATAAAAATGCAGTTAAATATGGTTATGAGTCAGTAATAATTTTGGAAACGTGAATAATAACGTTCAAGACTTGAAGTACTATAAAGACGTAGCGATGCGATACGGTACGTAACTATGTGCAGCACTAATGGCCAGGTGCTTATGGCGGGCACCCGCCTTGGCGGGTGCGATGAGGTGGGTCTTAACCATCAGGCGGGCATTGCAGAAATGCATTTGCACAGCGCACTTTCCCACTAGAGCGCATCCTTGCCGCCAGTGCAAGTCATACACACTATATTTGCTCAAGCTGCTGCACGCTTTATAACTTTGAGACCTTCAAAATCACCCCTTGTAACATTGTTTACAAAAAAACGCAGACCTTTCTAAATCGTTTTGTTGGGCAACTTGGTTGTAATTTGAAAAAATGCGTAATGCAAGATGCAGGTCATGTCCCCAGTGATTGCTACCTTGGTAAACCACTTATTTTAATGGCTTCAAGAGACTCACTTAAGTTGCCAGAGAATTTTTATGCCTCTAATTTCAGAAAACCTATTTCTTTTACACGATTGTTACGGTAAAAGGCATAGTCGCAAAATATTTAAATACATATAGTTTGCCTACATAAGTTACCAGCCGTGTGTGAAAGCGATTAAATCTATGACATTAAGACAAGCAGTACAAAACTACTAAATAAATTCAAAGCCCGCATTTAAAAAAGAAAGCAACTTCAGGTGACTTGACCGACTATTGTTTGCAGCGACGTCCTTTTAATTTTGCCTTCTAATATAGTTGTCCACAGTGCTGTCAATTTTCAGCATTTACGCACTGATGAAAATCATTATTACCATATAGCAAACCATAACATGCTCAAATGTTTGCAGTTTTGCCTTGTAATTTAGTGTCTAACGTTGAGCCCACTAAGGACCAAATTTTAATTTATTGTAAGTCCCAATAATATGCAAAATGAAAAAACAAGCAAATGACGTAGTTTTTGTAGCATATAATTTTAGCATGTTTTTAACATGCAGCATTCATCGCTAAAGAACAACAAAACTATTGTACCGGTATTTGGTTAAAAAAAGAAGCGATAAAAGCAACAATTAAAAAATGGCAACAGTTTTCGATGAAGCCAAAGAAAGAAGTACTTTGACTCACAAAGAGTATCTTACTTCAGCTTAAAGGTAGTCTCACCGTTGAAAATTACATATGCGGAAGAAAATAAGTCGCAGCTTCTATTGACACAGAAAAGGGAAGGCTTGTAGTATACCGCAATAAAATAGGCTGCAACCTAAATTCAAGAGAATGTTTTGGAAAACAATAAAATAGCAACTTAGGCTACAGCCTAAATCATTAATTGTGTCTTGATATGAAGGAATGCATACCAAATAATTCTTTCTTATTTCGCTTGTACTCTGAGATGGAATCAGTTGGGAGAAAGGTTTTGTGAATGAAGTGAACGGAAGTCAAAAAACTTAGGCTGTAGCCTCAGTTAATAAAAAAAATTGGAAAGTTACAGCGACAAATCGCGCTCTACTCAGCTCATCTAATTCATACAGATGGAACCTTCTTTTATTTGTGCTTCGAAACCATTGTGGGTGTAAACCGAGTTGTATGGGGACTATTGGGTATCGCAAAAACTACATATTATATATAAACTGTTAATAGATCGATTTGCGTTTTTGGTTTGCATATCACTGACTGTTCGATTGATTGTCTTGCAGATTTTTACGGCATAATTAGAAGACCTCTTGAAGTTTTCCTATTAGCAATAGAAAACTAAGATTATTAGAGAAATAACTTCTTACCCTTCCGGCATTACGATATTGACGAGATTCGGAGAAAATACGGTCAATAGTTTTTTGAGCATTTAAATGCATTATGCTTTGTAAATTGTTGACATCTATAATATCGTTCTGTACCGACTGTACGTATTGCGGCTAATTTACGGTACCTACTGTTATGTTATGTTTAAATGTGGTCACTTTTCTAATCTGCGTGACTTACTATTTTTAATTTACCGTTAATTTCTCACAAAAGTTCTTTGATTTTGTTAGGTGCTTTGGAGTAGAAACCATTAACGGCTGCTTCGAAAAATTAGGATGCTGTCAGGATATGGTGTCTTTTGTGTTTCAGATTTTTAAATAAGGTTTAAAAAAGTTAAACACAAAAGACACCATAAAAGTTAAAGTGTAAAGCGGTAAAGGTTTAAAAAAGTTAAAGTGTAAAGCGATCTATGTCAAATAGCTTTACATTATTTTCGGCTTTTAATCGGTCTTCTGCGTGAACGTAAAACGTGTATGAACCTGCTCCCTAGATGTATGAATGTCAAGAAATGTGTAAACGTTCGTTTTTATGACTTAAAAATTGAAAAAACTGTTCAGCCACGAAAAACAAAAAGTCGAATACACAAAGCTGTTTAAATCGAAAGACTCGTGACACAGTAGAAGTGCACTAGCGATTAGGCAAGTGCAGCGCAACTGATGCCTCTGTGCAGTGTGCAATTCGTCTGTGCCCGCCACTGATATTGATGCCCGCCTTATCGCACCCGCCAAGGCGGGGGCCCGCCATAAGCACCTGGCCGCACTAATTTAAGTTACTCGTATTTGCAACACTCAAATCTACGCGGTCGACATAAGCATTTGAATGGTAATGTTCAGCCAAATTCTAGCAGATAATCAAGAATAATTAATAACTCTACAGCACAGGCTGTATCGCACAGTCTGCAGTCGCCGACAAAATAATCTACCGACAAAAAAAATAAAAAAGACAAACCAATAATATTTATCCAGAAAAAAGATAAAAAGAACTTTCTGAACGAAAAATACTGGTCATCACATGAGCAAACACTCGCAGTTAATGCATAGAAAACGTACAGAAGAGTTTGATGGTAAACTGCATGTATAAATGTATCAATACTGGTGCACTTCGGAAAATTTTCGTGCGAAACAATCATCAGAACTTGTTAATTACTGTAGAACAGAGGCTTCATATATACAGTCTTCACGCATCCGGAACATGCCTACGTAATACGCTTTCCAGCTGGACCGATTTTGGCAACGAAGCAAACAGTGCCGTACAGGTAGTCGACAGAAAACTCGTTCCCATATGTCATGTAATTGGTTTTCAGTTTGGTGTGCAACGTTGATTTGGTGATCCACTGAATGTCGACGGAGTATTTGATTTGCTTCTTCTTTTCAGCGTCCCAACGTCGGCGAGATACACCATCTGGATATGGAAGAACTAAGGCCCCTTTAAAACTCTTCAGTTCAGAAGCCGCATCGTCCACCATATCACCGTATCTTGAAAGGTCAACCACATAATCAGTCAAGACCGCCAAGAAATCAGGATTGCCGTCTTCTGGTTCTTCTTCACAGTCATCTTTCCCACCTTCGCCATCGGAATCCACACCCCTTTCCTCGTTCTCGTAGTACTCTTGTGTCTGGGTCAGCATTTTCGGCTGGATGGGGAGCGACAGCTGTTCGCACACTTTCCTAACCAGCGCATCACTGCCCTTTAGGCAATCCATCAGAGTGCTCAGCTTAGTCTCGGCACTGACCGGGTATTCGTGTTGCAGACCAAAGCCGATCAATCCCCCTTTCGGTAAAAATGTTGGATCAGCTAACAACTGCGCCAGTCCGCTTTTGAAGGCATTTTCACGGTTGACATCAAGGCTTGCCGACTCCGGAGAAGTTTCGCCAAAGTACAGGTTGTAGGTCAGCGTGACGCGATACCCGGACTGCACGACGGCCACTTCGTGCTCCACATCGCTGAAGAAGGCGACGTACCCGATCGACGGCTCTACAGCAGCAGCTAACTTCTCGGCCGAATCGAAAGTCCACTCTTTTTCGCCGTGACGTAGCTTCAGCTCTCCGCCGGTATGCTTCGTAGGGAAGACAATCACCAGCGATCCGAACATCTTGGCGCCCCGTGGAGTATCCTTGTGTGCTTTGAAAAATCCCCCCGGACCTAAAACCAGCAGCAATTATACAGCAAATTATCTCGGTAGAAGTTTAGATATAAAAGCGAGACTCTAGAATTACTCTGAAACTTTTGTAGATACAAAAAATATAAACCTACTCAGTCCAACTGTATGTATTCAGCGCTCACGGTTACAAGGATAAATAATTTTATTTCGAAAGCCTACTTTCACGAACTATTTTATTCAGAAATATTTTAAATAATCTGCAGTATTGATTATCATACTTTTGGCTCTATCGCATAATTCATAGTATTCAAATCGTATTATACAATTGCTACCCACTACCCAGTATAGTATTTAGTAGTATCACAGGCCCTTTACAGCATGATGTATCACAGCCTACGAGATTAATTACTGCATATTATAATAGTATTACAGCAGCATTATTGATTATTAAGTAAAAAAAAATTTACTTTAAATGTACGTATATCGCTTACCGTAGACATTCAACTTGTAAAGTTCTCGCTCGACAGGCTTTTCAAAATGGGTGTGCTCTAGCAGGCTGTTCTTGACACGAGCCAAAATTCCCGAGCATTCCAAGTCGAATTTGCTGGCGAATTGTTCTGTGTCCATTTTGCCAGCTTTGCGGTAAGTCTCGTCGTAGACATCCTGCTGGTTGATCCCAAAGCTGGCCGCCGTGCAGGCACGCGCAAGATGCTCTAATTCAGTGTCGGATGCAGTGTGCAGATACAGCTGCCTAAATGAGACACCAGGTCACCAACACAAAAGGTCAGTGCAGTTCCCATTCCGCTTCAACCTGTTGCACCGTTCCTTACCGTGCGGTATCGCCCTTGCCGTAGAACAGTCCTAAATCTTTTTCAGGAACGGGGCAAACGCCGAATGTTACGGGATCATGATCGAAAAGGCAGGCCCGCAGAGACTTTATGGTCTGCTTGAAAGATGAGGGAGCCATATTAGCTGCAGTTTGTTAGTGTTACAGTGTACCTCGAAACTGCCGCGCCCAGTGCCCTCTTTACGGTTAATAACGATGTCGATGCTCGATAATAAATTATTCGGAATCAGACCAAAATTAAGTAAAAGCATATAAATTTTAAACAATCAACGAAAACCGTTTCTTAAAATCTGGACTGGCAAACTACGATTAAACTGTGAAATCTGCACATCGGAGTACTGAATCGCCGATAATCACAAACCTGCCATTGACTCACAAAGAATAATCACGAACAGGCATGCTACGACGGAGGGACGGTATGTTTCGGTATTCTCGAAGCGGGTTGTAAAGGGGCGGGCGGAAACATGCACCGACGCGATTTACAGCCGGCGGCTTTTAAGATTTCCATGAAACAAGCAGATTACAAAGTCTGACACTTGACAGTGGGCGGCTTTCAGAGCTAAACGCCTTCCGTAATAAACAGGGAAGTCAGTAAGGGTTAAAGTTAAACTGCTGCGATATTTCTTAATTCTGCCTGTCTGTTTTATTTGTATTACAATTCTAATTAATTATTCGTACAATATATTGCGCGGTGCAGTTTCGCTGCAAGTTTGAACAAATCTCTTAAGGTAAACCTTCGATTATTTATCTGTAGGTCACAATTACTTAATGACCTTGCATTTTCTAAGATGAAAAATCGAGTTAAGTGAACACGTGCACGTCTAACTGTCTTTATTATTTTATGTTAGTTCTACTAAAAACACTAATTTGCAACTCAGAAATGTTTAAATAAACTGCATCCCAGATTTGCGTTTGCACTAAAGTTGTAAACTTTTACTGCAACTTGAAGAAGTACAGTAAATCGTAAGTACAAACCTTTCACTTTTATAGAAATAGTACAAATCTTATATCTTAATCTTATATGTTATATCTTATATATCTTTCATATTCAGTTCAAATCTTTCACTTTTATAGAAAATTTGTGACAAATACTCATGTACTTCGAAAAGAAAATACATAAAATCGTAAGTTACAAAATAATAATAATAATCGTACTTAGTACTCGTACTTACAATGGCAACTCACTGAATGCATCGTATTTACAGTAATACCCAGGTAGTCAAACAAGAAGTAAATAACAGCAATAATCGAATGTATTGTATCTGTATTATATATATATGTACCAACATGATAAAGAAGGCAAGCAGTGATTCTATCATTTTAAATTACATCATCAATTATCTAATTAATTATTAATTCCACGCTTAAACTGTTAAACTTTCCAATTTGGCTACTTTGCATTTAATCTGCAATCAGTATCAGTATGTATAAGTCACAACGTTTTAATAACTGTAATTTCGAATGCCGAACGACTGTTGAACTGTCTCAACAAAAAATAAAAGAACAACAAAAGAAACCACATCATATTATCATCTATTTATCTTCGACTTTCCACACAGATTCAAAGGCGTCGCAAATTTTCGTGACGGCCCAGGCGGCAGACAGTGGGTAGTTGCTGAAGGATACGAGCTCCTCGGTGTAGTCCACATTAACCTGCGCGCCGATTTAAAAGTACTGTAATACTTACTGTCAATATGGAAATACTGATTGATTTTATTTTTATAAATTACTGTTACGCTATATTAATTCATTATTACTATTATTACTGACGAGCTTGGCTAACCAACCTGCCCGTGAGCAATGGCGCCCACGACGAAGACGATGGGGCCGTTGTCGGGGACCAGCGATCGAATGTCGACAACTTCTTTGGCCTGGTGAGACGTGCCGATCCTCCGACAGCCCACCGGCAGATGATCGGACACGGGATTCTTAATCACTTTCAACAGCTTCTGGTGCCCTTCCGCCGCTCGCACCGACATCTTGTGCAGTAACTGCACTGCAAAACAATAATACCATTACCCCCAGACTCGTGATGCAAATCACAAAGCGGCATCTCACAATTAAAAATGCGAAAAAATTCCTTAACACAACTCTAAAGTAACAGCGAATTCTCCAGATAAAATCGTAAAATTGCTAATAACAATAATAACGTTCTCTCTCACAATCAGCATAGCGACGGCATGTACAAAGTTCCTTTGACGAAAATTCTCAAACTGTTCTTATTCAAATAAAATACTTCAGAAGTACTGGCAGCGAAAATTAATGGATCAAATGAATCAATCCAATAATATATGCAATATATTATTGGATTAAGGATTAATTCATAATATCCTAACTCACCTAATCCAATAATATATGCGCAATATTATTATTATATTGCTTTAGCATATGTCTTTATCGTGTTTCGATCTTAATTAAAATCCAATAATTACACTACAATCAATGAAAATTACGAATTGCAGTAATAAACAAAACAATTTAAATAATTTCACTGCAATCATCGGAAGACTCGGACGGCGCACTATCAACTGATTTACCGATTTATCAAGGGGAAAAAAATGCGAAATAAACTCAGCCTTAATACATACCCATCAAACCGGCGAAACGGTCGTACGTCCGTGGAATTCTGGTCTGTGGATTAATTTCAATAAGGACATTCCGCTCCGTGTGAATGAACACTTGCAACAATCCCGCGCGATTTATAACACTGTCTTGCAGCATCAGAAGGCACTAAAAATAAAACAAGTAAAGCAGTAGATAAGTACTGTACTATCGGAACGCATATTATTCATCAAACACGATACGCATTAACACTCGGCACAAAATCTCCAGTCCTCCCTTGCTAATTCTGAGTACTTCACTCAAAATTAATTACTGAAAATTTAGAAGAGTGTCTGTAACGAACAACGCATTCGTACGACAACAACGTGAAAAAGCAATTTTCACAAACATCCCAAAAGGAAAATCGACAATCCACAAGGACTGCGGATTAATGAAGTGTGGAAAGAATTCGTAAAGGCATAAGAGAATCCAAATGATTGATTTTATAGTAAGTACCTGGTGGGTGATATCTGGTCTGGGAAAAGAATCCGCGTTTTTCTTAGACTTGGAAAGAAGATGCTTGTGCTTATCGGAGCACAACAAAGTGAAGTCTTTTCCATTCTGGAAATATCGTAAACTCCTGAATCAAACGACTAGCAAAGGTAATGGATTAGCTCAGCGGGGAGATTATGGAATATCAGCAAGATTATCTGCAACTAACTTTGACTGTTTCCAGCTGAGAACGCTCCAATATGATAATCAGCTTTCTCTCCGAGCACAGCTGCAAATGCCCAGTTTTTAGGCGCTTGTTGCGCGGAATCGATTCCGTGTGGTTAGCTTCGTCATCTGAATCTTGCTGGTTACTGGGTTGTTTAGACATCATCCGCTCTTTAATCAAAAGTCGAAGCCAAAACAAGAAGCACACACGCCATAAATCAAATCAATAAACTGCTGAAAAAGTGCTGCACTTCAAACAAACTGTTGTTAGGCTGCTGCGAAAAAAACACTTCCAGTCTCCAGATGTACGATGGATAGGCTATTATAAAATGTCCAGATCTCCAGCAATATCAGATAAACCTTAAAAAGTTATCAAATGAGTTCTCCGGCTAAAATGTATAAACCAAAGAAGAGCCAAAACTTGAACAATTTAAAAAGGTTTTCGAGTTTCTGATTTCTGGCTGCGGGTTTCTCGTTTTTTTCACCGTAATCCGGTTGGTTGCTCATACTGTGGCTAGTGGCTACCACCAGTGACCACGGGCTGTCGTCACAGTCGTCACTTGATACAACAGCCGTCCCCTCAGCGGGGATTGTTACTTGTTTTCACTCTTTTGAAACCGGAAACGCAGCAAACAGCAAATTTTTGAAAAATCTACTGCGTTTAAATTTTAATGTTTAACAGTGACTTTGAAGCCGTTTATTGATTTATCCGTGTTTTTGTTAACTTCTTCATATGCTCTATAAATCAGCCATTTTCATCTATCGGCACACTCAGAACTAGGTGCATTTCCCGCCGTCGACTACGTGGCCGCTAAAAACACGAATGGCATCAGAGCAGCGTGAGGCTTCTGGAGAACCTTTGGCAACACTGAAGAAACGCGACGACTATCTGTCATGGGAAGAATATTTTATGGCCGTCGCCGTACTCTCCTCGCAGCGCTCCAAAGACCCCTCCAGCCAGGTGGGCGCCTGCATCGTCAACGAGGAGAAGAAGATTGTCGGGATCGGCTACAATGGCATGCCCACAGGTTCGTGGAGGAGGTTAATAATTCAGGAGTCCAGCTGTTCGTGTTCTCGTTTGCTCCTTCGATTGATCATTGATCCATCGTTCCTGTTTGACTGAAGGCTGCAGCGACGATGTCCTGCCGTGGAATCGTGAAGGCGACTTCCTGGACACGAAATACCCGTACGTGTGTCATGCGGAGATGAACGCCATCATGAACAAGAACTCAGCGTCCGTCAAGGATTGCACGCTCTACGTCGCGCTCTTCCCCTGCAATGAGTGCGCTAAATTGTGCATCCAGGCGGGCATCCGGGAGGTAAATGCCAGAGCTTTCAATTTACGCGTTCATCCGTAATGTTTCATAAATTTTATTTCAGTAATTATTATCATCTATTCATCTGTCGGTATTTTTGTTCTATTGTTGTATTTTTATTACTTCGCCACAATTACCGTAATTATCGAATTATAAGCTCCCCCCGAAATAGAAGCTCCCTCCGTAATTAGAGCCCACCCTTAAGGTCATTTGAAAATTATAAGCTCCCCCCGAAATATACACCCATGGGCTTAATTAAATGCTATATAGCCCATATTAGCCAATGCCAAAAAAGTTGGTTTGAAAAATTGAAGCCCCCTCCGAAATACAAGCCCATGCCCGTAATTGGAGCCCACCCCTTAAGGCGTTTGAAATATTTGCAACCCTGGGGCTCTAATTCGATAATTACGGTAAATCACGGAAATTTTTTTTGACGTACTGGGTAGTGGTTGGTTTGTTTTCTTTTAATTGTAATTGATATCTGCTTTTTTGGTTTTTATTTTTCTTCCAATTCATCGAAATTTTAATCATGGAAAATTTGTTTTTTAACTGCTCTGTACACGAGCTGTGTACGTTTTCTTTAGAAATGCAGTTGTGTTTGTAACGTTGTTTATTTGTTTTGCTTAATTAATTATAAGTATGCCATTTTTCTGTTTATTTTTGTTTTTCCATACAGTGAAATTAGCTCATACAAATCGTACTTATTACCTAGTCCAATGTTTTGTGTTAAAGTGGCAGTATTATTTATTAATTACTTAGGCAGCGTTCAAATATTACGTAACGCAATTTTTCCGTTTTTTTCACCACCCCCTACCCCTTGTAACAACGCGTAACAAATTTTTGTACCCCCTACAGCCGTACGTAACGAGTTCGGTACCCCCCACCCCCTATAATTCGAAAAAATTTTCCTAAAAATTTTAACAGAAAAATCACGAACAGTAGCTTTTGCATGACTTCATCGTCATTTGAGTAGTCAGTGCATTGTAATCAGATCTAAGAAAAGGATTAATCTCGCCTCCCTCTATAATTTTATAAAACCAATCACGCTGCAAAATTTCATTGTCGTAGCAAGCCATATTGCAATCCAGACCAGAACAAACATCAACAGCAAACAACAGCAATCAGCATCAATCAACAGCAAGCAAAAAAGTCTTTTTTAATTCTCGCCATTCGGCGTTGGCATTATCCATCTGCATTATCCATCTGCTTGATCCCAGATAACGTTGGGTACGCCGCACGATATGCAGCGACAAATTCTCTATACGCTGCCTCCATTACAACTCCCGGTTTGCATACAATCACCACGCGTAAATGACTGAGTTTTCACTTTAAATACAGCTCAGTGGGCAAGATACTCATAAGAAAATATTGCTAACATTTCGGGGAACGTGCGGGAAGAATACACTTGGTAAATTCGCGTGTTTTGTACGCTCCAGAAGTAATAAGATAAAACATTTCAGCTTTATCTTTAGTGGAGCCCAAATGTAACGTAACATGCTCGTCACCCACCCCTACCCATATAACAAAGCCGTAACGCTTCGGCCAGACTACCCCCCCACCCATGGCCGTTACGTAATATTTGAACGCTGCCTTACTGTACCAATATGTGCTAAAGTGTTGTTAATTTTTATTAAGTAGAACAAGCGAATACTATATGAGAATTTCGGTACATCGGCGGTACGGCGATACAGCGACGTCACTTATAAATTTTTAATGGTAAAATTATTGAGAATTTTTTCTTATGGGTAGATTTATTCATTTCAAAAGCCTTGATGGTTTTGTACTACTTTAGTTCGTAACTGTTGGTTGTCTTTCCGTTGTCACGTTGTGGACTGTTTTGTGGAAGGTGGTGTATTTATCGGACAAATACGGCGATAAAGAGCCGTTCATCGCCTCACGCCGGCTGCTGGATATGGCTCAGATAAAGATCCGCCAGTTTATCCCCGGTCGCCGGCAGATTACGCTGGATTTCAGTCATATCGATCCAGGCCTGTTCGGCCGGTGCTGGTGACTGCTGAGACGGGTGACTTGCGCTGGAACCGCCGTGTCAGGTGTTGGCATTATGATCAAGGTCGTCCTTTCAGCTGTTTTCCGCTGACTGGACATCCTTAAGTGCATTTTCGCCGCTCTTGACAGATGGATTGTTGAGTTTTCTCTGCCGCGCTCTAACCATGTTGATGTCATTTCCGATTGGCGGTTGTTGGTGTGTGTGCATTCGCTGTAAATGGGATGAATTGTTGGGACATGCGGTAATCGACGGTTGTTGATTAACAACGCAATGTGTTTCTTAATCGTTGGCTTGAGAGTTGGGAAGAAACGACAGATGGTGGTTTTTTTATGTGTCTGTAAATACGATCCAATTACACCTTGCGAACACAACCGATCATTTCCGCCATAAATTATATTGTTATGCTGCGCCGTAGCCCACACTTTCCGAAGTCATCGAACGGCGAAAAAATAACCAGACATGGCGATGATTATTGCTGTTATTTTTCGCTTTTTTGCCGTGAATAATGCTTGAATAATTCCGGCGGAAGTACTGTGTGAGTAACAGAGCAACACGTATGGAACGAATTTCGTCGTCTCGTGTCTGATTTTTTTAACAAAGGAACAATTAAACAAATGAACGCATGACCGTTCCATTGCGTGCTAATGGTCGGTAGACGCAGTACATCCACTCGTCTGCTAATAAACAATTGGCTAGTGCGATCGGTTCATGGCATTCCTCGCTCTTGAAGTGTTCCAAGTTCCAACCGGCCGTTAAAATTATTGAATAATAATGCACATGTTTGCATTGCACGAGGAATCGCTGCCTTATTTGCATTTAAATTACCGGCTGCAGGGATGTAAAGTGATCGGAAGTGATGCTGTTAAATTAAAGCGAAGATTCTGAAGTTACTTCATACCAAACCCCAAAAAATGATGTTATTAACGACTATAAGTTAATTTGCATTTAGTAATATTGTTGGGTTAACGGGTAACCGATACACAGTAAAAATACTAATTGGATTATGTAAAAAGTGTCATGATTACGTTATGCATCACTGGTTTTGGGTCTGGCTGCCCCTTATATGTACCAGCATTTACTGTGGAATTGGTCGGTTATTAAGCGGTCAAACGAATTGCATTATTGATTTATATGTGTCGTATAGAAAACCACCAGCGTTGAAATTGCAGCAGCCCTTCTGGCAGGCTTTCAGCCAAGTGATCCAGCGTCCTAAATGGGTTTTCCGGTCGACTACCAAAGTGGATTGGTCTCCGTTGTTGCCGCTGAATATTCAGCAAGGAATGTACACAAATTTATAAAAACGGCAATCTTCTGACATTTGTGAGTGGATTAGCCGGATCCTGTGCGGCGTTTTATTTGAATGGATTACGCCACTCGTTGTGGAATATTGTGTTACCGTTAAACGAGGGAATTTTCAAATAGTGCATTTATGGCACGACAGCATCTGTGGTGTCTAACAATTAGCAACACCGCCTTCTTTGTTAGGTTTACCGTTACATAACATGCCGGGCGCGGCATATAACACTCGAAAAATATTTGTTATATATGTAAAGTATGCTTAAATCAAAAGAAAAACACGATGTATCAATGCATTCTTTTAATATTGTATACGCCTGTAAAAAGTAGTTTTAACCTTTTCGATTTTATTCGTCGTAATAACGATTGTTGAATAAACAATGCCAAGCTGCAGCAAGTTTGGAACCTGTGTTTTGCTTAAGTTGAATCAGGAAAACAGCTGTAACAACCGCTTAAGTGGCTTACATTAAAATTTCAGTAAGCTAAGAAAATATTAATAGGTGAACTCCACGCAGAAGCTCGGTGTTTACAAGAAACCAGCCAACCTGGATCGGCTTAAAGCGTGCCGTCACGAAAGAAGTGCGTTGCAAAATTAATAAGGATGGTTTCCGTTTTTATGCGAAAATTAGCTGCATTGACGCATTGTAGAGCACGAATGCGATTAATTGAACCGGACTAGAGCCAATCGAGGTATCATCGTCAGCTGGCGATGCGTTCACTGTATACGGATAGGCCGCTGCATTCTGCGGTTGCGGTGCCGGTGCGGCAAACCGGAAATAACAATACCCGAGGCGCATTCCTCGTGACTGCCCGAGATCATCACAAAGCAGAACGATTCCAGAAATATTCTAGAGTAGGCTGTTTGTGTATGCAGTGACATTAAGCAACCGGAATCGCCCTCCATTACGCTGGCTAGCCATGCTAGGATAGTGCAATCCAATAATTCAAATTTAATGGTAAGACGGTGCAGTTTAATACGGTACTTCTACAGTACACAAGTATACAGCGCACAATATCTGTATTAATGTTTGTCTATATACTGTATGTTGCAGCAGTGGGAACACCATGAGTTTTTTAAGAATGTATTCAACAATGAATAAATAATATGTCACTTGTGTGCCGAGTTAAAATGCACAATCTTATAGTGCGGAATATAAAACTATTTCGATATAATTTTTCTCTTAATTTTTACCACGAGCTCTAAACACTGCTTGACCAGTTTAATAAAGCAATAATTAAAATAGTTGTCGTATAAAGAAAATTTGCAGTAGTGCTCTAATTGTAAAAATTCTGACCGCTGCATTAAATCTCCTACAGAACTTCTTTGTATGTGTATTTGGAAGTGCAGTATCAAATCAAAAAATATTTATTATATTGTACAATGTACAATACGTTGCAGCGATATCAGCATAAACACCAGCATTTCGTTACTCAGCCAGATAAGTCTCTAGTGCACTACTTATACCCAGATATCTATATGCATTCGAACAATCACAAAAAAATCGTTGACCGATGATCTAGAGACGATCTCATAACCTACGAAGCAGATGGTGTATAAAAATAATTACCAGCCCGCACATCTCGCTGTCCGTTGTAAGTGATCCCGCAGTGCTCGGATCACGGAAGTGGCGTACAGTGGCCACGGACAGGCGCACGCACTCGACGCATATACGCATGTAACTGGATATATCTATATACAGTATAAAGTGTAATCAGAATTCGTGCATAATAGGGATCATCCGCGAGCCGTCGGTCAGCGCCGCCGCCCGGTACGGCGCCTCCACCCGCAGCACCCCGTTATCCACCAACTTCCCCTGCAACTCCTCCGCCTGGATGCCCGCGGGGATGGTAATGGTCCGCTTGTAGGCGTGGCTAATCTGCCCACCGTCGCGCGCCTCATCATGGCGCGCCTCAATCTCCAGCGTATTATCCACCGTCTTAATGGTGATCTCCTCCGGCCGGAAGCCCTTCACGTCGAACGAGTACTGCGCAATCGGCGTGCCGTTGCGCTCGACAATGGCCGGTTTGACACTGTCCTCCAGTTCCCGTAATAATCCTCGGACATCCCGCCCCGCCCCCATGGACTGCATCATCCGCCGCATCTCCTCATCCATCCGCATAATGGACGCGTCCATCCCGGTGAGAATATGGCCCACATGCTGACTGAACCGGTCATTAAAGCCGGCAATGGTGAAATCCTGCCAACGGTGCGAATCCCGCTCGCTCCAGGGTGATACATCCCAGTTGAGATCGCGGTGGTATAAGGGAAGCAGGGCCATGATTGCGCGTGAAATTGCCGGTAGGTAAAGTGCTTGATTATCAGTGTATCCGCCACTCGAGACAGCTGTGGGGATATATATACTCGTATATATGGAGTGAATAAAAGCATGCACCGGTTGCACTGGTATAATCAATTACGCACAACGGCGATGGCAGTTTTATACTCCGGCCTGTCACGTTTAATTTATTCGCCTTACTCACGCAGAAGAAATGCCCACTTGTGCAATGGCGATGTTTACACACTTCCGTGTCGCACTGTGGTGTTTGTTTTCTGACATTTTTGTCTCGGAGACATGACAGTCGCGGTGGTTTGACTCATCTTTGCAGCGCGATGCTGTTTTATTGGTGGTTATGCTTGGCCTGATTCACCGGAAACGCCCCTGATCCCGCCTGTGGGGCGGAGATGTGGTGTAATCGCGATGTTGTTGCGCTGTAATTGACCAAATTCGAAAAAAGCGATCGTGTTCTGGTAAACGCGTGTATTTAAATGAAAGAGTGACCATGCGTGTGACTGTTTCCGGATTATCAGGGTTGTTCAGTCAGCAACGGTTGTTGAGAATTTAAAACGTATCGTTTTATAATTTTGCAGGTTAGAAATTCCCGGGTGACGCGTGTGCGTAAAATGGATTTTGCGCAAAACCAGCGTAAAATAAAACGAATACCAACTGACTCTCTAATTTCTTCTTTTGCCGATGAGATTAAAATGGTACGCACTTTGCATCGCATTACGCAGTTTATACAGCATATATTTACTTATTATACGTGTAAATTCTAATTAATCAAACGTACAGGTAAAACAACGACTCACACACAGATGCAATGTCATAACATACAGATGCAATGTCATAACATACAGATGCAATGTCATAACATCGTGTGTCTGCCCGACTCTACCGTACCGGTATCGTATAATGGTGGAGGTCAATTACATTTGGGTAAGCGTTGCGCGTCGGGTAACGGGGAAACGCGCAAAAAATGTGACGTAACAGCGCGTAACCAAGCAAACATTCTGATTCGCAGTCACAAAATCTGGGATGGGTTTTCAGCTTACTTGTCCGCGTAAGCGTTGCGCTTCGACGTCGAAGCGCAACCATTACCCAAACTACGAGTAACTCGTAACTCTCCTGCACAGATCAACAAAATTTGTGTGTTTGGACCAAAAGTAAATCCAGCGACCCAGAGTCACAATCCAAAACTGATAATTAACTTTTTTGACGTAATACCACATTTACCACATTACAGCATTAAAAATGAGTTTTTCAGTTCCACGTCGGTGTTCAATTTCTTTCTTGGCACGGAAGCGTACTCGACTCACGATTGGACGATTGTTTTTCTGCTGAGTCATGGCTAATTTTTTACGCGTCTCTCCATTACCCGACGCGCAACAGTTACCCAAATGTAATTGACCTCCACCAATATTAATTCGTTGGGAATAGTCATAAAAATAACACGTAATTCATTCCTTGGTGTGGTGGGGATGAGATAACCTTATATTAGAGCTAAATATGACGATATTTGAAAACGCAATGGAAAAATAAAGCGCAAGCTGTACGCTTCAAAATTACTGCATTATACGATTATACGATTATACATATATATGGCATCTTACACGACAGATCTGACATCTTACACGCTTACACGCTCGGTGGTAGTTGTGTCGATTACTGACAGCACCGGTTGCGGTCAACGGCTATTTAAGCTGTGCATCAAAATTTCATTTTTCTCATTACAAGCGTTATGTAGCATTAACAACCCGCGAAAAACTTTGCTAAAAACGGTAACAGGCAGTCGAATTCCATCACAGAGAACATCTGTCACGAAGTAAGGATACAGGGTAGCATCCATCATGCACAGATAGTACTTACAGTCAAGCTAATGAAAATAATAAAATTTCGTGGACATTTGTATTTGTCTCGTAAGATGGTCAACTGGCCAAGTTGATGAGGTCCTTGTGCACTTTTCGGAACGCCAGGTTTAACTTTTGGTAGTCACGATACGGACGGTGCAGCAATTAAAACTTGACGTTCCAGTAGTTCTCTGCGACAACAGATTTGCGGTCGTGGGCTGCTTTGTGTGGTCATCGGTTGTGACATTTACCCGATGGCCGAGTGGACACTGTCCAGTCAAGGAAAGGCCACAATCGATGACCTCACAAAAGCTGTCCACTGTATTGTGGAATTAGTGATACAGGACCAGAACAAGCTGTGTACGCACAATAAACAGAGTTCAGATTCCAGTTTCATGATATGCGAAACGTGTACTGTACCTACAGAAGGGTTGTGCAATAGTTGCAGTTAAGAATTTAAATTACCAGGTATTGCTACAGTGTAATAATAACTGTGATTTCTGAACAAGTGTGAAGATTTACGTAAGACGCATATGGGGTAGTAAACTCGCAATATTTATTTGTTTCACTACAGTGTTAACATTTTCCAGTAATAGACTATACGAGTAGTTTACTAATACTTATTTTGCTTAGTCTCCATATATACAGAGTATGCAAAGTAAACATGTCCTTAATGGCATCAGCTTTAAAATCCGACCCAATCCTTCTGGAAAATACCACGTATTCTAAATTCATTTAACTCCGATACCGAACACGCGCACCCTGCTACTGCACGGTCTGTAGATAATTAATTGTAAGAACATAAAACGTTGTACCACGGAGTACGATGTACGAGTATTGTATTTGTACATAGGTACTTAGTACATAGTACTACTTACTACATAGCAATAAATGCAAGCGCTGGTACACTACTTGATAGTTAAAAATTAAACATTAAAAAAACAACCAAAATCCTTATCCTCTCTCGGATTAAAAGGCAGTGTACTCAAAACAGCCGTAGCATTTCCTTTAACAACAGCTAAACTAAAACGCTGCTTGAGAAAAGCAGTAGAACGCGCTTCGCCCGTTATGTCACGAATCTTGCGGCCCATGAAATGCAGCATTTCACTGAAGGCAGGGCCAAAAACTCCCAGTGTCTCAATAACCATAGGATAAAAGAGGTAACCGTATTCCAAAAAGAATATGTGCGGCGCTTGAATTTTCCGCCAGTTGGGACACACTTCCGGATTTCTTCGAGCTTGCGGTGACGTGGAATCCGCAACAGTACACCAGCTTGTTACATCCCAAACAAGCGGTCTGCCTTGGCGAACTGGTATCAGCGTCATTCCGTCAGGTCTTTTCCCGTCTGTGCTGGATAGTCCATTCGGTTCCAGCTGACAAGGAAAACCAGCGCTTTCGCAACAATTCTTGGCGATGCTGTTCATTTCTTTATGCCGCGCCCATCGTCCTTTGGTTGATTTGTTGCATGATAGCCCATGGTGACCATTGGTTTCAACTTGCGTACCGCACGCGATGCAATTGTGTGCCACCACTACCGGTAATCCAAATCGCAAGGCTACACCGATTCTGACATCATCGTCCTTCAGGAAGGTGCCCAAACATGGCGCAGGCAAGGCATTTAACCATGCTCCAGAGTCTTTGTTTAAGGCAGCCAGCAAGACCGCCCTGGCGCGGTCATTGCCTTCAGTACAGGACATCAGCATGGAAATATCTCGCTCAATCACTGGGCTGTCCCATGCAAACTGAAACTTCCGAAGAGATTCTACCGGAATCTCACCTTCTGTCAGCCGTACCCAGGTTTCCTGAGCTGTTTTCGTCAGACACTCTTCAGTTGGCTGATAAAATTCGGAAACGATGGGTTGCACAGAGTACACCGATGCCAAATAGGCACAAACAGCTAATGTCTCGATGCGTCGCGTTCCCAAACCCCACGCCGTACTGGAAGAGATATCTGCGTCCACTGAGCTTCAGAAATTTTACGTTAACCAGCTGCTCCACCCCAACCGCAACATTTGGTCGTATTCTTTCAGCAGTTCCGGGTGTTCATAACTACGTGAAGTCCGCAGCCCGTATAAAACTTTGGGAATGCTGAGGCAGTTTTTAAGTAGAAAGAGACTGTAGTGTGCCGGTAGTTTTTTCAGACGCTGGACGAAATTCTGGAGTTGCTTTGTTTTTCCAGCCAAAAATCCCGCGCACGCAGACGAAGTCATCGGTGCTCCCAACAGGGAAAAATTCTCGGCACTTAGCTGTAACATCTCCGGCCAGCAGCTTGACAGAGACGTACGGATATGCACCTCTTCCGCTTCGCAAGTTACGACTGGAAAAAATTCACATTTACTGAAGTTTAACTCGAGACCCAGTTTTGCCGCTCTTTCTTGTATCAGCTTAATGGCCGACATCACTTTTTCCACAGTTCCAGCGAGCGTAACATCATCGAGAAAGGCTAGATACAAATCGCAGTCTAAGTCAGGGAACAGCGGTAGCGTGGCTAGGCTGTATCCAAGTGGGCCAGATGGGTCACCTTGCTGCACTCCCCGGGCGGACGATAATGCTTCTTCTCCACACACCAAATGGCTGCTGAAGCGATAGGACTGCCAAAAAAAACCGTAGTACGTGGGGAAATGCTCGCGAACAGCTCGTAACAATGCATCCCATCTCAACATATTGAACGCGTTTTTAAAATCTAGTTTAACAATGACACGGGCTCCTGAATGGGGAGTTTCCAAATAGGCGCGTACCCCGTGGATAATGGCCTCGGCTCCGCCCTTAGTCCCAAAACCAAACTGGACTCTTTTGCACAGCTCCTTCATCTTGTCCGTGCACCTCTGGCTCACCACTTTCGATACCATGCGTCTAAAAGTTTCTCCGACAGCGATGGGACGTATACCGCCGTCTTTCTTAGCCAATGGGATTAAGTTGGCGCCGAAGAAGAAAGGCCTGATATCTTCGGGGATGTCGTTCTGCAGTACATGGTTGACGAAATCAGCCAATGCTGAACACAATTCACTTTCCACCGCTCCAGGCCCGCACAACAAATCCTTAAGGTGCTGTGGTCGTAAGTCCGAACAACCACCAGCAGATCCAGAAGGAAAGCTTAGAACGGCTTGTAAAACTTCAGCAGGTGTGACTAAGGGAGGCTTCTGTGACTGCTCGGGTGGCGGGGATAATCAGTGTCTTCTGGCTCCGGAGGATGCTTACCGCGTAGGGCTTCCACAGTGTCCGCATTCATCGGGGCAAGTGCATCTTCACCCATTACCACCCCAACAGCCCGGCGCTTGCATTTATTGCGTGGCTAATAATCTTACTTACTACATAGCGATTTTTGTTTGGTCAACCATTGCACTTGGGCAAGATATAACAGTTCCGGTAGGACTTAAAAATCTAGCACAACAATTTCATACTGTTGGCACTTGCCCGCACTCAGAATTCAATAAATTAAAAATCTGAATTACAATATCGTTAAGAAAACTATTTAAACACCGTCGAATCGAGCTACGAGAACTGTACAAGGGGTACATGCTCATGACGAGGCATCAAGTTTTTCATATACAAGTCAACAAGTGTATTCAGTCACTCGTTATCATGCTGATTATACGACTACTCGATCGTTATCGGGCATAATCGACTCGGTATTGGACAAATAAAGGTAGTAAGGCCAGTAGAAAAAGTTGAAGAAGAGGAACATCGCCGGATAGATCACGCGGGCGGAAATGTCCACGCGCTTGGAGCGCTCACTGGCGCTCTTGGCCTGCGCGAAACAGCTGACACACTTCGGCTTTAGGCGGCGCTTTTTCCGCGGCGCCACCGACTCCAGGCGGGATGCTCTGGGCAAGTACTCCGAGTCCGGGGTCACTCCGGCATAATCAATGTCCCCCGGGTCGATTTCCAGTAGGCCGGCACCAGTCGGCGCAGGGGTGGCGGTCACGCCGAAGGAGTTCCGGGATGAGCTGTTTGGTATCGGCAGTTGACCGGAATTTCGCTATGAAAAAACATAGGGTATCGGTATAAGAGAAGATACTCATATTGTTGGATGTTAGTAATGTTAGATGTATAAATACTTATTCGATTAAGTCAGAAGTATTTATTTTGTTAATGTTGGTGCACAGTTAAATATAAATTCAACAAACTTTAATTAACTTTTAAAATGAGTAAACTTCTTTGTATTGGTACTGATATTGGTGCTGTACTGCTCGTATATATATGCTACATACTGCTCTAGTTCGATGTATTATCTATAGCTAGAGGAGAGTAGAAACAAGAGCACAGTGCTAATACAAGCATAGCCGTTAACCAAAGATGTTTCCATTAATCGGCACTGAATTTTTGTCCGGGGCGTACTGCTGTACATTGTAATAATAAAACATCTTGAGAGTAATATTTATTTGCACTATGAATGTTTTCATCAATATATTGTAACTGTCGTTGTACTTGGCATTGCATGAAAAGAACTTTACCGGTTGCCACACAAGCTGCATCATTTCCGTTTCGTATACCGGCGCCGGAAACCGCGTGGGCCATGTGGTCTGCGTGGCATTGGTGGTCTTATTCCCTACGGTCACATGATTGGCCACCGGCGGCGCGCTTGACCTTAAGAAACTCGTGCTGGAGCGCGTAGCGCGCCGGTTGGTCAGCGCGTGATATTCCGCCTGGTTGATGGCGTTCAGCACGGCCGCCGTGTCCACGACGCTGGTGGGGGATTGGGCCGGCGAGTGCGGCTGAGCGGGATAAGTGGCCGGAGGCGGCAGGGATCCTGCGGGCGTATCGTGGGCGTACGTGTTGGGAATGACTAAGGGACTCTTGTCGCCCGGCAGCAGTGTGTCTTTGCGCTCCTTCCCGGCGCCGGCCGCGTAGTTCTGCAGTCGTGCCAGGTCATGCTTGGCGCACTTAATGGGACGCCGGGAGAGCATGCACACCACGACGTACTCCCAGATGGCCGAGAAGACAAAGAAGGTACACACGCCCATCCACACGTCAATGGCTTTGACGTAGGACACCGGAGGTAATCCTGGAATTATTTCAACAAAATACCGTGACCTGCTTGTGATTGATAAATAACTCTGCTTAAGCCGGTTGGGTTCCCCATGCCGGCCAAGCACCATGCAGCTGCGGGAATGTGGGTTATAAAATTAATGATTTGAGAGATTACGTAATTGCAGGAATCTCCAAGGAATAGTTTATTCTGGTTTAATGCCATAATCAACTGTTAAGCTGGCGCTGTGTACAACCTTTAAAGTACATACATAAATCAAATCACCTAAGTGCCTATTGTAAACTTTTATCATGACGGGCATTTCTATCCCGGTTTTTACTTAAACAATGTTTCGTCCGTGCAAACTACAAAGTATATCGGAAGTTTACATTATGTGAATAATTGTAAATTATAGATTACCACAGGAAACCCTTTACATCTTTTTCCGCCGCTTGTAAGACGGTCATAAACTGTCTAAGAAAAATGACAAAATGTCTGTTTCATTGTAATCGCTTACCTTGTTTTGTGCCGCTGTTAAGGGTAATCATTGTGAGCAACGTGGTAATTCCCAGGGAAATTCTGGCAGGAACGGCTTCGGCCTAACAACGATACGGTAAAGTCTGAATCAGTTCTTTAAAGTATTGTACGTAGATAGATCTAGAATTAGCTGCATATGTTTAAATTTTTCATACCTGAATGTAAAAACTGACCCATGAGATTGTCACAATAAGTACAGTGGGCAAGAATGTCTGGATAAGATGATGAGCAACTCGTCGTTCAAATTTGAAGAATATTTTAAGGCAAGGATATTCACCTGCAGAATCAGACGGTATCTAATTAATTATTTTATGTCAAATGTGGAATGACTTTAAATATATCACTGCACATATGCATGAGGCAAAGAAAGTAACAGCAAGAAAATGACGAATCTACGAAATCGCGAAGCCTCGTACGGGCGTTAGAAAGTTCAAGACTACAAGGCAAACTGGCAGAGAAGACCGAGTGCATAAACTCAGGAACATTCGGTTAAAAGTTATGGTTGGGTTAATTCTAAATTACACTACTATTCACATTCAATTTGGAAAAATTAGATCATATTACTGCACATAATTATCAACAATCAAAAGCCATACATACATGTTTTAATTTTATGTATTACGTTTACAGTCGCGACATAACGGGCATAAGCCATATCACTATGGCTGACCTTGCATAATCAAGAATCGAAAAAACAACTAAAATCGTTATCAGTTTTGTTCTTTTCTCAACTTATATATGCATGTACAGTATGATCGTGCGTGTACCGATGACCTTTAACATTACTACTTATTTACTCATTATTTACTCATTATTGTATTTTATATACGTGACTGATTGACTTATCTGTACAAAAACAAGGTTCGAGTGCACGCATTTCTATGCGCATTTACTGAAGTTATGTTTTCTAAGCAAATATGCCCGCGTGACCATACCGTCGGGGAAGGGATCCCGGCAGTGAATGGTGGTGACGTTGGTCAAGTGGAACTGATTGAGATCCATGTCCTTCTTGTAGGACACCGGTCGTTCTTTCAGCCAGAACATTTGCAGCACTTCTACGGTGTAAGCATCTGCAATAACAAGAGTGAATGATCTATCTCGTCTCCCGATATACAATGGCGACACTGCCAACCCACAAGAGGCCAAATGCAGATAGCACTCCTGGGTGTCCATGGGGAAGCTGTGGAATTTCATGTCGCAGGCCACTTTCGCCGTGATGCGGGCGCTGTAGAACACTTCGCCGCTCGGCGCGATATACACCACACGGTTCTCCGTGGTGACGTGGTGGAAATTGGCTAAATTATCCAGTGTTAAACGGCCATTATAACATTATGCAATAAATGAGGGTCAAGGTCAAGTGTTTGATAACTGGATTACCGTACCTTGTTTGGCGTTTACGATGTATGTGTCCGGTGCCCTAGTGTGGAAAAGAAATTAAGGATATTTTTTTTAAATCGGTCGTAATAACTGTACAAGTGTTAATGAATACCGTATTTGCAAATATTACGTGTTCAACTAGCTAAATTTTACATACATATACACTATGTATGATGTTGCTGTAAACATTGACATAGATGTGTGTACCGTGTAAGTAGCACGTATCATGGACGATAGTTGACTGCGCGTAAAATAAGAGTATGTTCAATTAAACTCTTCAGTAGCTTAATCCAACAGTAAAATTAAAATCAACTATGTATTAAAACAAGATTAAAAGTAGTTCAAAATAAGACAATATTATTTAAAACAATAATATTTTATATTTTGTTTAAATACATATGTATTAAATTTTTAAAGTAAACTGTTTGAATAACTTATTTTAAAACAGGTATATATCTGAATATCGACGGCTTTCCATTTTTCGGTATCGTTTAAATGAGATCGATTTCGTGTTGGCTAGTCGTTCGCCCAACATCGAAGCACATGTAAAGACTTAGCGAAGGAGCAGAAAAAGATGTTTAGAGTAACGCACCAGATTCTGCGCATCTGCTCGACGGTTTTCAAATGCAATCGGCTTTTCGATAAAGTATCGTCAAATCGCAGTCGCTTATCCGTCCACATTTGGTTTAAGTACATATCCACCGTTAAATCCTAACCCGGCACGGGAAAAGAAACCACACAAATCGATAGCCCAATATCAAATTGATCCACAAATCATATGGGCCGAGTTGAGCGCGCGCGCACGGTGAAGCCGGCCATCGACGGGACGGGATATACTTACATATATGGGACGGCGCGGAGAAAGAAAGGAAATCAATAGCCATTACAAAATTGTCAGGTGCAACTTGCAATAAGTTACGAGGCAATTGTCAAGCCGGCATTCCCCGCGCACACACACTCCGCCGCGATTGAATCACATCGGCCCAATTACAAACAATTTAACCAAATTTATGTACGTCCTTCGACTTTTCTCTACATCCGACCACTTGTGCTATGTGTTTTGTACAATTGGTTACCCACGTATTCCTGTCTCCTAACGGTACAAAAAATAAAATAATTGTTTTACAGTACATAGTCTTCACTTTGCATTTGACTTGTATAATACAAATGAGCCAATCACATTACCAATCTAAAAAAAATCTGAACCAGTTGCAAATCGCACGTTACTGGATTTGCGCGCAGCAATTCATTCTGCAACGGAATGCTCGTAGATATTATACATAATATTTGTAATTTGCACATACAGATAAACGTGTCTGAAAGTATTTTTGAAACATCGGGAGATTACAATACGTGGTGAGCAGTTGTTCAAAATATAAACTGCGCAAGTGGCCGGTTGTTAAAAAAAGTCGTAAGACTGCTGGAGTACCATGGCCTCCACATTAATGGAGCTGATGAACATAATGTCCACGGAGATGTGGCTGAGTGTCGGCTCGGCGGTGGTGTTGGGGCCGGCAGTGAAAAAGGTCGGCCACTTGTCCAAGTCGTAGCCTTCCAGGAGACGATCCAGCAGATGCTTACTCACCGACCGGTCGGCTAAGGACGCCAGCGGGCTGGAGCCGGCCGGTGGGTGAGGGTGGGAGGAGTGGCTGGACGCTTTGCTGTCCATACCGGCGACAAAGCTCCTAATCACCATCCAGTCAAATTAGTATTACCATGTCTCTGTTGTATCTGTACAGATATTTACATTAATTATATCGTCATGTTTACATACTTGAATTTCGAAGCCAACTTCATGTTACTATACGAGTGTTATAAGTAATTATATGTATATAACGTGGTACAATACTTTACTTTGTTATTACTTCTGAGTTATAGTTATAGTTACGCGCATCGCATCACCCGTGTACAACTACACAATTATCTGTCTTTCTCATAATCTGAATTTCCGTCCATTTTTCCCTTCCCCTTTCTTTAATTTTATATGGCTCTATGAGAGCCTGTATTTTATTTTTTGTAGTTTTACATTCGCGTAATATAATACGATTGGCATGGACAGCACCATGGCACTGCAAACCAAAAGTGAATCGGGCCAGCGGGCAACGGTATCCCGTTACCAAAGGTCCCGGCGATTCAGCCCATCAGGTACCCGCTGAAGGATACCTTTAGACTGGCGGCGCGACACCAACGGTGCAGATTAATGTACCGACGGCGCGGGGGCCGACCGAAGGTCAGCCCGTGGTTAACGTTGTAGTCTAATTGGTATCAACTTCACTGGTACATTTTACTGATTGGCCAACTTTACCGGTATCGCGAACACGAAATAGCAAAAACGAAGACACTGTTCGGTGATTCTGACCTTATCTGAAATGTAATGCTTTCTGCTGAATATTTTCTAATTTTTTAAAATGTGATTTTGTAAATGATATTTTCTAATTTTAACACTGAAGTTGTGTGCCACTGCCCACGCTTGCATTGTACGCTAATGCGACCGGGATGCGGCAAGCTTTGTTGTTATTAGCAAATAAATGTCGACTTGCATGTTCCCAATCGAAATCTTTAAGTATGGAAAAGGCTTCTCCCTTAAATAAGAGGTTTATCGAGCACGCCGACTAATAAAGCCGCTTAAAACGACGCACATATCGCTAAATCCGCATTTATTTTCAAAATCATCCCAGTATTCTCTTTCGGCATGCAGTCGCCATGTGAAAAGCGCTCTTCGAATGCCTAATGAATCTTCCCGCCCGACAAGAGGCCGGGTAGCAAACAAAATTGCCGTGGACTAAGGAAAACTGAAGTCGCTCTCCAGGAAAACAATAAGGAAAATAAGACTCAATAAAAACACTTTTCCATCAATGACCGGCGATATTGATGCCGACGCCGGTCGGCCGGCGATGCGAATTAAACGATGCCAATAAAACCGATGCGCCACACTGCCACGGGGCACAGTTGCACCCGGCACGGCGCGGGTGGGCTACTTTCTCCAGCAGCACACATCACACACAGTCACACACCCGTACACAGCAATCAATTTCTTCCGGGGATTTCTCGCGACGTCTTCAGGCGGCCGGGGTCGCCTAATTACAGCGGGTAATTACATCTGACATCTGCGGCCCATTGTGTATCAATAGGCCACTTGTTTAACGCTACTTCCACCAGCTCGCTGCCAGGAAAGAAGGAAACGGGTAGAAAGTGTAACGCTATATACGCTGCTGGCTGTACGGTTGCAGCAATGACCGGCGCGCGCGTCGTTTTCGCCGGAAGCCAGCAATTTCACTGACATCGTGTTTTACTGCCTCAGCTGATCACATATCCGCTGCAGATGCTCGGGATGCGGGTGGAAAGGGGTATACGTCATCAGCGCTGACGTCATGCCACTGGCCAAGTTTCGCGGAGAAAATCACGCGCAATAAACAACTCTCAAATTTCGACCTGTAAATCTAGTCCTAGTATACATCGCAAACATCATGCTCATCGATATATAAGCAGAGGTATCCAGATAGGTATTTTTGACCATTTGTGCAGTGAGTACAGACAACGAGTAAAATTTGCTTTTTCCAGTGAATTTATTTTTTACTAGCGAATTTAATTTTTTACTAATGGGATTACATTTTTAGCATCATTATTTTTATTTAGCACAATGCGTATCAGCATATTGCAAAACATCTGACAAAGGTTGTACCGTGCACGTATTTATGTATGTATTAACAGCGCAAAATTTCCAAATCTTAAGTAAAAAAATAAGATAAGAAAAATGCATTTTTTATCTACGAGGATATTGGAAATGAATTTATTTTAATGCCAGTTGTTGGTACATGCAATACAATGTACCAACAAGTGCTTTTCAGAACGCCATATTATCATCAATTTATCGTTTATACGGCTGCTTGACTTCCGGCGAAAACATGATTTTGTAATCAGCAAATTGCGGGTTAAAATTTCATGTTCATTTTAAAATTGCCGATGCACGCGCGCATAGGCACATTATTAATAACTTCCTTATGGCTATCTGCGCGGCTCACCAGTACTGTAATTTCCGTTAGCGAATCGATAACTATAAATGTCCTGTCGCAACCTGAGTATGTTTAAATAATTAATGAAGAAACCTATGCAAGCATGAATAACACTGACAGCATTAATATGAGTATGCTCGCAGAGTCGCAGTCGACTTTAAATTTCCTGTTTTGTTTTCGTTGATACGAAATGGAAACGTTCCATGATTAATTAATTTGTTGCAATACTTCCGAATTGAAATATTTGCACCAACCTCCGCACTATCAATGCATAATTAAATATGGAAGCCGACAATTAGTTGTACACCGGAAAAGTCGAAAGGCGAATATAAATTTTTTACGTACGTTATCGGGGCCAGGTACTCGTATCGATAAAGCATTGCCGTTTATCAAGTAAAAACTGTAATTATAAACTTCCCGGCACTTCCGGAAAACTGCATGTGTCGTAATCTTGTTAACAAAAAACGACGTGAATTTAAATTTTTATTCGTTTTCATATGGCTTTTTCGTTTTATTCGTTTTTATTCGTTTTTTTCGTTTTCATAATTAGCGTGATTATGTATTTTCAAAGATCAGGTTTTTTTAGGATACTACTCTACGTTAACAGCAGTTATGTAAATATTATGTATAATTTGCGCTAGCTAACTGTTTCAAGTAAAAAATAATGTACGAGTAGTGCATTATAGGCGAAACTTAACACATGTTTTTTATACTGTAGTTTACAAATTTCGTACGTTTGTAAAAGTCAGCTGATAACGTGCAGCATGGGAATAACATGAAACACGGTTGACGGGAAAGGAACTACGATACTCTGTGACATACAATAACGGCAAATCCGAGAAACCCGAAACTCACCGAGAAAGCAAAACGAAGACAAGGAAGAGGGATAATCCCGCACGCCGCTGCGAACCGGCAACGTTCCGTACAATCCGCACGGCCGGGCACAGGATGCTATCCACTAATAATCCATCATATGATATCGTTCTCTCCGCGGATAAATAACTGACCATTGTCTAACGGATCGCCTCCCACACCGGCAGCCTTACCCACAATCACATCACGAGTGGTGGTAGAATTTCCTCCCGAAACAAATGCCGGTTTTATGGAATAGTCTGCAGTCTATAATTGGGCAAATGGGGGCTAATTTCTCCTTTGGCGGATGACACCTCAAGGTGTGATCAATATCCAGTGGCAATAGTAAATAACAGGAAACGAGCACTTGTGGCGGGAGCAATTCAAATATAAATCACACACACAGACGACTGTATACAGATGGAAGATATACGCAGCTGCCGGTTGTTCTGATAGTGGATCAATAATAGGCCGCGTATACACCGCGTAATCATAACCGTTCTCTGTGTTCTGTCAAACCGTGCTTGTAGTGCGGTCTGACAAATTAACAACAGCCCGTGTTTTTTCTCTCTCAATAATTTGGATATTATTCAAATGTTCCACGGGCAGTTGCTCATCGTACGCTGATCAGTATTAATGAACGCCCCATTCACACACATTGCCAAATTGCAGCGCACAACAATTCCCCAGGGAGGCTGATTTACGCCGGCTCTTGCATAATTAATATACCCGCACTCGATTCGTCCAGCCAGTAAATTTCTCCTCTTCTCTCTGACTGCGCGGAGTGATGATAAAAAAGCACAGAAAAATAACCCTGCCGATAAGACGTTGTGTGGCGGTGATGTCCGCGCGCGTCCGTAAATGATCCGGAAGAATCAAATCAGTGCAGGATCCACGGCCGCTGTCTGTCACCAGCAGAAGGCCGCGTCTGCTTCACTGCAAGTGGTTCTTTAACAACATCTGCAATAAACCAATGATTAATGCGCCGGCATTATTTGCGGTGATATTTCGCGGGACATTACACACGCACAGGGAATCGGGGCTGCACACTGGCACTGGCTACTCGCGGATCGAGGTTTTGTTTGTACAGCAAGATAAACGAATCGCAAAGGTCACACCGGATATATACACACGCGTACTCAGCGCATAGATACGCGGTGCAGGGAAACGTGAGCAATTAGAACGCTACATCCGGTTACGCAACCGGTAGACGAGTTTTAAATACACGTTTGTGTACGTACACATACCAGCACATTATTATTAACCAAGTCCATATGCATGTGGCAAATGTACACAACACGCTACTACACAAATCGCAGGAGGGAAAAGGCTTTTAAATAACGGGCAAATAAATTACCATTTTTACGATGGAGCGCCATTTTATATAGCAGGCGCGCCTTGCTCCCTAGAAAGCGCTTAATGGCATTCAAAGGATATTTGGCCACATTGCGGGATCGCCGGCAAATTGACGTTAAGAGGCACTATGTCTGTGGCCGTTGTAAAACAACGGAGGAATAATGTCATACTTGAACCAGCAGCGGTTGTATATGTGTATATATGTAGTATCTGTGGAGTGTGGAGGATGGGGATCAGTGGAGCTGCAGAGGCTGGAACAACCCTAACTTTATCAAGCGGAACGCAACCCGAGCTGCTGCACTATACACAGTACATGTTGTATATGTTTATTGGGCAACATTGTTTGGCGACCGGGCGCGCGGCCCAGCGTGCCATTTGGATCACTGGGATCATCTTACGCCGTGCCGGGTGAACCCCGGGCGTGCGACGTTGGCTGGCTGTTGTACATTAGCCGGCCGTGATCGGGGGAGGATGTGCGGATAATTAACTGGGTGGGCGCTGCGCTAAATGGCTAGCGCGTGTGTGTTCGTCCCTTCCATGCGCCGGCTAATTAGCGGCGTCTCACGTTAAAGGTCACGCGGAGGGGATGCACGCAGTCGCTGATGCGGCGGGCCATCTGATCGTCCCGGATGTGTTTGGTGTAGTCAGGCGGCTAATAGCCCACATACATTAAGCCGACAAAACATTCCTCGCGTTTTTCTGTTTTTTTATTGTTTTACGTTGTATCAACTACCGAATTATTTTTATTTTTAGCACATTCATCAACCATTTTGTTGTTTTTCCCTTGTGCAGTTGTAATTCTAATTTTTTTATAGTAAATCTGGCGCACATAGGTTAATCAGCGGCATTTAAAAGAACAATTTGAATAACAAAAAATTGCTTTTATTGTCATTTAGGGAGCACACTGCCCGCGTTGCATAATGCGGCTGTCATAATTTGTCACAACATTTCGCGGCGATCCCGGCGATGTCATATGTATGGACGGAGAAATGTAATCGATAGCCAGCACGTGTAATCGGCATTACAATTACATTATCGGGTTGTAAATCAGCATTTCAAGTGGGCCGGCCCGTTCCCCGGCGTGTACTTAGGCTCGCCGGCTTTGTGATCGCTTCCCCAGCACGGGAAGCCACAAGCTGCTTTTTCCCGACTGTGTACCAGTGGGATACAATTGCCAGGGTTGACAATTAAAACGTTTCCCGGTCGCCCGGCCTGGTATGATAACAATACGTAGGCTGGGAAACATACCGTAACACAACATGACAATCAAATAAGCCGGTAGGAATTTCCGTGCTCGAATTTACTCGAGCGATTACTGAACAAGAGCGGTAAATTTTATGGACCAGGAAATGGTTGTGTATTTTTACGATACCGGTTTTCTTAAAATTTAATACGGATGATTATGGGGTGCAATGCGAATATTGCAGAAATTGGGAAATAATACTGTGTGTACCTGCCTAGCTTACTGATTTCAGTTATTTAAATAAACGAAAAGCTTTATTAATTTAGTTTACGAAATACATTTATACATTTATACAGATTTACTTGTTTATTTTAATAGATTTATTTGTAAAATCTGCTGCCGATGTACTTCATAATTTTGCTGGTTTAGCCGGCAATCAATGGTCTGTTTCCACAAGCTGTCCGTGTGTGCTCGTTAACAATTCATACTGATGATAGTTGATCCATACATATGTGTGCACTGTGTTTGTCAAACGGGCCTGCTCCTGGATCTTGTTAATCCCATAAATGGAAGTCAGCCATTTCATAAATTCAATAGGCTCCAAATGTTTTCTGGCTGTTCCGATAACGATGACACGTCTGCCCGGTATCAATCAATACACTACAGTATTGTTTGGCCGGCAAGTCAGCGCTCCATATTGATCCGTGTGAACGACATATATACGGGTTGTTCGAACGTTGGCACAAAAAACGCCTCGTGCACTCTGATTTATCAAGGTTACTGTTGATTTCATCCAATTTAGAATCTGGACGAGAAACGTTTCTCGAAAAGATGGTCACGTCAGACGGGACACCATCTCTTGGAAAGTACGCCGGTTTATTGTTAGGGAGGAAAATTGCAGCTGTCTGACCTTTGGGCGTATTTGTAGATTAGTTTCGTTTGATTTTGTACAGTTTGTGTTTGAATGTTTTGCACAAAAATTTAGGTCGGAAAGTTTTTACAGTACTTGAATTTGTAGTAAGTACTTGTACATTTTCAAGGGTCAGGTAGGGAGTAACTGCCACACAGGCACACAGGCCTATCAGTTAATTAATTATTCTGGAATCGTGTAAGTATGCAGTAATAGTACTGTACCGTAATACGATTGTGGCCGTATCGCCGATCGAAACACCGAAAAGTAAACCCAAAAAATTGCGAAGTCGTAACCGGACTACCATGAATAAGCGGAAATAACTGGAAAACCGGGTGGGGAAGAATGTCGCAGCAATCTAGTTGTTAGAAACCTGTAACTGAAAAGTAAAGTGAAAACGAACGATAATAAACTGCGCTAATTAGCGTTCTCGCGTTGTCGCTTTGAAAAATGCCCGGAAGGCGGAAGCTAAACTAAAAACAGTTCTGCTCTTTCCGGTTTTATTTACAATCAACGTGCGACGTCGTGCGTCAATATTCTGCAACACCTATTATGGAAACTAATACTGTAGACTAAATTTCAAGACCAGTACGAAAAGCCGCACAATAATTTCAAGACCAGTAAGAAAAGCCGCACAATAAAGAATAAAAAAATGCCATAAATGACTAAAGCAAGCACGCACTTTGAGCGGTTCGCACATCAGCACATGAATATCATTCTACCGGACATGAATATTATTTACGGTCACTTTCGGTCGCTACTACGCGGTTAAAAAAGAAACCAATCAAAACCACAATCCATCATCGTCTTCATCTGCATGCGACACATTGGTCTTCTCCACCGTTCCCGGCTTTTCTCCGCCTTCCGATTCTGAATCAGACACGTCGAGATCTTTGGCCAGTACCTAGAAAACAATTTTCATTACAAATTATGCAGAATTATTAATTAAAATAACCAAAAGTCCAAAACTATGCGGAAATTATTAAACCAAATAAGATTAAATGACTGCAATTATGCGGCAAATATCAGCAAACAAAACTAATAAATTATGCGGAAAATATTAAAAAATGAAATTCTTAAATAATACAGTACGTAAATTATTCTTATACGAACGATTAACGAGTGCAACAACGAAGCAACGATAAGACTGATAATCATCCATACCTCCACCGCCACAGGCGCGGATGTGGACGGCTGCAATGAGTGTTCCTCCGCTTTGACCCGCTGCTCGTCCCCATCCACGTCCATCAGGGCATCCCCGTGATCCGACTCATCGTCGTAGCCGGTGCGGGCGTCCTCGTAGTACGTGCTGACCATGGATAAGCGGGTTAACTTCTGTGGCGCGGGCGGCGACGTGGGTGTGTCGGTAATCTTCGAGCCGGTCTCATCATCCTCCATCTCGGGACGCAGATCGTCGCTGGGCGCGAACACATCCCGCGTATCCGATAAGCTGCCGTCTGGGGATGCCGGCGTATCCTGTATAACCTGCATAATTACAAATCGTTATTCAGTCAGTGATAAGTCAACTGAAGGAAATACCACACCAATGCATCATAAAAACTCGAATGCATTCAAAGTCGAACTATCTCGCCTTATTAAAGAACATTATAAATTCTAACGTGTTCTCTGCACTAAACAAACTATTCCGCGTTTTACAAAAACCATCGAATTCTGATGGTGAATTTTGAAGCTACTACTGTCGGCTAAGGATTTCACTAAAAGCTATCGAATTTTTATAACGTCAATCGATTAGCAAATCCTACTAAATCTTTCCTTCACAGCAAATCGGCAGCAATATAACGAGTCCAAAAACACCCAAGCGATAATTATTATATGAGGTATTATTCTTATGTTGTAGTGTGTAAATTACCAAGTATGATTATTCAAAAAAGTAAAATTCTATTCAGATAAAATCAAAATATTTACAGGAAATTTTCTTTATACAGTTATGCAACAAGAGATTACCGTGCAAAAGCAGGATTTTGATCAGATATACGAGTACGTTCACTACTACAGCATGAAATGTAGGGAATAAAGCGAAATAATTGAACAAACAAACAACAATCAAATAAGCAAATACCTCATCGTCTCCCATATCGGACATGGCACTAGCCCGCGTACTGTCTTCCAGATCCCCCAACAGCGACATCCCGTCCAGCTTCTTCCCCTCGCGTCCCTCCGACTCCGTGCCCACCGACTCGGTCTCCATGGCGTCGCGGTCGGCCGCCGCCCCGGCCTCCAGTCCCGCCACCCGGCCGGCCTCCTCCTCCACGGCGCGCTTGGCCACCCGCACAATCTCCTCCGCCACCCGCGTATACTCACTGGTCTCCCCGTTGTACTGCACACAATTCCGGTAGATCAACTCCACATCGCCCAGGAACTGCTCCATGCTGCGGTACGTGGCGCTCTTGGCTTTCTGCAGCATCGTATCGAAATCCATAGGGTTCTTGATGAACTCGTAGTAATCCTTATTCCGTGTCCGATTCACCTAAGGTTGAAAACCAAGCAGCTTAAATAGCGGCTAGAGCCAACTGTGAAATGAAATAATTTTGAAAAAAAAAGAAATTAACAAAATCAAGTTTTGAAGCTTATTTTACAAAACTTTGTTCAGTTCTGAACACAGAAATTACCAGGGCGTTCCAAAATTTATGAACGAACTATAGTTCGATAATTACGGTAAAACAAACTTGATTAATCACTAATGTGCTATTTTCTCTTCAACTGTTATTTTCTTCCCAAATCGCTTCAAATTATTTTCGAAACCCCTTCTGATTTTGGATTTATCTGATTTGCAGCTTAAAATGCAAAATGTTAGAAACTGTGATTTTAATCCAAGATCATCATTATTTACCGGGGTATGGAAGATGACCGACTTCTCCACGGTCTTCAGCCGCGTCTCAATAATCTGCTGGAAGAGATAGTTCAACGCCACCTGATCATCTTCGTCCAGCAGCGGATTGATCAGCTTCTCCAGCTTCTTAAAGCGCTCCTCCCGCTCCCCAAAGCGCTGCAGACACGTGTCCAGCATCTTCTTGGCGCTGACCGTCAACGCGTGCTCCGGGCCGTTATACGTCGCGCAATTCGACACAATCAGACTGACATCCGCCAGGAAATCCTCCCGCGATTTATACTGTCCGGCATTCAATTTCCGCCGCATCGTACTCAAATCCATCGGCGTGGTGATTTTGGTCAGATAATACGGGTTCTTCTTGGACGACACCGGCGCGCGGAAGTCATCGCACCCGGGCAGATCGCGGATCTCGTTGAGAATGTCCTCCAGCATGGACGCGAGAGAGACCACCGGATCGATGCGGCGGCGCGCCGTAGTCAGCCGCGGCTTCTCCAGATAATCCGGCATACTTTCCTTACGCTTCCGCTTCCCCTCCAGTTTCTCGCGTTCCTTCCGCTCCTTACGCGCTTCCTTGCTCTCGATCTTATCCAGATCCCTGGAGTCGGCCAGGGTTTTGGGGATCTTGACGATAAGCGCCTTCTTTCGGATCATCTCCGTCTGGTTGAGCACCTCCTTCTTCAGTGTGATCTTGGCGCCTTCCACCTTGACTAGGCCGCTGTCCTCGATGGCGTTGCCAAACTGCAGATCCTCCTGCTCCTTCGTCATGGCTACGTTGAAGGATTCGCCGGCTTTGGGGCAGATTTTGTTGGAGCGCATGTGGCCCACGCCGCCGCAGGCGCTGCACCGCACTTTGGAGATGTTGTCTTTCTTCGGTTTCCGCGATGTGGAGGGACCAGCGCCGTCGGATGTCGTGGCGTCCACCTCATCGTTTGGTTCAGCAGCTTTCGCTTTTCGGAGCTGCAGTAAAAGAACGGGAATCCAGTGGAAAATCATTAGAACGACGAAATTAAACTGGCAATAACTGAAACTAGCGTATAACAAGTTAATAGACGTGACTTTCAGACAAATATATATGCGGAAGCAATAACAACAATTTGTAACACAAAACTTCTGTTATACGAAGTATTTTTCAAGTTTTGTTTTATAAAATAATGTAGACGCAAGTTTCGGGTTCGCTTTTGACTACCACAGGAAAATATTATTCAAACGTAAACGCAGATTTTACCGACTATTTGAACTACCAACATGCCTACACTACCGCAAATTCCAAACTTTCCGATTACAAAAGGGCAGTTCATGCACAATATGTACGCAGGCGAAAGTCGTTCAGTGAAATACACTCAAATGAAGAATCTGGTATTCAATTTACATAAAAATGGTACTTATTTTTCAAAAATATTTTAATTTTTTCCATATACGCACGCATATGCACATCGCTCGTAGTAAAAACTTTCACGTTGCTATGTTCTAATTCCCTTTTACTCGAATCGTATTGCTACAAAACTCTTCAAAACTATTCAGTTTAGTGCCAAGTAATTTAGACCGTGTTCAGAAAAATATCCTTGGATAGATGGTCAACAGTTGACACGTCGCATATTTACAAACTTACCTGAAGTCGTTTCTTATCCTTGCGCATAACATCTTTCTTCTCCGAATCCAAGGAAGCAAACTGCTTGATAAGATCCTCGTCCATCGTGTCCTTCAGCCGCATGTAGGCATCAATCAGCGCCGGCCGACTGACATACTCCGTGCGATCGAACTCCCTCCCGTCGACATCCTTAAACGTCCGCACAATCTTCAGTTTGCGCACCGGCTGCGGCGGGCCTTCCTCCGCCTCCTTACTCTCCTCCTCCCCGGCATTTTTCTTCTTCCCCGCTTTCTTCTTCTGCTTCACCTTGGCGGCGGCCTCCTCCTGACTGAGCAGCTTCTTCAGCTCCTTCCGCTCCTCTTCCTCCCGCTCCAGCAGCAGCTCCTTACTGGTCTTCTTACTCTGGATGAAGGAATCCAGATTGCGGCCCAGCTCCTCAATATCCGAATCCTCCTCCTCCTCACTGCTCTCCTCATCGGTGGACAGGACCTCCTCACTGGCCAGCACCCGGTTCTGCAGTTTGAAGATGCGCTGGCAATCTTCCTTGTACTTCTCCTGCTGTTCCTGCGCCGAATACCGACTCCCGCGGGCGAACTTACTCATCTCCTCCTCGTTGCCGGCCCGCGCCTGCTGCGTGCCCAACGTCCGCACCAGATCGATCACCTCCCAGCGCGACAGTTTTTTAATCTGGTCATCATGGCAGCCGAACTTGCGCAGCAGCTCCGTGGCTTTCTGCAGCGACAGCTTGCGCAGGTCGGCGTTGGTGCCGGTGACGATGCGTTTGGGCGGGGCGGGGCCGTCCTTCTCCTGGATTTTGTTGTTGATGCGCACATAGCTGAAACCCTCGCCGCGGCCCGTGGGATCAGCGTCCCCCGTCACCTGCAGGATGCACTTGTTCTTCATGGCCGCGATGAAGGCGCGGGTGGTGTTCCACGGGGCGGCCTTGATTTCGTCGTCCATCTTGGACTGCTGCTCTTCGTCGCCGTCGTCCTCCGTGGCCAGGATCAGTTTCTCTCCGTAACCGGCATCTTTCAGACGCTGCTCGGCGGCTCGCATGCTGTAGTACGCGCAGTAGTCCTCGCAGCTAACCAAAGCACGAATCTCCTCCTCACTGGGTAGTCTACAAAAAGAATTACAACTCTGCACAAATGCCTTTTGTTTCATTTTCAGACAGAAAGCACATGGGATATACCGGTAAATAATGCAACGATATAAGTCAATCTACAGTTTTCAAGTAATTTCAACACTGCAGAAGGAAAACTAGAACCAATTCAGCAAAGTAAAGGCTACTAAATTCACATAGAAACAAACAAATCATTTCTCAAGGCAACATTTGCATCAGAATTAAGCAATGTATTATTAAAACACTTTAATTATTTAAACAACATATCTAAAGTAAGTGATGACCAAGTTTTTTCAAGGTCGTTTACTGCCAAATAAAAACAATAAAAACAAGTGTGCAACCAAACCGTGACCAAACAGACCAATACAGATGTATTTGTAGTGTAGTGACCTGTGACACATTATTTTAAATGCAAAATATTGCTGCAAATACCTCTAATATACGAAAACCGTTAAAATAACAAACGAAGACAACCAAAATGCTTTTTTTCACGTAAAGCGTATCCGAAGTATTATGTCTTCTTCACAGTAAATAACATGCTAATAAAAATTAACTGGAAGAATGTACAAATTTCAGTTTATGAAATGTAAGAATTCCAAAAAACACTAAACTTTAACACGATCAAGTAGACAAACTACTACAAAAATCTCGATTTTGGTGCTATCAACCCCAAAAGTAGTTTAATGAAACCGGTTCATCGTTTTAACAGCCTGCATGAAGCTTGCAAAAAATGATCCTGAATACCTGAAATCCGGTTTAAGCATCCACCACAATGAATCGGAGCCGCTCCGTTGGAATGTCGCGCACAATTTTAGCCGTTTCCTGACAGAACTCTCACTGGACGCCACGGACAACTTCTTCACATCGTCCGCCTTGATCCTCTTGGGTGTGTCGGCACTTTTCCAAAACAGCCGATAAATATGCACCTGCAGAAAATCCCTGGCGAAATTGGTGGCCTTCTTGGAATTGGGCGCCGGCACCTCCATCAACGGGCACTCCTGCCCCACCGTGAACGTCACGCGAATATCCCGGATATAATACCGATTGCGGGTGCGGATCACCAGGAAGTCCGTCACCGGCGTCGCGTGCTGATAGATCGGCGCCCGAAACATGTTGTTCTCAAACGTCTGCAGAATCTGCCCCTGATCCAGATCCCCCAGGAACGGCGAGGTGTACGCAAAGGCCAACTCGCCAAACTCAAACTTGGGCAGCTCCTCCTCATTCTTCCCCGGTTTCCGTTTGTAGTAGTTCTTGATGCGTGTCGCCATCCCGATCTGACTGATCAGCGGCGGATACTCCTCCGTGTACTCCGCCAGGACCATCTCGCCATCCTGGGCGCTCAGATCCTCGGGGGTGCGCATAAAGAACATCTCCCCTCCGCCGCTGGCCGTCACTTCCTGCAGCCGCTGCTTTTCCTTCTTCTTGATGTTGCGGTTCAGCGATTCCACGGGATGGGGACCGGGCGTGATGATCACGCCGTTGGAGTACTTTTTCAGCGCGTTGCGGTGGAACTGGCGGTTCTTGGAGAGGCTGATGTTGGTGGGGAAGAAGTACTGGTACATCTGCAGGGAGGGGATGGAGTGCTGGATGGCCATGGCGCCGGTGGTCGGCTTCAGGTGGCCTTCGTCCGTTTTCAGGGTGTAGTATTCGTCGTTGGACAGGTTGAACGGGTCCTTGAACTGGTTTTTCGGCTCTTCCAGGGTCTTGGGGGATTCCGGTTCCTTCAGCATGCCCACTTTGCCCATCACCATCCGGGAACGCTTTTGCATGTCCTTCTTCTCCTTCGTCTGCGCCACCACCGGTTCAGGGACCATTGTTTCGCATTCTTCTTCATCGGGGATTTCTAATACACACATTAAAACGATAAAATAACAGTTTAGGAACTGCAGTACCGGTTTCTGCAAAATATTCTCAAGTACAAACCACACATAAAAGATGGTCACAAGCAGTAATTTAAATACGCTGAATTTCTTTCTGACAAACTGACGGCAGGAGCAAATCCATAAAAAAATTAACCAGCAATAATATTCGAAAAAACAATAATTATTTGATAAAAACTTTGAAATATCAAAAACGTCCTACTATGCCGACGAGAACAGCTGCAGTTATTAAAAAAAGTCAACAACCGTCCCGTTCCCAGTTTGCTAAACGAGCAAATACGGTAAGTGAAAGTAGATGCAAAATATCTAGAAACGAAAACCACTAAAAAGAAATCGTTAACAAGAAAATCATTAAAACTGCCGATATTCTGACACACCAAATATCACGAACAATTTATCCGCGCTCAGCGACATCATCTCTCATCTAGCATAGGTAATAATAGTACGCGATCATACGTAATAATATTATTGCACGCATAATATGGGTTAAGGGAAGTGGGCCGGTGCATGGTACCAAATTCGTGTACATGCACGAAAACTTACACTTTCGTGCATGTACATGGCTGTTAAAAAATTCCAAAAAGTTTAAATGCATTCAGGTGTACCAAAAGTCTCATTATGGACCGATATACCTCGAATTTTGCGTGTAAATTCGCATGTCCATGAAGATCGTTTTTACGCCGATCCAGACTTCCATGATTTTTTTCAAATTTTAAAATGAATTTTAAAATTTTTGAAATTCATTTTAAAATTTGAAAAACATGCTAGAACAGTGGATCGGTGTAAAAATGTTCTTCGTAGTTATATGCATTTACGGGCAAAATTTGATGGAGATCGGTCCATAATGAGACTTTTGGTACACCTGAATGCATTTAAACTTTTTCGAATTTTCTAACAGCCATAACTCCCGAACCGGATGTTGCGCGCATAAACGGTTTGCACGCCAGTGTGTACAAATCTTCTGGCTACAGAATGTCATAAAACAAATACAAAAATGTGTTTGTGAGTGCGCGAAAGTGAAAGTTTTTGGGCATGTACACGAATTTGGTACCATGTACCGGCCCACTTCCCTTAAGTAGGTAAAAACAGTACCTAAAATAATGTTGGGGTCATTGGGATCCAGCGTCAAGACCGCGGGTTCCGGTAGGTCATCAATATTATCCGCATCCCAAATAATGTGCTTCTCCCAGTTTCCACTGATCAGATCATCATTAACGGCCGGGAACATGGATTCCTTCCTGAGATCGAGCGGCGCTGCCTGCTGGCCGTTGGCTGTCTTCCCGTGGGACAGAAACGCTGCCGCCGTGCGATACGTCGTATTGGGAATCCAGCCGGCCTCCGTGCGCTTCTCCGACATGAGTTTATCCACATCCCGCTTAAACAGTGTCCCATCCCAGATGATATTCTGCTCCCAGTTGGTCAGGGAAATCATCAGGAAGGCTTCGTCGTTCACCTCCAGTTTGGAGTTGCCCCTGGAACCGTTGTACACCGGAATTGGGGCCGGGCGAGAATCACGCTTCCGTGTGGACGCACCGTAGTCGAAATTCTCCCCGGTGGGATCGACGTTCAACGCATCGTACCTGTAATTAGTACAGAACAATGCATTACTGCCATTCAGGCGGACTATTTATATTTTCGGTTTTTATTCTTTAAATTCCCTATATAATACCCCGTATTTACTTCGGTAACATTGTCTGTTCGACATTTGAACTCCTGCTATAGATAACAGTACTGTAATTATCACTGACTGCAATTCGAATTCACCTTCCTGCCGAACCAACGCGTCGGCCTCGATTGCTGTAACAAAGACTCCATTGAGTGCATTCACACCCTTTGTGTGATTAAAGCGTGCCGCTATTGCTGCGGCAGAAACGTGAATGCACTGGGCAGATATGGGCCATCATGTGGCCGTCGCTCTACCTGCCGTTGCACTTATTTCTAAAATTTAAACTGAACTTTCAACATACAGGTCTACAGCATAAGCGTAATCTCATGCATGAGTAAGAATCTAGCTTAATCACTAGCCCTACTTTCACTGCCTTCGAAACGACATGCGTGGTTTGAAAAGGACTGCCCGTAACACAAAACGGCCTTTCTCCTCAAGGTTGACCTGAATTCCTATGAAAATTAGTTCTCTATCTAACTCCGTTTATTTTCAAGAAAACTTCCAAGCTGAAAACTGCAAACGAACGGTGATTCAAGGGCTTCCGGTGCTTCAAGCAATTGCAACCACCCAGTGCGGCAGCGTAATGAGCAGTGACGTTTCTATATTACCAGTTTCAAAAATTTTTAATCCTTTTCCTTCTTGATGTTTTTACGAAAAGTCTTCTTTCGGTCTTTCTGTTGTTTTTCGGTTAAAAAAAATTAAGGATTCTGAACTGAAAACGCGAAACCCGACTGGCGGAAAGCCAACCTTCATGCCACACAAAAATCTTAACGTAGATCGAATGTAGATACAACTGAACAGTGCATCGAGTGCAAGCAAACCTTACCAATGCTGCGCTGGTCCGTATCGCCACGGCGGAATGGCCTCCACCGTCAATCTCTTGGGTTTCTCCGACTCCACACTCTCCATCGACACATCCGCCATACTCTCCACCACCACCGGAAGTTCTGGCACCACCTCAATCGGCACCACCTTCGGAACGGGCTTCGGCAGACTGATCGGCCAGAACTCGTTACACAGCCGCTCCAACCGGGCCGCATCGTCTTCCTCCGCCGTTTCCTCCTCGACCGGCACCCCAGGGCTCAACAGTTCGCCCTTGCGGCGATAACTGGTCCAGCGCTTGGGCAGACTGGAGGGCCGACCGGGGCCGAACAATCGAGAGAAGCGCAGCACCACGTCCGGCTGGAATTCGGGGAAGATGTCGTTGATTTTGATGTTAGCCAGTTCCGGGGGGAGCACGGACGCTAACGGCGTGTTGAGGGAGGACTTGGACGCGGACTGCTCCAGAATAGACGCCACGGCGACGGCCGTGGGGTCGGAGGTGTCCGCGGTGGACGGGGAGATGGGAAGGGGTACGCCATGGGGATCGTTCTCACATACTTTGTCCACGAGAGCGTGCACGGTGGCGCTGATGGGCTCATCGAACGCAGCATAGATATCACTCTCCGGGGAAGCTAAATAACGCACATTCGTTGAAACAGACAAAACAGTATAATTACAAACAAACTATCCAAGAGAAGTTAATCTGCTGTTCAAATTTATCAAATTTACCACTGCGCATTCATGCATTTACCATTTATCAATTATTACCATTTAATTATACATTTTTAATTTATCACTGCTCATTCATTTCAAGAAAATTATAGGAACTTTCCGAAGAAATTTCCGACTAAATTTTTTTATTAACATTCTTAACTGGTTTTTTTTTATTTACTGGGCGAACGCCGAACAACAACACCAGACAAAACAGATATTGCAGCGCGTAAGGGAAGATCATTATCGCCGATTCTTTACACAAAAGTACACAAAAGATCATTATCGCCATTCTTTACTTTGATTCGCGTCAATGCGTTATTATGCAGTCAAACAATGGCTTAAATACTGGAATTGTACACAGAATCCGGAAATCGCATTTTCATTACGAAACTTTTGTTTTGATAATTGTATTGTACCTGTAGACGATGCTGACGACAGTGGTACGCCATTATCCGTCGAAAGTGATTTGGTTTGTTGGGGAGATCTCACAGTCGCGTCGCCAGATCGCTCTTCGACAGCCACGTCGTCCGTATCGTAATAATCGACTGCATTCGGGGACGCAGAAACCAGTCCTTCGTCGTCCACATCTAAAACATTTAAGAATGTAGCACAATTATCACGCGCACTGATGTTTAGATTCAATTGCTGGCGAAAAGCTTCCATTTTGATTTACTAATTAGTATTATTCATGCGTAAAATTTAAACTGACTATCCTGATTCCAGACTTTAAGGTTTATAGAAAACAGGAAATTACTGACACCAGGATCGTTAAACTGAGTAAACAAAGGATCACCAACCGCTCATGCCAGCTCATCGAACAGGTTTTCGAAGGAATGTTCGTGGCTGTGATACAGTGTACGCACCAGCTGCACGATCCTCGCCAGTGTCGTCGCGAATATCGTTGGCCAAGGAGTTCAACGTCCGACTGGATCTGACGAGACTCCCCAGATGCTGCTTGGCATCCGCATCCAGATAATCCCCCTCCAACTGCCCATCTTCATCGATATTGCCAAAGAGAATGTTGGCCAAGGAGAAGGGCTTGATGCTGCCCTCGTACTCGTCACTGTGATCATCGTCGAACGACATCCTGCACTCGAGGACCCAGACGTCGCCGAATCAACCAGATAACATCCTCCACCGTATTAAACAAATAAACCAGAAACAGCACAACATGTGATCATCGTCGAACGATATCCTGCACTCGAGGACCGAGAAGGCGCAGAATCAACCAGATAACAATGATAACATCCCCCACCGTATGAAATAAATAAACCAGAAGTAGCACAACAACATGAACCGTCGGTAGCCAACCAGTAGGAACTTCCTACTAGGAAGTCGGCAGTTTTTACCTGTAATCAAGAATGAACGTTGCAGGATGCTGGATGTTTACTAGTGGGATCGCGGAACACTCTAGCAGTCTAGCAGAGCATTTACACTGTTACATCGCAATTTTCGTTTACACAACTCAACACGCGCCATACGATCCTAACTTTCATGCTGTTCGTACTCGTACTCATGTTAATGGCACGTTTGATTAATTATATAAAGAAATCTATAAAAACATATGGAAGTCCGATGAAACTTTGCTAATTTAAATATCAACGCTGTCAAAAATTCGATTGGAGAATTTGGAGCGATCAGAAGTCTGATGAGAGCAGACATATTATAATATGTCTGCTCTCGTCTGATTTCGCTGTCACTCGACAGTCGAGCGATCAGGTGGCGAGACGAGCTATGTGCTTGCAAAATGCAGTCGGCAGTAGAAGTATTGAATTTACTTCATAAGCGGGAGTTTTTATTGAAATACGAGTAAAAATAAATGAAGTTAACACGAGTACAGTACTCGTACTTAAAATACGAGTAAAAATCGTTTTAACAAGGGAGCAAAATAGGTTGGGCGGAGAGTTTACCCAAAGCTTCTGATTACTACTAGTACTATTACTACTACGAATACTCTACTTACAGTACATAATAGTTCACAGTTAAAATTTAAACACTAAATAAATACAGCCAAAATTCCTATTTAAACACTAAATAAATACAGCCAAAATTCCTATCCTTCCGCAGGCAAAAAATAATACCGTAAAAATTGCTTAAGAAAGGTTGTAAAAATACACTTGCTCACGGTTAGGATAGAGTGAAAACAGTCATTACAAAGATAGCGCAGGGGTGCACTGTGAACGGCACGAACCTGTTTCCCCATCTAAACTCTAGTCGTCCGCACCGTCGGATTGCTCGTCGCCCGTATCCATTAGCACAGGACCCGCCGGTGGTCGCGAACTTAGATGGAGAAGTCCCCTTGATCGCGGCAGCATCCACGCGTCATCGCCGCCCGCACCACCAGCCACATCCGGTGCAGAAGGATAGCACCGGAGCAGCAGCTTGTCCTTCGCCGTTTTCCGTACAATGATATCTGGATTTTGCTGCCAGGAGTGAATTTTTCGGCGGGCCGCTGCACTCGGCTGGCGCTGCTCGGGCCACGCCTTGGAGCCGTAAGTGACCGATGCATCGGCCACCGAATCGGCTTGCTTGTCCAGCGTCGAATTCCGGTACGACTGAACAAAGATATCACCCAATGCCGTCTGCATCACGACACTGAAACCGTCGCCATTGCCGTGCGGAATCCCGGTCATCCCGGTGAGCGGCCTCTTGAGACGCATGGCGGCCGCGGCAGTCTTGGCCTCATCGCATGCCGCACTAAGGAGCCCGACCTGCAAGACAAACGACATCTGTGAACCACCTTCGGCGAACGGTGTAGCTAATCAAAGGCATACCGCATTGCGTGGCGGAGTAATGCAGAAGGGCAGTGATGCCAGTGCCAGTGGACCAGTAACTCGTTGAGACGGCGTCAGTTCGTAACCGGCACATGCCTGCCCCATTTGCGAAGCGGTCAGGACGACGTCGCTGCTCGCGGTGGCCTGGACTATTAAATCCAGGAACAGGGTGTGGCTGGGTACCGGCGAGGGATGGCGCAGGACTGCGCGCTTCATGTGCCTCTGATCCACTATGCAGATTTCTCTTGTGGAAGCAATAAGGTGGTAGAAGCTGCGGGAGTCTATAATACATCATCTCGTACATCATCTCGTACATACTAATGTCGTAATAAAATCAGACGAGCTGTATAAAACAGTCACAGCTATTCTAAAAAAGTAACAGTTTTGCAGTACTAGTTACACAAAAGCATTGAAATCATACTGAGTCACTGACTGTAATAAGGGATTTGGCCCGGTACATAGCAGATAGCACTGAATTCATATACATTGACGGGAATATTCGCTTTCGCGCACTTCCAGACACCTTTTTGTGTTGCTTTCTGACATTGTGTAGCCGGTTGATTTGTATGTATAGGTAACCTATAGGCGTGAAATCCGTTTTCGCGCGCAACATCCGGTTGCGGAGTTATGAGGGTAACAAAATTCCAAAAAGTTTGAATGCATTCAGGTGTACCAAAAGTCTCGTTATGAACCGATCCCTTTCGAATTTTGCACGTAAATCGGTAAATGCACGTAACCATGTAGATCAGATCGTTCTTACATGGATCCAGACTCCCACGATTTTTTTCAAATTTTAAAATGAATTTAAAAATTTTTGAAATTCATTTTAAAATTTGAAAAACATGCTAGAACAGTGGATCGGTGTAAGAACGATCTCAATGGTTATGTGCATTTACGTGCAAAATTTGAAAGGGATCGGTCCATAACGAAACTTTTGGTACACCTGAATGCATTTAAACTTTTTGGAATTTTGTTACCCTCATAACTCCGCAACCGGATGTTGCGCGCGAAAACGGATTTCACACCTACGTATACAATTCTTTTGGCTACAAAGTACCATAAAGCAATGCAAAAAAGCGGTTGGGCGTTTGGGAGTGCGCGACAGCGAAAGTTCCCGTGGATGTACTGTACTCGAATTTGGTCCTATGTACCGGGCCAAATCTTTTAAGGGGATCACTAGCAGTAGAAAGCGGGTTCGGGAAAACGGGAATGGTTCGAAAACGATGGCCAGGTATGTGTTTTTCCAGCTTTGACTGAACGCAGAGAGGATTTAGCTACACAACGCTGTGGCGCGATCCTCTCTGGCCTGTGTCTAGACCGAACTATTCATGCAACAAGAAAAAACTTTGAAACCGAAAGTTGAATGAGGAAGTTTCTTTGTTAATGATGTAATGTACACTGTTGTGTGTGTTTTCTTCTGGAAAGCTTATATACCGAAACATGTGAAAGAAATTTTCAAAATGTTTCAAATGAAACGCAAAAAAAACACTTTTCGAAAAGAGTTTTTTGGAGTGCTATCTGTTGTGCAACACTGGAGTTTCGGCATATAAGCTTTCTAGAAGAAAACACGCCCAACGATGTACTCGTATATTACTTCATAAACAAAGAAACTTTCTCATTCAACTTTGAGTTTCAAAGTTTTTTCTCTGTTTGATGAATAATAAAGCTCTTTATTAATAATCAACGCACAAATCAGGTGGAAGAAAAATAAACACATTACATTATTCACAACAGCAAAACTTCGTTTAAACTATCCATTCCATCCATGGTGCCAAGGATAGATGCTGCATTTCCGCGCTGAATTTCCAGCGATAGCCGTTGACGCAGAAATTCGTGCGATCGACGCTCTCCCCGTCTCCCGTATGCTGCTGCAGTTTTTTGCCCCACTCTTTCACAATGGCGATAGCCGACGGGCCCCATGGACCCAACGTCTCAAAGGCGATCGGAGAAAAAATGTAGCGCCCTTGCAGATAGGCATACAGTCTGGACTTCTTTTCTTCTGCTTGTACAGCAGCAGCACCTGCCGTAACCGACGTAGACTGAAGATGGGAAAGGGCCATTGTGTCGACGCATGTCACATCCCAGGCCAGGCACATCCCTCTTTTCCAGGCAAACGTTGTACAACCGTCTGGGCGTTGATCTGTTGTGGAGGACGTGCCGCGTGGTTCAAGCTTAGCTTGAATGCCAGCTGAAACACAAGCCCGACACACGATACTGTTTAAACCTCCGTGTCGCGCATGTCTACCAGCCGAATAGCTCACGACAGCCCGTGGTGCCCGAGCTTGTCAACCAGTTTGTGGCATTTGGTGCAGTTATGCAGCTCGCAGATATCCGCTCCAAGACGCAGGCCAATTGAGATTTTCATCGTATCGTCGTGGAGGAGGCTGCCGATGTGGGCTGAGCGAAGCGCATTTAGCCAGATGCCGGCTTTCGGTCTTGACTGTGCGAGTAGGCGGGCTGTGTTAATCCGATCATGGCGAAACAAGTCCATTAAGACCTGACACATTACAGAGCGGCACATTACAGAAGTCCAAACTGACACATTACAGAGCGGCAAGAACCACGTTTTTTGCAGCTTCCGGAATGCAACTTCTGGCATTTCCGATTGCCGAGCCCTAGTTTTCCACAGCTGTACTGCTTCTGAAGCGTCCACTGCCGGATGATGGGGAAGCATCGATGATAACAAATCAAATGCGGAGCGAATCGAAACCAAGAAGGCTGGGAGTGATAATTCTTCCGCACGACGTATGCCAATACCTCCTCGACTAGCCGGAAGGGTCGCTTGTCGCCAGCATGGGTAGTCGTCATGGTTCACTCGAACGTTACTTAGCTCTTGAAAACATGAACGTATAGACTCATTCTTTGATGAATAGCTCAGTCTAGACACAGGCCAGAGAGGATCGCGCCACACCATTGTGTAGCTAAATCCTCTCTGCGTTCAGTCAGAGTTGTGAAAACACATATCTGCCATCGTTTTCAGACCATTCCCGTTTTCCCAAACCCGCTTTATACTGCTAGTGATCCCCTTAACCGGTATACCACTGCCTATGGCGATGCACAATCATGCATTTAATCAGTGAGAGCTATTCCTGTACTTATTATTAGACAGGTTAACTGTTCCCGCACTTATTACGTACTGAAGTGATTTACTGCGTGACTTTCTGTTTCACCAATGTATACTTATGTAAAGAACCGCTTAAATAACCCAATTAAAGATACAGTACTTCAACGAAATGCATTGCTTCTCGCACATTACAAGAAAAGAGTGGCCGTAGTTTTCGAACAAAAGTTTCAATTTTCGCTTAGGAGGACTGGCTTGAAGGCAAAACGAACATACAGTATTTCCTGCTTCTAATAACTTGATTTGACTAAATGAAACGAAAGAGAAAATGCTATCCACCGAAGATAACGTTTACTGTAAAATCTGCCCTTTACAGCAGCAAACAACTCCACTTCGATTTCTCTATTATTTTTTCCCTACTGCTGATCGTACGACTTGCTTGTGAGTTGTTTTTTTCGCTCCTCTGCATTATTTGTTGAAAACTAACATTTGTTGAACTATGTAGAATAAACTACGTAAAATGCGTGGAAGATCCGTTCTTTTCCACTGCACCCGGTCCACTTTGCTGTGTTGCTTTTGGGTTTTTAAGAATATTTATCGATGTTCAAGCTTCATAAATTGTGATACGGGTACACAAGAAAACGTGAACGTGGACTGCAAACGGTGGTATGACAGTGATATACAACCGCGCCCGAAAACGTGGGCAAGTTTTCAAAAAAATTTTCAAATCAAGACTCCAGAGCACAAAGCAGTCATACTGCAACGCGGGCAGCTTAAGCAACTGTAAAACCAAAACTGCTGGAAGCTAAGCGAGTCGGTCGTTTCCCGGATAGTTGTGAAAGTCCTTTATGACCTAAGTACAGGGTGCACACGCCAAGTTGTCACCATCACTTAAATTCATTTTTAAAAATTAGAAAAAGTTCACTTACTCCAGTTGAATTGTTTGTTTCTAGTACAGAATTTAATTCTGCGTTCACTGAAATTATTAGCTGACCGCTGGCTCTGAAACTGGCGTCAGAAACAAGGACCGAAGTGAGATCCCTGGTGGCGCATTTCTGGTCATTATACTCACCTTATCCGAAAACCAGGAAAACACTTTCTACTCTCGAAAATAGTTTAAACAAGCTCAGAACACATTAGGTAAGCGCTGGAAAAGTGAGCCAACGCAGTGGAACCATTACTTCATTTATAAAAAATTTTTGTTGGAGATTGTCAGGCTTTTACAATGCTATACGGTACGAGCGGCGAAGATTTTTTTGTAAATACATGGAACCTTTAGGTGTTCGGATGATCGTTAAAAATTATGCGGAGGGGATCATTCTAAACGATTCTAAAGTAAACAAGGATATATATCGCATTCCTGGTTTACTGTTAACCACCAACGAGCAGAAGAAAAAATCAACAAAGCGTTCGCCATACAAATTTATGTGCCCAATGGGGATTCGCTGGAACGGAATGAGCCGCTTTTACCTGCTCGATAGCAAACATTAAACTGATGCCACATATGTCCCTAATCATATTATGTATGTCAAAGATGAGTAGGGATGACATCTCTTTTGTGTGGGGATCGCTAGAAGGGTGTCCACCCCCATTTTGGCGGTGCTTATTTCCAAGTCGCAGCTGTGACCTCCCGAGGGTTCGGAGAGAATCGGGTGATATACGTCCCGAGACAGTATTGAATGCTAAAAGGTTTTGCCATGTTACCGTTACCGATTAGCTAACGGATGACCTCGTTTTTTAAACGAATTTTGGGCGCAAGGAAGGCGACCACGGTAGACGGGTCGGGAGGTACTGCGAAGCAGGTGGCGTTCGAGTTTTCTGGCGTAACTTGTCAAAAAACGCTTACTTATTGGCATTCTTAGATTTTGATGATGCAGAAGAGAAATTGTGATTATGGTAAAATTAAATAAAAATTCTAGAGTGTGCCGGAAATTTTTAATAAATCAGCAAAATTTTGGTGACACTTGGCGTGTGCACCCTGTAACTATTTAACCAAAAGATGAGGGATGACAGGACAGTAAGGCAAGAAATTATGATACGTGATGAAAAGCACAAATGTGACCAAAGAATTACAACTCACTGGGGGCGAACGCCCACTCACGCACCCCGATGTTAAGGGGCAGTTATCGGGGGTAAACAATTTTTCGGTATCACTAGCATAAGAACCAACACGTGCAAACATGCTATTTTTACGGCCGTTATTATGGCCTGTTTTTGTGGCCTGTTCAACCTGCTCTTACTTACTTATTATTAATTAATTCTATATTTTCGGTAAAAAATCGCCACTGCTCGTTGTCGCGGCTACTTTGTACTTACAAGAACATTGAAAATTGTACAGCTACCTAATTTCGGAAAACTTTTTTTTCGGAAAAGCTTCGTTTAGTTACTTTAAAATAATGAGAACAGACAAGTCTGTTCTGCTTCTAGTCCGCTTCTATGAAGCGGAGCTCAAAGTTGTGCAGAATATTTTTCAAAATAACTCAGCAGGAATTAAGCAATAAGCACATGGTTTTTGAATTTTAAAATATCTATGACACAAGCGGTCAGCAACGATCTGCCCAACCAGGGCTTTCTTAAATCAGCCTTCCCGCATTCATCGAAATGCGCGCACCAGTGCTTTCGCTTACCAGGAAATGTCCGCCCGGCTACAATGTCGTTCTCCAGATGCGTAGCAGTCAGCGGATCCCCGTAGCAGTCACTTCGTGCAAGGACGCCGATCGAAGCATAACCGCGCGCCCTAATATCCCACAACTGTACGCAGCGATGAGTTAGGACTACCGCTTGTCTGCCGCCGCTACCGAAGTAGCAACCATGCCAGCCGTGTCGCAGAGGGGATATCACAGCGGAGCCCGGCGTGGACCTGGTGATTTCGCAGATCGGAACATCAACAGGGCTGTTGACATTCCACAGGCACACGCTGCCGTCTTGCGCGCTCGTCAACACTTCGCCCCGTTGGTAAGGGCTCAGCCGCATATGAGAGAATACGCCACGGGCGCGCTTAATCCTTAGTTCTATCCTGCAGATTTTCAATTATTGTAATACAACTTTTCTGGTAAACTGCAATTTAATAATGGTAGAGGTCAATTACATTTGGGTAACTGTTGCGCGTCGGGTAATGGAGAGACGCGTAAAAAATTAGCCATGACTCAGCAGAAAAACAATTCGTGATTCTCGCCGAGAATGCAGACTGGCAGTGTGTCATTTTGACGTCACTAACATACAGGGATTTTACGGTGCGCCAACAGGAGAACTACGCATTCGCTCTGTTTCTGTTCGTGTGCTGTCATATGAGCGGTGGTGTGATACCGTGGTAATAGCACTGTCGCTTAATTTAAGAATATTGTAAATATTTTTATCACACGTTTTTTTCTCGTTTGAAGAGGATAGTTTTCTGTAAATTTTCATGTACCTGCCCAATTAACAAACATCATAGTTTGCGAAAGCGCGCTGTTTAAAAAGTGCCGGGATAAGCACTTGTTGTTATGGGCCTACGATGACTTCCCGGCGCGCCTTAGGCGCACGGCTCCCAACCGCCACAGGGCGCCATCCGGGCGAGAATCGTCAATCGTCCAATCGTGAGTCGAGTACGCTTCCGTGCGAAGAAAGAAATTGAACACCGAAGTGGAACTGAAAAACTCATTTTTAATGCTGTAATGTAGTAAATGTGGTATTACGTCAAAAAAGTTAATTATGAGTTTTGGATTATGACTCTCGGTCGTTGGATTTACTTTTGGTCCAAACACACAAAAATTTTGTAGATCTGTGCAGGAGATTTACGAGTTACTCGTAGTTTGGGTAATGGTTGCGCTTCGACGTCGAAGCGCAACGCTTACGCGGACAAGTAAGCTGAAAACCCATCCCAGATTTTGTGACAGCGAATCAGAATGTTTGCTTGGTTACGCGCTGCTACGTCACATTTTTTACGCGTTTTCCCGTTACCCGACGCGCAACGCTTACCCAAATGTAATTGACCTCCACCAATAGTTACTTAATCCAGTTACACTTAACGCACGTCCTAAGATCACTTGATGACACTAACCAGTGCTAATGAGTGCCAATTACGTCGTGTTTTTCGCCCCGATCTGTACTTTGCAATTCGAAGGCGGTATTTTTTATTCCGTTTTTTATAATAAAAGTAATAACTATTAAGTACTTACAAAAACTCCCTTGTATTTTATTTAAATTACCACCGAGATTGCTCCGCCAAAAAACTGAACGGTTTGCAAGTGGTTACAGCGATCCTTTTAAGTAGCTAAATCTGAGCAGCCTTATCGGACCTGTATACTGGCTAATGCCGAATAAATAAAATATTCAGCGAACTGTGAGTCAGTAGTCATAAAATCAGACTGCCATTTGACCACTGGCTATAAATACACAACAGATGGATACAACTTCGGCTAAAGATAAGGGTGCGGCTATTCCCACCACCTCGCACCACCCTTGCACACCTTTAGGCTATTTGCACTACCTTTAAAAAATGACTTCTAACACCACCTTTTGGCTGTTGCCGCCACCTTCGTACACTTCTTTTGGCTTTTCTCAGCTCTTAATTGCATTTTTCGAACAATAAAAAAACTTTGTTTACAAAGTATCACAGCATCGCCGTCAGTGGCGCTTTCCCTTTACGATTGGGTCCACCGCTGGCCAGAAGCGTGTTCAGCCGCATTTTCTCCGTGTTGCAGCTGTTCACCAAATGTTCTCGCATCTTCTTATTACTGAATTTTGCTTCCTTTGTATTCCGGTACTTGATTACCCTACTTCGATCGCGAAAGTAGAGGCTAAGACGCCACGGTCGTAACCAATTTTTTTTGCTGTTGACCCTTCCATAAGGACCCAGTGATTTGCTGTCGCCAGAATATAAGGAGGTGGGAATAGACAAAAGGTGCCACTGGTGGTGTCACAAGGTGGTGACAATAGCTAACGGCGGTGTAAAAGTATTTTTAAAAAGGTGATGCGAATAGTCAAAACGTGGTGAAAGGGGGTGAGAATAGCCAAAGCAAGTGCCAGGGTAGTGGGAAGAGCCATTTCCTAAAGATAAACCGGTTTGTAGTGCATTGCCACCATGTCGCTTCGGAAGATGTGGGGTTTTGACCGTGGTTCTTTTCGGCAATCAACGGAAAAGCATTAGCGGCTACCTTAGCTTTACATTGCAATTGTGCAATAATAGTATATATGTAAATCGGTCGCGCTTGTGTTTGAGGTAAGGAATAACATGAAAGAGATTACAAAAATTTGATAAACAGTCTGTACAGTGTACATTGTATTCACAGTAACAAAATAGATTTTAAAAATGTAATTTAAATGTAAAATTCCTAAAACAGCAGCCAACCAGCTAAAAAGACATTAGAAAAATTTAAAACGAAAAAAATAAACAGCTCAAGGCTCAGAAAGCCTGATAAAAAATTTCAAATAATATAACTGTTTCTTCAAGAGTTTTCTGTCTTTTTAATCGATCTTTGTGACCTTTTAGCTATCTGGGTTTCTAATTTTTTAAATGTATTTAAATCTGGCACAGATCAACATAGGTTAGAAAGTTTCCAACTGCCACTAGTAGCACAGAGTGACGTAGTTAACGTTAGTGAGTTTGGAAACTGCCACCAGTATCACACAGGGGCGTATTTTAGTGAATACCAAAGCTACCACCAGTATTACAGAGCCACGCAGGTAAGTGGATTTCCAAACTACCACCAGTATCACAGAGGAACGTAGGTTAGTGAATGCCCAAGCTGCCACCAGCAAACTACTACGAGTGCTGTTTATGTGCAGCACAATGAGCACATCATCATTGCGCAATAAAATTTGTGAACCTGCAGATTCTATACGTAGCCTGGCTATGGCAGTACTTTAGCAGCATTGGTTTGCCTAATAGTATGTATTATTCTGTATTTTGCAAGCCTGTGTACAGAAATTTACTGCGAAAATTAACGAAGTTACAAATTTTTAAAGATCTGGAAGCCAGCCGCGTGCGGCATGGGCCACCGCACGCGTACGTTGCCGCTAAAGTACTGCCATAGCCAGGCTACGTATGTATAGAATCTGCAGGTTCACAAATTTTATTGCGCAATGATGATGTGGTGCACATAAAGTGCACTTCTACTACCAGTGTCACAGAGCCGCTACGTGGGGGAATACGGTAACGGGCCGCGGGGCCGGCTTTTAGATATTTAAACATACAGACACTTTCGACAATAACATATTTAGGCATTCTAGATTCTAGATATTTTCAAAACCGAAAACTCTGGAGGCTAAAAAAATTAGAAGTAACGGGCCCGCGCAGCAGGGCCGAGTCGAAATATTTAGCATTAGAGTAAGGCTTACTTGCTCTCGGAATTCGTAAACGTTGTGTCCGGAATCAGAAAACACGAGTCCCCACAGCGTACACCAATAAGTGCGCCGGCGCCAGAATATTCCTAGGCGAGACAAAAATTCAAGCGCTTAATACAGTATATATGAGAATTGATAGATATGCCAATTGAAATTCAAACCAGCGTAGTCCTTTGCCGACTACTTTGCAATAAAATGTTCTGATGTACCTGCGAAGTAATCTGGTAGATCAGTGACCCTGGTGTGGTCTTCAGAGTTTGATCGGCTGTAGCAATGCGCAATTCAATCCGCTCCGACGTAATCTGGATAGGGATTCTTACTGCGCGGCGGAAACCAACTGCTCCCACGATAATTCCGCTGTTGTCGGAGGTGGGTAGGTATGTCAGGGTTCCTCCAGAAAAGCACCAATTTACAGTGGAATTAATCAAGCTGGCGGGCTTCACTATTCCACACCGTACCCTGGCGCGCTGACTGAGTTTATGTACATCCCCGATTCTTTTGCGTGGCACCAGAAAGTCCTTGTACGATGGCACGGACGGAAACAGGCCGACTTCAGCACATCCAATGTCAAAATTTTGGACGTCTTTCAGCTCCGTTCCAAAATTTTCGTGAGATCGACCCCTGCATCTGTAAGGAAATTAATTTAACCATTACTGCATACTGTTGTTAAAGATACCATAACAAACTAGAAAAGTGCAAATATTTTCTAGTTGATTGCGCTCAGTTTCGCAGTTTTACATGTTCGGTTAAAAATAATAAGTTTACAAATGGATGTTACGTAGCATATATATGTTATGGATGGCTGTAACTAAAAAACCTCCGCTGCTCTAAACAACGACCATCGTAATTTTGTCCGGCCGAATTTTCTTGTACTTTTCGGTGCTTCCACAAGCGGAGGGTTTTGTCGATCTGTGATTCTGTCTTACCAAACACATCTTGTCGTAAACCCTGTAAAATGTTGCCCCCAAAAACGTTTCTACGCTCAGACAGTTTAAGTAGAGATTCTAATGATTTCGACCTCTTTTGACTGTTCTCGCTGGCGCAATGCGTGCGCTTGAGCTGCATCATACAGTGGACTTCATAAATGTGGTTACACACAGCCACCCGTATTCATAGCGCTATCGGCTTTAAGTGCAACCACATTTATGAAGTCCATTGTAACTACACATCTGACCAAACACTATGATAATTATTTTCACTACATATATTTGAAGTATGAACTCGGTTTGGTTATTTCAAAGTGTAAAAGTTATTGATCTAAGGTTGTTATTTTGCGGACGCAATAACAATTCAAGCAGATTTTTAAAATTTTTTATTCAAGAACAGCAATGTGTTCCGACACTATGACTAAAGTATTGTGGAGCGATTTTTCAAAAAAACCCACCCGCGGGCACCCGGTACTGAAACAAATAAACTATTTTACACCCAAAGTTACTTTATTTTATTTCCTAAAGTGTACATAAACATTTTCCACAAAAACGCTTCACAATTCTTTTTCAAAATTATTTTTCTGTAATCTGATCAAATTTCAAAATTTTCTGAAATCGCTGCGAATTGTTATTGAGTTTAGAACTCATTTTTGCAAAATTGTTCACAACCTGGCGAAGAACCTTCTTTTGTTATGTGATATTACCGACTTTGCCTCTTTTGCGCCTGCAGTGCCACCACACCGGTTTTGACCACCGATCGGCGCTGTGCAGAAGCGCGCGCTCACTAAAAAGTGTGATTACTGATCGCGGCTTTTATTGCAGCAATTAGGCGCAGCCTAACATAACATCCCATTCAGACAATGAGCAAATACAAATACACGCATCTCAGGATAAGCTATCATACGCCCCACTGTCATAAGCCTTATCCACTTTTGTCTTTTTTCGTTTGTATTGTATTGTGCAAACAACTACAGTAATTAGCAGCACACGATCATAACGAGTGATCAGACCGCCAAGGTATCGAATGGCTTCTTGGACACCGGACACGATAGCTGTATGTATAGGTGGCACTCAGGTAGAAAGATCACCAGCCCGCCAAATCAATCCCGGGAGCCAACCAAAAAACTTGAATAACTTTTTTTGGTGCTAGCTTATGTTATCCAACTTTTGCCAAGTAATACATACGACCCTTCTTATTACAACTGCAGAATTTCGAAAATCTAATTTTCGATCTATTATCACAGTACAAATTCTCCTTAACGCCTCACCTGCATTTCGACAGCGTGTCTTTCACGCCAAAGCAGTTTTAAAGTAATCAGGGACCATAATCTCTTCCTTTACGCTTAATCAAGGACCTCCTTCTGCTTAATTTTCTAAATGTTTGAGTTTAATTAAATAGTGTTAACGGCGGAAGCAGTATCAGAAAGGTCACACAATTTTCTTGTGGTAACCTTTTTCTATTGGGCATTCATCTGACGATCCCGGCCACCTTGGCGATCGTGTTAATAGACGTACACGGCAAAAATGACTGTTGGACATTTTTGCGGTTCACTTCCGCACTATAACCCGGAACGCATGATTGGACAACAGTTTCGAAGCGTCTCCATCATAGAATGTTCAATGGGTACTGGGTATAAGCTATAAGCAGTAGCCCTGAGTCCTGACTGAGCCTTTCCTAATTTTCGCACCATCGTACTCAGTATTGGCTTTGCCGACAAACTTGTAAAATTTTTGAAACATTCGGCACCGGTGACAAAAAATATGCCCCTGAAAGCAAACTTGCATGTTAGATTATTCAGACGCGTTTTTAGCAATGCGTTAATGCGCGTCCATGTAACAACACGAATTTGACAGAAAAATAACTGATTGGGTAGCAGTAACGTGCTGAAAGTACACCATGATAATCGTAAAGGGCATGGGTAGTAACGGCCACGGTGCCCTCTCCACATTTTCCATCGGATAGCTGTGACCGACGCTGATCCGACGTACGGAGTCAAAGAACACCGCATTTTAAACACAGGCTGAAGATGAGGCGCGACCGCGGACCGACGGCCTAATTTTACTTGTTTACGGGCTAATTTTACTTTTTTTTTTGTTATGCACGGTAGATCTTCGAATTCGCTACGCATCGGTCAATAATCACAAATACTGAAATCAGCTTTGTGCTTTAACAATAAAGTTGGCTTAATTACTTTTAGCAGCTCAACTTGACGATATGTTATTGAATACAAAACAAGTCTAAAAAAAAAACGACGCGGTGTTTACATTCAGATATAAAGTACAGCGGAAACAAAAGGTTGGATCAAAGAACATTTAAAGCTGATTTAATCGCATCGGGTGCTGTTCCGAAGATGGATGTGTTTCCACGTTGAATTTCTTTGTTAATCGTTCGAGGAATTTTTGCTCATATTTCGCCTGTATCTCCTGGCCCCACACTATTTTCTTCCCCAATTTACCGATCAGCCAGGAGGCTTCCGGTCCGAATAGTCTCGCAGTCTCGAACACAAGCGGACCGATGCATCAATGCGGGATGTCCTGCGCACTGTTACTTACTGCATTTTGCATTTTCATTCCGTTCGGTCTGCGCAGCTGCCACTCCAGGTTGCGTGCGCGGGTGTACGATTTATGATAGGCCATCGTACTGATTCGTACACACGGGTGCCACATCCCGTATTCCCGTGTAAAGTCACTGTAAACGTTTTGCCTGTTCTCTAGGGTAATCTATCAGGGCGTTTGCCGTAGGCCGCCGTTAGGCGCGATATCCCTGATGGTTCGAGTTTGGTTTCTATGGCGACGGAAGGGAAGCCGCGTTCGAAGAAGCCGTTCAAACGTCTATGCCTGGACTTCCGGCCCGGACTTATATCTCACAGCTCAGACGATGGTACGATCGCCTGATGGTATTGGTGTGAGCAATAATTTACTGCTAGTAAACGCGTTTTCTCATGGAGAAATTGTGTTGTACATTTCCTTTTGTATTTTGTAACTGAACTTTTACAAAGCAAGCTCTGACTATAAAATTTCTTGTTTGCGCTTCATAGTAGGGAAATACGTTGCCGTCCTAAACTTGACCAGGATGTTTCGTAACTTTATGAAGTACTGGCCGCAACAAATGAAATAATGATTAATGCTTGGCAAGCATTGCTTGCAGAAAAACAAGGGAGTGTTATGATTCTGGACACCGATCGTAACATCGCATACAGGCAGCCGGTACGACTGTACGAGTAAAAAGTATTAATTTTTAAAAACATCTTTAGCTCGTACACTACGACGTACAGTACAAAACATATGCACGTGTAGTATACGATAAAAGCACATGCGCAATGAGGGTTCATCTTGAGGCTACCCCGGCCTAAGCTGCTAGAAAAGACCGGGGACGAAGTTCGGATATGGTAATTTTAAGTTAAAACTATCATCCAAACCTTAAGGCTTAAACTAGCCTTCGCCTCAGCTATCATTGATTGAGACTAAACTCGAGCCTTCGAAATATGCAAACTGATGTCAAATACTCTGACAGAGTCACTTGACAGTTGATACCATGGGATAAAGTCGGGATGCTGACAGGGGATTTCACACGTATGTGCTTATAATCATAGGCGAATTTCGCTTGAGGAGAGGCCGAGAGGGCACTGAGAAACCAAGAACCCCAGAGATAGCAAAATAACTTACTGCAAAACTCATAAAAAATTTTATATAAAATATGAACTGAATCAAAATTGTTGTTACAGCAAGGTGTCAAGTCAAAAATTACGTACGTGATAAATGGGCATTTTTGCGCGAACCAGGTGAACGTGTTCACTGCAGAAATGGCTAGATATTCTACAAAAAATAACAGAAATAACTGAAATTTTTCTACAGCGGAAGTCAAAAGACAAAAACAAAGCATTATTTCATGCACAGAGTTCAGAAAACCAGTGAATTTTTGCGCGAAGCCGGCGCACATTTTCACTGCAGAAATTTCTGGAAATTGTACAAAACGTAGCAAAAGTAAAATACATTATGCAGTTGAAATTTTTCTACAGCGGAAGGTTTTCTAAACGGCAAAACAATAAATGCGATAGAATTCAGAAAAGAAAATTGAGCGCAAAGCCGACGCACATTTTTACCACTGGAATTGCTAGAAATTCAATAAAAAGTAGTAAATTATTAATACGAGTTTCTGATAAAACTCCTTTTGGAACACGGTTTATCAATAAAAGATTGAGATGCATTCCAGGATAAATGTGGCGCTTCATGGACAACAGTTGAATATTGACGCTAAGCTACGCTAATATCCGTTTTTGATTTGTTACTTTCTGTTGGTAAACGCTATGAACGTTATATTGTAAAAGAAGTGCGCAAAGACTTACACTGGAAGTTGGCTGATGTCCAGCAATGACTTGGACGGCCGGTGTTTGTCCTCCGTCCACAAGCGTTCGTGAAGAACGAACGGGACAACATCCACACAGGAGTCGCAAAACTGCTTTGCAGGTTCCGGCGGCTTCAACGGGATGGGAACGGCTGACTGCGGTAGCAGGCAACTCGCTCGCAGCGGAAACTGCTGCACCCACCCATAGCTTTCGCTAGACTCCGGGTCAGCTAGAGCGTTAAGATAAGAGCTGCCAGGCGCCGCAGGCAAGATTTCAGAATCCGTATGCGGACCAATGCCACGAGAGCTCTCCACCGGCGCGCCAGAGTAAAAACGGGGAACGATAGGTTTCGCCATTACACCTGACCGGTAGGCAAAGGAGTATATAGAATCTAACTCCTGAAAACTCCAATCAGCAAAACCTAGAACGATTCAAAAAAACAGAAGAAATGATCTTTAAATTTTTTTTTGGAAACTACGGTATAGGATAGTTGGTACTACTGGTAAGGAGGGGGGAGCGCACTGGGCAACCCCTCAGCGTGCGGCACTTTTAGCACGTAAAACTTTTGAGCCATCAGTGGGAACCAATAGTGAGCTAAAAAAATTAGTCATGAAGTTTTAGTTGACTAAAATTTTTAACCGTGTCAATTTTAGCTACCAAAACTTGAAGGTTAACCGGGGTTAACCAATTTTATTTATTGGTTTTTTTTCCCAATGAAACTACAGTATGGCAAAATTACCGTATATCGCTCAAGTACGGAACTGTATATAATTTCAACCCGGGCGTAGGGGTCTTTCGCAGCTGCAGAGTGCACGGAGCAGCAAGCGGCTGTATGCGTATGCGGGCGGTTGACAGTGTGACTTTATGCCTAACCGGCCCCATTACCAGCTACGAGTACAATCAACCACCGTCGTTACGGCCTGTTTTTTATTTTACTGTCGCAATTTATTACCATAACATTAACGGGTAATTTAAATTTTAACGGGTTAAATGTTGCGAAAATTGTAATTGTGACTTTATTGACTTGACTTCAGACTTTAGCTCTAGCTTGTGTTTTACGGATGGTTCATAAATGCCGATACAGTACTAGAGTAGGCAACATTAGTATCGTGATCTGGGTACTTACATAAAACCGTATGAAAATAAAATCATATGGAAACAAAAACTTTTAATTATAAGAATTATAATTATTAGTTTCCGTTAACTTTGGTTAACCGACTAAAAATTTTAACCAAACTACTTTTAGTCACTAAAAGTTTTAGCCAAGAAAATTTAGTTGACTAAAAGTTTTAACCAAGCCGATTTAGGCGGCTAACTCTTTTAACCAAGTTTTTAGTTTAACCGAATTTAGTTTAGCTTAGTTTTTCCATCACTAGGAACCAACACTGTACCACCGTACTTCTTAATAACTTAGTAACTGGTTTATTGTCCTTTGCTACGAAGCGTCGCCTCCTTTTAAGCTAAGGCAGGGGATCGCGAAGGGAAAAAAGCATGATAAAGAAAGAAAACAAGGCATACAAGTGGAGTAGAGCTGTGCACATCAGCAGCTGAGGTTTACACAGTAATGTGCCAGTTAAACAAAAACAACTTAATTAACTTTTGTGGACAAAGAAGGGATAATCCTTAATCCATGCAAGGTTGATCCAGTCCACAGATTCCATTGCACTCTGGAAAGTGCTTATAGATTGATAGGCTTCCACGGAGAGGGATTCCACAATGCAGTCAGCCGCTCGAGGTGCGTTCCATGGACGGCAGTCACCGTTGTACCGCACACTAAAGTTGGAGCCGGTGCTATCGGGTATGGATGTTGATGAAGTCGGGCGCACTGCCGAGTATTTCCTGAACAGATTGAAGCGCAGCAGCCGAACTAGGCAAAGTAATTATGCATAAGTCACCGAAGGGCACTTTGCCGAACTCGCGTCCGAACACTTCGGCCGCGTTACATTTCGGCCGCACAGGTTCACTTCGGCCCGGGCCAGCGTTCATTTCCGCCGTGACTCATTTTGGCCAGCGCTCATTTCGGCCAGCGCTCAATTCGGCAACTGGACATTTCGGCCATCTTAGGTTTCTTAGGTTTTCTTAGGTTTTTTTAAAGTTTTTTTATGGTTTTTAATCTCTCATAGGTTTCTTAGATTTCTTTGATTTCTTTGATTTCTTAGATTTTCTTAGGTTTTCTTAGGTTTTTTATGTTTTCTTATGGTTTTTAATCTCTCTTAGGTTTCTTAGATTTCTTAGGTTTCTTATGTATCTTATGTCTTCTTAGGTTTTTTTAGGTTTTCTTATGGTTTCTTAGTCTTCTTTTTGCTTTCTTTGCTTATTCTTATGTTATTATTAGATGTTTTTCGCTTTCTTAGGTTTATTCTGGTCTAGCTTTTTTCAAAATTCCTTGATTTGTTAGCTCTCTAGCTTTTCTTCGGGTTTCTTAGGTGTCTTATGGTCGTGTTTTGAAGTTTTTATCACTTGCCGGTGACGGTAGACCTCTATTGATCAACCCTGTAGCGGTTGGCACTAGCTGTTCATTGGTAGAAAATGAAATGCGTTAGGTAGACATGGTGATGAGAGGAAGTTGAGGAACCCGTCAAATATTCCTCTTCCTCACAAAATATTGCGGGCAAAATGAAATTAATATAAAAAAAACATGTACAACGAGAACTCCCACGCTACAGAATGAATGTTTAATGTAAGCCGTATTTCAGTCGAAATGTACGTGGCCGAAGTGAATGGAAGCCGAAGTGAATGACGGCCGAAGTGAATGGCAGCCTGCAGAGGTGTGCAGAACGTCAGTCAGCAAATGAACATCAGAGCTTTCTTTATGCGACACAATTTCAAAGTGTCCCATTTCAATTCTTTCAAACGTTTTTCATAGTCGGACAGGGCGTTGCCGAGGCGCAGACTTTTCAGAAAACGTTCTTGGCACTTTTTAAGATTTCTTGAAAATCTCTTTCTGAAATTCTTTCTGAATTAGTTTTTGGAATTTTACTTGGCCGCTTTTACAAAATCAATATTAGAATTTTTTCTGTAATTAGACTTTTTTCTGTACTTCGCACAGAAAACTTTTTATTCGTGCTTTTCTCGTTACTTAATTTTTACAGTGGTAACTGGTAACTTTTATTAGCCATATGATGATACGAGTATTTTGCTCTGAAATAAAATTTAACGATTCTGCGGGGCAGCGGAAGAGCGACAAGCACAAATTAGCAGTGAACACCTAAGTTCTGTTAATCAACATATCCGATTCCGCTCCCGGTCCACAGGCGAATTTAACTCGCTTGGGCGGAAGGGGCGCTAACAACTCGAGAACCCTAAAGACGGTGAACAATCTGCTGTCGAAATTGCTTTGAAATTTTTCTAATTTAATGACCCCAGGACTTCCCGGTACGCGATCCCATTCGATTCTAACCGTGAAAACTAGAAATTGTCGATCAAATAATTCAGTTAAGAAACTAAATTTTCTTCAGAATTTTGGTCAGTTACAGTAGCATGGTATCAATCTTACCCAACGGGTTGACCGAACTCATGGCAAAATTGCATTTTATTTTACTACAATTATATAAAAATTCTTTTCAAACTAAAATACATTGAAGCAGCAGACAGTTTGAAAGGGCTATCTGCCAGCACATTCGTTATGGGCGTCAAATTGACCACCATGACGAACTGACCACCACTGAATTTTTTGTCGTGTTCGTCAAACTGACGACCACTGAATATCACAAAAAACACAAAGATAGGCTTATTTTACCGCGAAAAGCTCGCTAACTGCCGTATCTGTAAAAAAATACTCAGGAAATTACTAGACACTGCAAAGTTAACACAGATTTTTCAAGAATCTATTTCCCCGCATTCTTTCACATCGGAAAACTTTTTTGCGTATTTTTGGAAATTCAGCTTCATAAAGGTAAAATTGGCGGGTTTGGTAAAATTTTTTTAATTGTCAGCGAGCCAGACACCGTGCAGATGGCGTTTTTTCTATCTGATTTTTGCGGAATCCAATTTTTCGCATTCTCTTACACAGGAAAACGGTTTTTGATTAATTTTGGAATTGGGGCTTCAAAATTGTCAATTTTGGATAATATTATTACTGGTCAGCGAGCCAAAAACCGTGCAGATGGCGTTTTTCTCTGTCTGATTTTTACGGAATCCAGTTTCCTCCACCTCTTTCTCATGAGAAAACGTTTTCCGCTTAGTTTTGGAATTGGTGTTTCATAAAGATAAAATTGCCGGTTTGGTTAAATTTTTTTACTTGTCAGCAAGCCAAAAACCGTGCAGATGTCGTTTTTTCTGTCTGCTTTTTGCGGGATCCGATTTCCTGCATTCTTTTACAGAGGAAATCGTTTTTTGCTTAATTTTGAATTTGGTGCTTCATAAAAGTGAAATTGGCCGGTTTGGTGAAACTTTTTTACCCGTCAGCGCGCCAAAAAGCGTTCAGATGTCGTTTTTCCTGCTTAAGTCTTGCGGAATCCGATTCCCCGAGCTTTTTTACATAGGAAAACGTTTTTTGTTCAATTTTAGAATTGGTGCTTCATAAAGATAAAAATGGCGGGTTTCGTGAAATTTTTTTAAACGTCAGTGCGCCAAAAAGCCTTCAGATTGCGTTTTTTCTGCCTGATTTTTGCGGATTCCGATTTGCCGCATTCTTTTGCATAGGAAAACGTTTTTTGTTCAATTTTAGAATTGGTGCTTCATAAAGATAAAATTGGCGGGTTTGGTAAAAAATTTTTTTATTTGTCAGCGCGCCAAAAAGCGTTTAGATGGCGTTTTTCTCTGTCTGATTTTTACGGAATCTAGTTTCTCCCACCTCTTTTACATGAGAAAACGTTTTCGCTTAGTTTTAGAATTGGTGTTTCATAAAGATAAAATTGGCCGGTTTGGTTAAATTTTTTTACTTGTCAGCAAGCCAAAGACCGTGCAGATGTCGTTTTTTCTGTCTGCTTTTTGCGGGATCCGATTTCCTGCATTCTTCTACATAGGAAATCGTTTTTTGCTTAATTTTGAATTTGGTGCTTCATAAAAGTAAAATTGGCCGGTCTGGTGAAACTTTTTTACCCGTCAGCGCGCCAAAACGCCTTCAGATGGCGTTTTTTTCTGCCTCATGTGACAGCTGGCGAACAAAGGCTCACGATAGTGAGAAGGCTTTATTGTGAATAGCAATAAAGTACAGAAAACCCAAACACAAAAAATCGATGTGAGCTGTAACATGTAAATCACCGAATGTCAGCTAGTGAATGAAAATGAACGGCACATCGAGCCGAAAGCATGGGAAAAGCCTGTGCGGCATACTGGGCAGATCCAACACGAGCGAACGAACGCTGATAGGCCGAGATGTGAAAGTGGGGCGTGGCTCCGTCTACATCGAGGCCGGTGATTGGCCGAGACGTAAGGCTGGGCGGAAAGCTGCCTGAGTCGAGGCCGATCTAGCGCTCGACAGCGAGTGCGACTCGGTGTGAGTCAGCACACCGGAAGCGGGACTGTCGCTG